ATAGCAGTGGAAGTGGATGGAAATTTTGACTGTCTGTGACTGCTTAAATTGCAGGAGGGTTAAATAGCATTGTGACAATTTCCCATCCTTCCACTTCTGTGAGCCAGGTTCGAATCTCTCTTAGGCTGACACTCGAATTGAGTTTCACTGTTGCCCGATACTACGGACCTACCTGGAATATCATCTGAAACCTTGCCTCCCACCTTAAAATCGAACGTTCCTTCATCATCTTTGTCTTTGTACCGTACGTCTCTTTACTCTTCAGGCCTATTGAGTTACGTATACATGTACATGTAGATGCACATTATAGTCTACTATTTAGAAACATTTTACTTCCATAAACCTCAAACCTCCCAGATCAGTCAAAATCCGTGAAAAGGTGAGGGAAGATTTTGCTGGATTTTGTAAAGTAGACGCCCTAGTTTACATTGGATTTGATACCCTAAGAGATTTAAATACAGAGAATGCACAACAGAGTTTCTGCATTGTCACGGATTGGTCACGATAAGGTCAAGAAAAGAAAAATTGTGTTTCCTATTTCATTGAAAACAAATACAGTGTAGATCGGGTGGGTTGGCTCTAAAAAAAATTTAGACAGAAAAGAAAATAGGGTGGGATGGTCGATTACTTATTAATTTTAGAGTACTTGTAATGTTTAGTTAACATTTGAATCAACTGTTCATTCTGCGTTTACTGTGCTGTTAAAAGGCTTCGCTGCACAGTACTGCAAGACTGCTCTGCTGAACATTTAAGTTTCTTTTCTTTTTTTCGAATAAAATGAATTAGGTCCTTCATGATTTTCTAGGTTGGGTACGGTTATAGGAAACCGAGATATTTTTCTCTTGACCTGCATGTACATGTACATTGTAATTCAGGATTTTCTCATAAAGAAAAGCTGTGAGAGGAAGGGTTAACATTTATTTCTGTCTTTTTACCTGTCAATTATAAACCTAAAGCAGTTGTTTTGAAGACACAATCCCTCTCCCACCTTCAAAAAAAAATAATAACAAAATTGAAAGGCACAAGAAGATAGTGATATGCATGTCAGTGCATGATGCATTTGCCTTGAACTGCCGTAATTGACTTTCCGTGTTCAGCTTGACTGTGTCCTCAGCTAGAGAGAACCTCTGAATGGGATACGATGACTAGCGTTCACTCTGAGGTCATGACATCCATTATCAGACAAACTGGTCGGTAATTGACGGAGCTGTGTGCATAAGAACAATACAAATGAATGGGAACTGATTCTTTGTTTTGCTTGAAAAAGTGATCAGATATGTGGATGACGTGCGATGTTTACATGTGTTTAAAGGCCCTGAAATACTCAAAATTTATTAACCTTGAAAATAAAATTTATATTTACACGGGCTATGGAAATGAAAGGCACATGTATGTAAATTGTGTAAGCAATGTAAATTCGTTTTTGTTTCTTTAACTTTTCAATTTTTTTTATTTTTTGTTATTTAAGTTTTTTAATTTAAAGTACTTTGGGGGGAAAAAAATCAATATTTTGCCTTCTATCCAACCCCTGGCCCACATACCCGGTGCAAAAAACAAATGAAAGTTGTAATCAAAATTTGTGGGTGGTTTTGTCAAAGATGAAGTATGTTTATAATTAATTGCTTTTGCTGTGTCATTTTTAGAAAAGAATGGATTTGGGGGGGGGGGGAGGGGGGGTAATATTTCATAGCAAATATTGTTTGAAGTTTTGTGTTCGTAAATGCTGGAAAAACCAAGAAAAACCAATCATGTTCTTGTCATCTTGTTCTCTGACCCCACTTAAGATGAAATGGAGCAATTTATTGACATCAGAGAACTGTAAACTTAGTGTAAGGTCAGGGAACCAGTCTAGCTGGCTTGTACCTGTTCATAGGTGTGTAATTGATTACAAACAAATTGTGGTCTAACTACCTGTAAATATGGTAAATTGGGGGTGTAATTTGAAGGAAAAAAAGCCAGTTGAAAATTGAACAAAAATACCACTTTTCTTGAAAATGACAGCACACCAGGTGCCACGATTTTACAGGATGATTTTTACTGTCATTTACTAACAGTCCAGCAAGTTATAGGTATTTCATAATAATTTGATTTTTTTTGGGGGGGGGGGGGGGTGAGATTTTTGCAAATGTTGTATATTCCCTTTAATACTAGTACATTATATTGCCTACTGGTAGATTTACACTTTATGACAATTGAGCTACGTGGATAAAACAAATTATATTTTAGGTATCATTAGGGAGGTTTCGCAAGCGAACGGATACGCTTACACTTACGCTTAGCTATCCGTATCCGTTTTTTACTTACGTGTAGCGAGCGAGATATGCGTGTCGTCTGCACGTTTAGCGGATAGTGAGTGGCATATGACGTCATACGTGCAGACGACACGCATATCTCGCTCGCTACACGTAAGTAAAAAACGGATACGGATAGCTAAACGTAAGTGTAAGCGTATCCGTTCGCTTGCGAAACCTCCCTATTATCTCAAGTTTACTCATACACATACCATTACAGTATGCGTACCGGTAGGCGCATACAACCTGTACATGTACAATGTTTGTCTGTGATCATCAAGATTGTACAAGCATGAAGGTCATGTCAGGTCATATTGAGCTTAACTATGGATTACTTTCATTTTAATAAGCACCGGTACTTTCACTCATAGAATTTATGGATGAGCAAGCTTCATTTTTGAAATGAAAAATATAATAACCAAATATGTTCACCAGCCAAAAGTATAAGGTCATGGCCACATTTTTAGTTAATCATCGCGATACTGAAAGTAATCGCTTGTTCAATTGTTAGATACACTGACCTGTTCAAAGTCAATAAGTGTGTACAAATATTCATTGATTTTTCTCATTTGTAATAATTGAAATTTGTTGTGTGCTTGTGAAGTTGATACAGCTGCATGTACAGGGAGTGTACTAAAATGTGAATATGAATATTATGCTACACAGTATCCTAATTTTAATTGCCATTTAAATGTCAATACATGTACAGTGTGTGTATATGTTGTTGTCACATGTACAGTATATAGATCTATACAAGTACCGGTACATGAACAAATGTACATGAACAAATGTACATGAATGTACATGTACATACATTTACAGTTGTATGTGAAGTTGAATTTACTGTATGAAGATGAATTACTGTTAAATTTCATCAATTGAAATTGAACCTTAAAGGGAATATACAACATTTGCAAACATCGAAAAATAAAACTACCAAGTTTTTACGAAATACCTTACTAGGATGTTGGTAAATGACAGTCTTAAGCATCCTGTAAAATTATGGCACCTGGTGTCGAGTCATTTTCAAGAAAATGGTATTTTTGTATACATTTCCAACGGTGGTCGGCCGACCACCGTTGGAAAAACCTAACTATTTTTCAACTACTGCTCCAAATTAACAATTTTTTTTCAGTCCAAATTTTGTTTGCTATTGGTTACATGTTCATGAACGGGTGCAGGCAAGTTAGACTGGTTCCCTTATCTTACAATTTTCCGACATCTATAAATTGATCCATTTTATCTTTAGTGGAGTCAGGGAACCAGACTACTTAAACCTTTTTGCTTTTCTTGGTTTTTCCAGCATTTTTTGAACACAAAACAATATTGTGTAACAATATTTGATATACATGTATTATACTAACCCCTCAAATAGTTCATTTCTGAAAATTACAGCAAAAGCCAATGATGTACATTCCCTTTAAATGTCAACTCATGTACAGTGTGTGTATATATGTTGTTGTCACATGTACAGTATATCTATACAAGTACCAGTACATGAACAAATGTACATGAACAAATGTACATGAATGTACGTACATGTACAGTTGTATGTGAAGTTTGTATGAAGATGAATTTACTGTTAAATTTCATCAAATGAAATTGAACCTTAATCTTCATTATATTTGAACTACAAGAAGGATCACTGTTTGTGTGCATACATGTACATGTACACACATGTACTTGTACACACACCCGTATGTACATTGTACACGTGTATGACCGGTGAGTGACAAGTAGGCCTACAGTAGGCCTATAGATTTTTTTTCAGAATGCTGATAAAATAAATAAGGGAATAAATGTGTGCTTGGCCGGTTTTAAACACTATGTTTAAGACCGGTTGGAGTCTGGATGCTGAAAATTACCTAAGCCGAAATTCATACATGTACCTATTCGGTCAAAAAAATCTTAACTTTTCGGTCCAAAAATCAAAACAAGGCAAAAATTATCAATTTCCAATGATTTTGTTCAGCAATTTTACTTCATTTTTTTCCGGACACCCCTCTAGCTTTATAATGGTTTGAGTAGTGGTAAACAACTCCTAATATGGAGATTGGCGTGCGCGTCGCGCGTATTGCACAGGGGCACAGAACGCAGCTGTGCCATTGTGTTGTGAATTTAGGACTATGAAATGCTGACTCTCGCACTCCTATGTGAGGATTGTAAACGTTCAACCAATAAAATGTTAAAAGGCACCGGATTTCGAGTCCAAATTTCATGTGACACTGGAATACACAGCCCTGTTTTAGAGGATTTTAGCGGATTCAGGATACCTCCATGTCAAAAAAGTTGGGGGATTTTGATGGATGCAGGACAGAAAGACTAGCAGTACTGCAGGATTTTGATGGATTCGGGATACCTCCATATTGAGCAGTAGGGGGACTTGATTGGTTCAGGTTCTCAACAGTTTTACTCCTTGGTATATGTTTGGTGTGTACGAGGTATATGTACTACACTGGTGGATTCTGATGGACTCACTGGTGGATTCTGATGGACTGAGGACACCAACATTTTTACATGGAAAAAATTGGGGGATTTTTGGCAGGTTCAGGATACTATCTAGTAAAAGTTTCTCAAGTGGTGTGGGTTAAACCTTCTATTGAACCATTTTTGCCTTTACTTTTATCAATTCGATTGACTTCAGTTTACTAATATCACTTTTAAAAAATCCACTCTTTTTGCTTTGACTTCATCTTCTTTTTTATGCAGAACAAATTCCGACTCTGCGCTGCACACGAGCGTGATGGCGCCCATCGATCCATTCCAGGGCCACGGAAGTATGTCACCGGGCTCCCACAGAAGAGGTAAAGAAAAAGGGGGCGGGGCAAGGGGTGTCAACTGAGGGGTCCGTTGATAGTAAACTTGAAAGCCATGGCAACATCAGGAATGGGAGTATCCCCATTTCTCTTCCTGCTTTTCTTTCCACAATAAGTAGGCCGACCGTCAGCCTACATGTACTTGTAACTCCAGCATAGCTTTTGTTCACAAGTTGTGAATGACAAAGATTGATTGATCATCTATTGAACTGTGGAACGCCGTGGTCCAATGGTTACGGTGTTTGACTCACGTACTGTGCGTGGGTTTGAACCCTGACAGGGAACACGGTGCTTGTGTTCTTGGGCAAGACATGTTACTACAATTACCTCTCTCCACCCAGGAGTATAAATGGGTACCTGTGAAGGTAGAGACCAGAATGCGCTGATCTCGAGCTGCTGCAAAAACTGGTCTCATGGCCTGATGAACAGGGGTAATAATTGTGAAGCGCTTTGAGACCTTTGGTATAAAGCGTTATATAAAACACAACATTGTTTTTTATTATTATTTACATGTGAAGTTGCTCTACATATTTTACATGTGTTTGTGGGACGGCAGAAAAAAATGCTGAGGCTAGTCAGAAAATAAACAGGCAAAACCTTATGATCAGACTATACCGTGATACTATAATCATTAGAACAATAGTATTGAACTGTGAAAAATGTCTTTGTGGTTGTTAGAAATCTAGAAAATTATGCCATTGTTTATAAGAACTACGAAAAAAAAATCAACAAATTTGTTTTTTAAAATGATATCAGGCCAGAAGTAGAATCATTTCTCAAAGGAGGAAATAATTACTCATACAGCAGTTCCAGTATAGGGCCGTAACAGTGTTTACCATTTCATGCATTTTCAGTGCATCAAGTACCCATGATCATTTCCTCCAATTTCAGACAGAAGTCAACACGTGCACGCACACACACACATACAAATTATTGTTCTGTAACTATTGGGACCACACACGTGTTGTCCAACGGTACAATGGGGACCGAAGACGCTATGGGGACAGCAGAAAGTCCCCATAACTCGGTGCTAATATCCCTAACAATAAGAAGCTTCCCCATATAATGCGGTGACGGCCCGCCCAGGCACACAACATGGCACTGTAATGAATTGTACATGTATGTACTCAAGACTGTGTAACCCCAGTGTAACCCCAATCAAATATACACAGTGTTAGTTGTTTCCCTGTAATAAACCGTTCACTGTATTATGTACATGTACAGTATCAGGTGTGCACATAGGCATTGGGAATGTGTGCTGCATGTACGTGTACGTGTACATACTTCCTAAATAAATTATATCCATGTGTACATTCAGTTTACACTCGAGGGGTTTCTCAGTTCTGGTGTGATAGTGTACACGTACAGTCAACTCTCGTTAGTACAAACTCTGTTAATACAAAATTCTGGTTATAACAAACACAAAGCCTTGGTCCCGACTTGTGCATTTATGTGCACAATGAATGGGACTGATGTTCCTCTTAATAAAAAATTCTGATATAACAAACAATTTGGCTAGGTCCGAACAAGTTTGTTATAACGAGACTCGACTGTATATACTTTACAGGCACATGTTGTGAATAAAAATCTCGTTAGAAATGCTCATCTTCTACTGAACATACATGTATACAGCCAGTGGGACATAAGCCATGAATTCAATTTGACAGATGCAATGCACAACGTGAGAAACCGTAGCAGGTGTCTATGCAGTTGACTTCATCACTGCTGCTGCACAATTAAAATAAACAGCTCGCAATATTAGGAAGTTTTGGCCCCTTGGGGGCTGAACTCATGAAAAGCTGATTGGGGCGCTGTGTAAGACTAGAACGTTACAGTGCTCATGAATGATTCAGAATGCTAATTCCACGCATTGTGTGGTTTGGTCACTCCTGTTACAACTCGGCCAAACTATTCAGCACGTTCTTGCTTATCTGCTGGACATCAAATCAAACTTAGCATTTCAAATACCAGAATGGTACATGAGCTGGCAGTCACTGATAACGCAGGGCCTTATCAATTTTATAATATTATTATCAGGCTTTTATTGTGTATACTAGCTAGAAATGTACAGGTAGGTGGTACCTAAGGGTCGTAATGGGTTACTTTGCATGGTAGATCCTTACTGTACCGGGGGTACCATCTCAAAACTGACTGGTTGATGAACTACACTATAAGAGATGTGCTTGACTGTAATTGGCTTGGGGAGTAATGACCAACATTACCCGCACATTGTACCAGCAAACTCATGGATCTACATCGGATATTATCCAATTCTGTATTCCATTTCTCTGGTCTGTGGCGGTTAAGTGATGTGCCACGTCATGGTTGGTGTTTACAAGTACCGGAAACAAAGTCATGAAACGTGGGAGTAGACGAGAAATACATGTAGGATTGTGCGTGGGCAATTCCAGAGTTATGAATGGAAGTGGAATGTCAGGGCGGAGCCAATTAACCATGATATCTTCCAAACTCAGTCTGTAATCTCCTTGACCATTACTAGATGATGGATGTATAAGATTTGAAAAAGACATTTTCAGCTCTATTCACGGAGCACTAACGAGCTCTGTTGTGGACATTACATAACGATGGAATTACCCACATGATATAAATAGCCAACTTATGAGGCGATTCTTTTCCTCAAAATAATTACATTGACCTAACAAATATACAAAAACATGATAGGAGGACAGAAACATTTGGACAAAAGGAAAACCTACATGTAAACCCCACGATTTGGGCGATTCACGATGCAGTTCGCCACCAAGAGTTTGCCATGGAGAGTCCATTTTTCAAATTTACCGTCGACAAAACATGGCCCACTGAATGAGTGTCAGTAGACAACTAGAGATAATTTGTTATAGATTGGGGCATATAGCGTTCTGCCACCTTACAAAAAACACGATATTGATAAAAAGAAACAAAAGGGCAAACAGATACCCGGTACTCGAATCATACACTTACAAAACTACTGACCGGAAAAATGAACAATTTCAAATGTCCCGCGCTGCGAATTTGTGGACCATCCCCCTCAATGCACTGGGAAAAATGAGCTCTCCGTGGCCAACTCTTGGTGGCGCACTGCGTTGTGAATCGCCCGAATTGTGGAGTGTGTGGTTTGACAAAGCCACAAATTAGCTGTCGTCCTATTTAAAATTAAACACAGATCTGTTAGCCCATTCAGAAGCATACACAGTGTCCTGTGCATAAGACCTTGAATTAATGATGAACATGTACCAGTACATGTACATGTAAGCATTAAAAAATATATGCACTTTCAATCTCACATTGTTGTCAATGCAAGGTCAAGTTGGCACAGAAGACAAAAATCAACATCTGAGATAAAGTAAAAATGCAGAGATTGGGCATGCTGTGTATTGAAAAAAAAAATGGACAGAATTATGTTCCGTGTTGGAAATGAATTCCATTGTGTAGAGTCCAAGATGGTTATCGTTGATAAAAGTCTGGCCAGACTTCATTCCTAAATTGCAAAGCTTATCTGGAGTTTTCATCTTTGATGGCTTCATATCATTGAAGAAACTGACTATACGAACTGAGCTTCCTTCTAAGGAAGTCAGCTTCTTAGATTATATTTTTTGGGGGGGGGGTGGGTACATGTGTAGTGCAGTTTCTAGTGATGATAGTACATGTAAAAAAAAAATCCAATTTTGAAAACTACACTTGTTTGTTTTGTTGACATAAATTGATTGGATGAAAATTTGTAGAAGGCTGCTCAGCTGGGAGATTTCCAGTATATTATACTGAGAACTAGTTACAACTGCACTACGTGAAACAAATTGTCTGGTTACATCTCATCACGCAATTTGCTTAAAGTCTGACTTTTTAAGATATTGAGATATTTATTTATTTGGATTCTGCAGAACAAGAGCTTTCCAATGGGATATAACTTTTAGTGGAACTGAGTTCAGTCATGTCAGTAAAGGAAATGTAGACCACCAACTTACTTTAAGTTGTAAAACCGATTCTTGAGAAAATGGCATTAAAAAATCCTGCAGTTGTGTTACAGTGAATCAACAGTCAACTAATAAAATGGGATGAAAATTAGGTTTTAAAGATGTTTGACAGAACAAAAAAAAATCGGAGAACAGTAAAAGAAGACAAACAGATCAAGGTTCACCTGGAAACAAAAAAATGACCACCCCTTCAAATTTTGGCTTTGTCCCACTGTACTGTAAAATGTAAATTTCCGACTTTTGTGGTGACAGGTCTCATTTGTGCTTAATATCTGTTCCTCTGCACAGCAAATGGTGTGCCTAGTAATTTCATGACTCTGAGCCAGGTGTGGCTTAGTTGATTTAAACAGTGTCTCGTCTATGCTCGTCTTTTTAACATTACTTACTCTCTGAATTAAATTTTTTTTTTTATATCTCATTTCAGCTGAGATGGTGATGGATCACTCAGGTAACACATTGAAAACTCCTCTGTGGGATACAAAGAAGGTAAGCCATACATGTATATATACGCCCATATGTGCTTGCTATCCGTTAATTACCTGGCCGGGGGTTTTACGGGAATGACTTCCGTTCCACTTCATGCTCATGTCCTTTAAAACAAGGAACTTTCATCTGAGAGTAATTGTGCTCCAGTATCATTAGTGTTTCGGAAGTAAATGTCATCTTAATATTTTATCAGATCCAAGTGAAAAGAAAAAAAAGATTTTTTTTTTTTAATGATTGGACTTAGATTTGATGTGTTATTGGACAAGCCAGCGTTTTCTCCAGGATGCACTTTTTCATGTATAAGGTGACACCACAAGATAACCATTTTCCCCCTATAACGTCATCACTAAGAGTGCGTTTGAGTACCGTAGCTCACCCGGATCGACTGGGTAAAGGCAGACGGGTTAGCCACAAAAGCTGGGCTAGTCGAACTGATCGAGCTAATCGACCGCTCAGATGGGGGCCACTATGATCCTTACGTGATGTCCGTAGCCACGACCGTGGCTGTAAACATTGATAAAACGCCCTTTTCGGACTGAGTCTTACCAATCCTTCCTCCATGGCCTTACTTTTTTAGATTTACTGCTTTTCCGTCAATCGCAATTTCAAGTAACAGCTGTATTAGCGGCCTGTAAAGTCACAAAGAGCTCAATAAATAATTATGTTTAGTCTTCATATGAAGTTGATTTTGGGGTCCACTTGATCTTTACGCTGTCTGGCCGCCATATTCGTCCATTTGTTGGAATGAACAACGCATGTGTGTGACGTACATGTATATCCACCACTGACAGGATCTGTGGTGGCTGACCCGGGTGAGATAATAGAATGGCACGGGGCTAACCCGAGTCGACCTGGGTGAGCTAATCGAAACGCTCACATAGAATAATATTTTAGTCTCAAAAACAGTGCCATTCAAAGTTGGTCCATTTCCAAACATCTTTTCCTTAGTCGAAAGTGAATTAAGACTTTACATGTAGTGTTATGCCTTTTGGAAAGCATGAATATTTCTGATTTTCTGAAACAAGGACTGTTGGGTGATGTTTTGAGTCCCCTTCGTTTCTCTTCTCCCTCATCCTCTCTAAATGGGCAGTTTCACGGCATCAGACGCACAGTTCGGACAATTCAACAGTGTGCATTTTTAAAGTTATAATCCTAAAGTGGATATTAATTCTGATAAATTGTTTCAGTTAGGTCCTACAATGATTTAAAAAAGACATTATTCATCTCACTTTCTTGCTGAAGTAGAAATTGGTTTTGAAACACCATGGTGTCTGACATACTCAGACAAATTGAATTTTTTTGTGTGTAAACATAATAGGTGAACATAATATCGGTAACCCACGTTACATAAAAAGCACATGGAAAAAGTTAAAAACCTAGTATTTGAAAGTTTTCCTTATACCTTGCACTGATGGACTGTTCTTTTTAGTGCCCTTGCATCATTTGGGTATAAGTCATATTCTAACTTTACAATTATTTAAAAATAATCAATCATAAATATCTCCAGAGGGTTATATTTTGGTAACTCACGTTACGGTAACTCACATTACAGTTTGTCCGCCTATCTTGGTACAAGTTTAAACATTGAAGAAACTAACAACCAAGCAAAAACCTCCTTTGGCATAGAACACAATCTGTTTCTCTTCCTTTTAAAACAAAAAGACACACTTAGGTCAAAAAAAAAAGTCTCCGGTTTCTGGTATGGAGCTTGCCAAAAAAGTGGTGCGGCGACGCGGCTTTTTTTTTTTTTTTACCTGACTTTTTTGCTTCAAATGTCGGCTGATGACTGCAAATGGTGTCCGACTAAACTTAGTGCAAATATATGGGAGTCCAGTGAGGCCACATAAAGCTTATTCTCGATCATAACCCCATCTAAAAACACGTTAAAATTGTGCAGCAGCAGGATTCCCGTCAAACCAGTGAGTTTGGCGGTTTTGAGACATCATCTTTCATTGAAAAAAAAACTTTTTCATTTTGCCGACGCGCATGGCTACGGCGACGCGCGCGCATACCAGAAACCGGAGACTTTTTTTTTTTGCCTTACACTTGCATTTTGCATGTAAAAACAAGGTGCCAAAATAACTACCTAAAATCCATAATTTTATCCAAAAAAACCCAAGTGTTTTGACCCAAAAAACCACACTTACATTCTGACTACCGGGTACATTCCATTTCACTGGCACACCACTCAAATGAAAGGTCTTGTTGTCCCCTTCAATTTGATACCACATTTGAGGTGGTGATGCTTTATGTGAAGATTTTCTTACATTTTCCATTTTTTTTTACCATGTCCACATTCTCATGGAAAAGCCCAGCTATATTTCAATAAAATACAGACAATAAGCTTCAAAATGATATAAATGTTTCATTTGTGGCATTCGGACCATTTTGAAATTTTGGCTTTGAGGCTGGGGAATTGTTTAAAGGTAAAAATGTGATTACACCTGCCTCATCATATTTCTTTCTCGTGCAGCAACGAGAAAGCAACGAGCGGTGGGGCCCTGTTTCTATGACCTTACCCCTTGTTCCTCTTTTTAGCTTCCTCAAGTACAATTCCCTTGTTCCTTTGTCTTCATCTTACAGATGCAGCCCAGGCCCAGGTCTTGCGAGGTTCCCGGAATAAAGTGAGTATTTTTTCCCCTCCACACCGCAGCGTCGTCTTGCTATTTAATCCTGGACGTGTCACAACATGCGATCGAATTATCTGAAAAGCGAGCTGGCCAGATTTGCCTAATTGAAAAATTAGCTTACTTTGCTATCCGGGCTGTGCATAACACCCAGTCTGTCTGATTTAAGGCGAGGAGTCAAGACGAGAGGTACTTGCACAATTTACGTGTACTGTGTTTCATCGCATTGAAACTGCTGATGGATTTTTTGCTGCCTGATAGCATAAAAAACAGGGTGAAATCACACAGCTTTATTTAAATAAAACAATCTTTTTAAGTAATCAATACACTTCCTTCAGTTCTCTTTTTCTTGGGGGGAATAGCTGGAATTATGCCAACTTGAGGATTTTAGTCGACCACTAGCAGTGCACAAATACTATTCATTAAAATGGCCAGTTTGCACTTTTTTGTGTAAAATTTAACAGTGTTCCTGTTGTGTTGAATTGCTATAAAACAGTATCTATTTTTATGCAAGGTGTGGTGTTCAGCGTACAGTATATTGGTTATTTTATAAATTTGGGGTCCACTTTTTTCCTGTCCCTGTTACATCTGATATCTGTTATAATTTTGATGCACTCATTAATGCATTCATCCTCCAAGAGTGATTATGAATGGCAAACTACCTACTCAATAAATATAACTTATTTGAAGTCATTCTTTATGACACTTGAATGGCAAATTACAAAGTACCACGGTAACAGGGACAGGAAAAATGTCACACTTTGGACCCAAAATTTATGGCATGAAATCAGCGGCTGCGGAAATGCAGTATTTATTGTCAGCATTTTAGCATCGTAACCATTTCCCCCCAGTTGTTCTTAGCATTTGAGTCCACCCTTGTGTATGTAACAATGGTATCCAAATGTATTCTTGGATTTTGCACAATTTGAATGGTGTTCACGTTATTCCCATTCAAGTGAATTGTGCCCTTGATAAGCCCGTGAACAACACATAATCAAAGTACCTTTTAGCTCTTATTGCAAGGCCATTTGCTGCCCTCTATAGGCAATGCACAGATCCAATACCGGGACAATTCTCTCCCACCGACATATCACCTTAATGAAAAAAAAAGTTTAATTAGAAATTTTGGAGAACTGCCGTTGTGAGGAGAATTACATTTTTCCTGTTGACAGTCAGAGCTTTGTGACCGAAAAGTCAGGTTAACACCTCAAGTTTTTTCAAATTTTGCGGATACACTCTACCTATAATATCTCCTCTGTGAAGCGTTGTGGTTCTGAAAAGAATCGAGAAATGCGAGAATCATTCTTGACGTTTCAGACATTGTCCTCTGTCGTCATTCTCCTGAGGATGGACAGAGTGCACTGTCCAAAACATCGAGAACAATTCTCACTGCCAATTCCGTTCAGAACCTTGCTTCTTCACAGAAGAGATATAATTTGGTATATTGGTAAACATAGATCACTTATTTGTACCTTTTTCTATCTTACAAAACTTCAACCTCCCAATTGAATTACAACTGTGTTCTTCATTGCAATCACTTAAATCATCTCTTAAAACCAATTTGGTCACCTCATGTTTTTCAGTTTGAGATATTCATGTTTCGTAGATTTTACAGTTGTTTGTTGTAGAATGCACCAAGAGCTTCCTTGGCGGAAACCAGCGCCATATAAGTTTTCATTATTATTATTATTATTATTAAATTTGAGTTTTCAAGTCCGAGTCTGTTGATGTTATCCTGTTTCTCTTTGCAGTATTTGTCCGTCCTCAGACCAGACAGAGACGGAGCAGACCAGCGATCCCATTCCCATCTCCAACAACACGGGCTCCCTGCCAGACCTCACCAACCTGCACATCCCTTCACCGCTGCCCACCCCTCTGGATCCAGAAGATCAGCAGGTGTCGGGCTATAACCATGGCGGAGTGGGTAGCCCCAGTAACCTGTCCAGCAGTATGCCCTCACCAACTCATCTCAGTACGTCGCCTACCAATCACACACAGGTAGGTTGTGCATTTCAGTTTCTTAGAATGATTTCTTGCAATACTTTGAATTGTTTTGTTTGTCAATAAGGTGAATGCTTTTTGAACATTAGGCAATTATTCAACGTAATTAAAACTTGTACTGTGGAAGAGATATATACATGTATATATGTTTGGTCAAATTTCAAAACTTTGTTGCACATTGAAAGTTTTTTCTCAGAAAACTAAAACAGGCCACAAGTGAAAATGTTCTACAATGTATACTTGTAGGGCTGTGCATCGGAACTGGGTACCTGAGTACATATACCCGACCGTTGACATGGTTGATGTCGGTAATTGGTTCCAGATTGTAGGATCGGGTAACCGGAACCAACTTTACAAATTACTTGCTAACTTCTCAGACGATGAAAAAGAAACATGGGGAAACAAAAAACACTTTGCGTTTATGACGCTTGCGAAAGTTGCAGTACACACTTGTATCTTGCTGTATTGACGCAATGATGTAGTAGTATTATCATGCAGACCTTTATGAACATCTGAACAGCAACTTCTGAGATTTGAATTTTGGGGTGGGTTTCTTTAATGATTACCGGGGAACCTTTGTTGTTGATTTTCAAAGGGGTACCCGGTTCCAATGCTACTCGTGTTTGTAAGTGGTTCTCATCTGATTTTGTAAGCAAAAAAGTTGGTTTGTTGTTGGAGTGAAGCCGTGACAACTTGGCAAGACAATGACCTATGATTCGTAAAACCGATTTTTAATCTACCGGTATGCATAAGATATAAAGATAAATGAGCACATTAAGGTACGGTACATTGAGTGTAAGAATGAACACAAATCTTTTTCTGTCTGATTAAACCTCTATCTGACCCCTGATCAGAATTTGACAAGAAAAGTTATTACTATTTGTAACAAGATCTGTCATTTTGTAAACGTGTTCATTTTCAAGTACAAAACGAATCCAACGAAAAGCTGTCCCATATCTATAGGCCAGACAGGCAGCCAAAGAAGGGTTTGCTAAAGTGCGTTGATTCGCAAGCGGATACAGGGGTTGTGGGAAATATGCAGGGTTGAGCCTCGGAAACGTTCTTGATTTCATCAGTGGGGAAAGTGCAGAGGAAAGGTGTGTAGCCTGAGAGTAGCAGATTGTGTAATAAATATTCAGGTGAGGAGACGGTTGCTGTAATTACTGGAAGCACATGTGCATTTTAAAGTTCAACATACATTCAGTGCAGGTTGTTAAAACCTTCCCTCTCGTGTGGGCAATTTCAACAAGGCCAGCCCAGCAGTCAAGATAAATCAAGTGACTGTTTTTAACAGTTGAGTGCTCCCTGCCTTCATAAAGCAGGATTGACTGGCTGTGATTGTTATGAAACCTGATGTAGCTATGCTTTGACTGTAGGAGATCGATTAGCCAGCTGTGCCTGCCAGTCACCTGCTTTTGTCTTTAGATGTAAATTGACTGTCACAAGTGCCTACAAGAAACATGACCTGACTGTTGGTGACTAGCCTGGAACAGGATTGACTGTCTGTGACTGATCAACAACAGTAGAGTTAATTAGACCCCTGCGTATCATTTTCAAGATTGTCTTAAAAATGTATTCAGCGAACAAACTTAGAAGCCACATTCTTACAGACAAGGTGCGCGTATCTCGGTAACCCTATTGGTCAAAGGAGCAATAAGTGCGTGCGTGCCACCTGTATGCAAGCTTGGTTCCACAATGAGTAAAATATCATTGACCCTAATGTTTACCTTGCACAGGTGGTGGGTCAGCACAGTCCACAGATTAGTCCACAAGTCAGCCCACAAATGACGAGGCGGCCTATGAGTAGTCCCAGCAGCCCCTTGGGGATCCATGCAACCAATGAACATCAACGGCGGCAACATCATCAACAACAACAACAACAGCAACAGCAGCAGCAACAACAACAACAACATAGACAACATCAGCAGCAGCAGCAGCAACAACAGCAGCAGCAGCAACAGCAGGCCCAGCAGGCGCAGCAGGCCCAACAACAACAGCAGCAGCAACAACAGCATCAACAGCAGCAGCACTTCATTAGGCAGGTCTGTACCCGCTCTGACTTACTTTGATCCTTTAGTTTTGTTGGGAGTGTGGCTTAGTGGTTAGGGTTAGTGACTCGTGATCAGAGAGTCAGGGGTTCAAATCCAGCTGCTGGTCATATGGTGTGTCCTTGGGCAAGCCACGGCTCCCCCACTTGCCTCTCTCCACCCGCCTCTCTCCACCCAGGAGTATAAATGGATACCGGCATTAACTGGGGAGTAACCTGAGATGGACTAGCATCCCATCCAGGGGGAATAGAAATATTCTGAGTCTTTTCATGCCACTGAAACCGGAGATAAACGCTGGCCTGATGGGCCACATTGGCTCGTGACAGACTTTACTTTTACTCTTACTTTTGACATATAAGATCAACAAGGATCACCAATTATTTATTCCTGTGTCCTTTTTTAGTATAACCAGGCGCTACTTCTGAGTTTGTTCTTGATTATCATTTTTATGTGATCTCAGCAACATATTTTACCCAAGAGCTGCATGAAATTACAAAACAAAAATGTAGGTAGGAGTCTAAGAAAGAAAAAAAAAAGGTCTGACACTTCTTTCTCAAGGACCAAGGCACTTTTATCATGGACAAATTGACTCTTGATTAAAACCTGTAAGTCATTGTGGATGCGAATGAGCAACTGAAAGAATCCACCGACAGACGAATCCAGGCACGTGATCACCGTACACTCACGTGGCCCCCTTCAATGGAGAAACCATTGTGCATGCTATTGTACAAAGCAACTACCCTGTGACGGATTATCTGAACAATAGCTAGCACAATGCTTTCGCCATTGAAGGGGGCCTTCGTCATAGAATTGTTAGCGTGCCCGGATTAGTCTATAAATTTTTAGACTCGGTGTCTGGTACCCTTGTCTATGCATGTTTAATGAGTGTGTCTAGACAGGTTGCCGGTGAACGCCCTCAGCTTTTGATCCAGCTGGTTTCTTTGCCTTTCATTTCGCCATGTCATGTTGTAAGCATTGATCACCCCTCCAGTAGACATCCATTAGCCATATCAGATTCCTCCTTGCTCTGCCTAACCCATCCCTTATCTCTTACCTCCTGGGAAACGGATCTCAAAGGGCAAACGTTTCCATCGTTCATTCCATCTCTCAGGAACTGTGTCGCCCTCTCTCTCTCCGCAGGCTGGTCCCAACGCACTCCTATTTTAAAAACTGTTCTTTACTGTGTAGTCGGTACTGTGACAGATCGCAGGAAGATCGCAGGGTTTCAGAAGCTTACTTGGGTGGGACTCGAACCCATGACCTCCCACTTACTAGGGCATGATACAACCCACTCCCGTCTGATTCCTAAATAAGACCCTGAAGTTAAATGTCACTGTCAGGTGACTGCAAGCCTACTCACTGTCTCCAGTTGTACTTGGCGATAATACGGCCAGATACAAAATGCCACTGAGCCGCCCCTTGTGCCACCCACGATATTCCGCTTTAACAAGTCCGCATTTTGTTGTGGCCCTTCCCCCTCACCGTGTTATTACAGGGTATGGCTGTGGATGCCTCAGCCATGACACTGGAACATCAGGCCCATCATCAGCAGTATTCCCAGCAGATGTACACGCAGGGCCAGCCCCAAGTAGGCCAGGCGACACCTAACCTCACGCTGGATATGTCAAAGGTCGGTTAGGACACTCGCCCTTGGACTCTCTTCCTTGCTGTGTTGTCACTTTGTGGCCCTTGCCCCTCCCCCTCCCTCCTCCTCAATGGGGTTAAGACCTTGCTTCTGGTTTTTAGTCCTTGCTGCTGGGCCTTGCATGGAGCTCCCGATTTGTTATCATATCGAGAAACTTTCCTGAATACTTTTTTTTTCATTGGAACTTCCCATCAGGCTCATTAGTAAAAGTTCCTTAGACAAAACCATCCCAATCATAATTTCTTCCTTCCTCCCCCAAGCTTTGCTGAAAATGTTGCAGAAAAGGTACAAGTTACTTTCCTTTCAATATCGTACCTATCATTTAATCCTCCACAATATCCCAGGGTTTTGATTCTGCCAAGCTTGGTGCTAACCATTATCTCAATTTTGTTCATTCCTCATCTTTCATGGTTTGCCCTTAGGTATTTTACGGGGCTTGAGCTCACTTTGGATAAGATCAGAGTGATTTCTTAAGTTGTAGTCTAGTCCTACACAAGTCATTCACAGATCAAATCGCAAGTGCATGTGAAGTTGCCTTTCCATATGCACGTTTAAGGCCTTTTCTAAACTGTAGGCGTAACTGTGCACTGGGCACAAAACGAACTAAAAATGCATTTGGAGAGGTCGCTTCAGGCTGATAGTATAAATGGAAATGCCTTTATCACAGTTTGTCTGAATAAGTTGTTACTCATGACTACTTGAGACTGGTTGACTTGGGATTGACTTCCGCTGGACTTGTGATGACTTACAATGACTTGCATACATCTCACTCTGTTTATTTCATCTGTGTCTTTCCCCACCCCTAGGGAGGCCTGCAATACCGGGATGGCACGTGCGTGGTCAGTACGTCCTGTACATCACCTACCTCGCCAGTCTCCAATCCCCAATACTCGCCCTCCCCTGCCCACTCCCCCTCGGCCACCTCGGTACCCCAGGGTTCCCCCAACAACAAGGCAGTCAGCGATGCCTACTACCAGCAGCTGCAGCATCAGTTTGAGCAGTGTAGTATGCTAGCTCAACAGGAGGTAGGGTCCCCTACACACGGACAACAGATCACTTACAATCCGCAGGTAAGTTTACTGTCTACAGCCGTGTTCGCATTGGACTTTTTTGGGTAAAAGTAACGGAGGCTGTTGTCAACTTTACGGAGACGGTTGTCAGCTTAAAACCAAATTGAGTCCAGTGTGGACGGACAGTCGGTAAACTTCCCAAGTTGTCAAGTGTCGATTTGTTAGTTTTACGGTCTACAGCGGTACGTTTTAAAGGGCCAATGGGATCGCGGCAGAATTGCATTGTTAGTTTTACATCACTGAAAACTCCTGTGCGGACGGCCACTGCTATGCAAAAGTTATGTTATTGAACTCTGTAATTCACACGCATAGGTCTACCGGTACATAAACTGTAACTGAGATTTTACCGTATTTCTACAACCACATCCGGTGTAAGGTTAAAAAGTTGCTGGCAGGGCGCGCTCATAAGATTCTGAGAGAGCAAGGTTTGGTAAAGTTTAAGCAACCACTGACTTTCCACTGACCAAAATTAATCCAAAGTGCGGTCGCACGGCAGAATAACTACAATGGAATGTTGACAATCACTCGTGGTAACTTATTAAAAATCAGGTCCAATGCGAATGCGGGTAATTTCTTATAAATTCCTGTGTTGTCTGTTGTCTGATTTGGGAAGCTTATTTTTAACTGAGGGCGATGCTAGAACTGCAGAGTGCATTGAAGGATTAATCAGAAACGGCTGTGGTTCTTCCTCATTCGTACAAGTATCACTTGCAGTACACTGAAAATGTCTACTGCATCTGTAGACTAAATCCAGTTATCATAACTGAGCTATTACCATGCTCACATGCAAGTTCCTGCATGTCCACTCTATGCTGCTATAGGCAATAGTTTGTTTTCAAAACTCGGTCAAAATGCATGGCCAACACGAATCCGAGAAAGCTTGACACAACCTCGGCCATATCCTACATAATCGTACTCACTGGATAGTCTACTGTCAAACAAACCTAGGCACAAATCCTATCTGAAGAATTCTAAATGGAATAGGACTGTTGTGAGTTTGGAGACCTTCCTGTCCCTACAGTTTTGGATGCTTAAAGGTAATATACATCATTTGCAAAAATATAAATAAAAAAAAAACTACCAAATTATTTATGAAATACATTTCTTGACTGTAAGTGAATAATAGTCTCAAGCATCCTGTGAAATCATGGCACCTGGTGTGCTGTCATTTTAAAAAAAAAAATTGAATTTTTGTATCAATTTCCAACGATGGTCGGCCGACCATCGTTGCAAAAAACTGACTTTTGGTTAGTCCACATTCTGTTTGCAATCGGTTACACGTGCGTGAAGGGTGCAAGCCAGCTAGTCTGGTTCCCTGACCTGACAATTCCCCAAGGTCTATAAATTGCTCTTTTTTGTCTGAAGTAGGGTCAGGGAACCAGACTACAAGAACAGCATTTTTTTCCTTGGTTTTTCCAGCATCTATGAACACAAAACTAACAGGTCAGTGTAACCAGTAAAATACTTAACCCCCGAATTCATCCATTTCTGAAAATGACAGCAAAAGCAAATGTTGTATATTACCTTTAACATTTCTCATCCGTCAATATTGCTTAGCTTTAGATTTGCTTGTCCCCAAAACCCCGTCCTGCAGGACCTCTACACTCAGAACCTATCCAACCACCAGATGAGCGAGGTGGACCAGGCGCTCTTCTTCCCCCAAGGAGCCTTCTACGGCCAGGCCTACATGCAGGGCCTGACAGACACCCCCGACCTGTTCCAACCCAACAAACCGCCCCCGGCCTACCCCCACTCCCCCTTCATGCAGTCCAGCGCCGGCAACATCCCCAATATCATCTTGACAGGTGGGTTGCCTGACGGTAAGAGAACTGCGCCTCCATCTTTATCTTTCACTTCTTGTACGGCCGTGTCTTGTGAAACGGTAGCATTTTGTGCAAGATGTGTTGTGATATGTGTGGCCTGAGATGAAAATCTGTGCCTAGTCCTGATTTGAACTGGTACGTCAGATATTATTCATTTGGTGGGTTTTTTTTGGGGGGGGGAAGAAATCGGAGTGTGCACACCTGTGATCACCCTGTTCTCCCAAAACTTTTTCACGATGGCAGTTTTAAAATGAAATACCTTAGTTGAAAAAAAAATATTGAAATCTATTTTACCCTTGAAATGAAAAGAATGCAAAATGTACAATATGTGAGTTGACATCCCCAAACTCTTGAACTAATTTTACTGAAAAGCACCCTTCTTCAAACCAGAATAAAATTTCGACGAAATGTTTTCAAATTTCGATTTGAGACCAGGTACCACGTGATTTTCATCTCAGGTTTGGTGGCAGTGTGCTTATCGTGGTAAACATTTTTTGTCGTTAATATTTTTTATCAGGTTACAGTCACTGTTAGTTGTTGTGACTGAAATAGCACTCTTAATGTTAGATTAAATGCTGCATCGAAGCTGTCATCGCAAATGAATGAGAAAATAGAAGAATGAAGAAATATTGTGAGCATTGTTATACAACGCCTGAATAAATCCCCGTCGTCTGATTGGTGGGTCCTTGATCACATGTCATTGAATTATTCGTCCCAACGTCACGGCCCGGCCGCGCCGCAAAAATTGAAGTTCTGTTCCACGGTCATATGTTTGGTGGGTTTGACCAATCAGATGACGAGGATTTATTCAGGTGGTGTACATGTATAAACAAATGAATGTTGCACATTCGTGCAGTGGAAGGAATAATTTCATTCGGTGACAGATGGAATGTTTCATTCGCCGAGTGGAATGGAATATCCTCATGAAATTATTCTGACCGTTGCACTCATACATTCACTTCGTATATGAATGAGTTCAGTATATGGTTGTTCATGTGTAGTATCTTAAAGACATAGTCCATCATTTGTAATTTGTGCATTTTGTTCGTTTGAAGCAACAAAAGTGTTCAAAATCTAATGAAGGATACTGAACAACTAACCTGATGAAGTTTCAGCTCGGCTTCAGCTGTATATTCCGAGAAAAACAGCATTCTAGGATCTCAATTTCAAATCAAAAGTTGCTAAATCATGTTTTGAATTGTTTTGAATTGCAGCTCTACGCGATGTCGCGCACTGATCCGACGAATTATAGCAACCGCGCGCGCCTGTGCGTCGTGCAAATGCTTGCGCGCGCTGCGCCGAATAACAAAACGAACTACTAATTAAAATTTTCCTACGGTGCTTCTTAAGACGCACCGTTGGGAAGGCCTTCTTTCGTTGATTTCTTCAAAATGAGAGCTTGCCAGAAAAAATAATTTCACAGGGAGTTTAGTTCCCTTACTATCTTTCAACCAGTATGTATTTCAACAATAATTACGCCAGTTACTTTTTTGGATAGCTGCAAATGATGGACTCGGGCTTTAAGTGGACATTGTAATTTAAGCTCTAATTGTTTTTTTATGTTGCAATGCCAGATGAACAATTTATAACTTGCAAAGTAAATTACATGACACTTGTCAATGATATTCTCACTTTGTGATGGTAGGTTTCGTAGGTAAATCACATGCGTCAGTCATACATGTTTATAAGTGTGGCAACTAAAAAAACACACACACACAAAAAAAGCTTTGTTTCCAGTAACCTGAACGGCCCTAAAAAATTTAAATGTACATAAAGTCAGCATTTAAATTTTTTTGATTTTCATTTTGTAGTTGATTCCTTCCAAAAACACCACAATGTACTTTTTAGAAAGTCGTTTTTTTAATGTCAGAACTCAGTTGAACAAACAAATTGACTTGAGCGGGGTCTGAACCTATGACCTCTGGAACGGAAATCTGTTCTAGAGGTCGTAAGTTTCTTTGTTCGACTTTTAAAGGGAAGATACAACATTTGCAAACATCAAAAAAACGAAATGATCAAATTATCACGAATTACCTTACTGAAATGTTAGGAAATGACAGTCTAAAGCATCCTGCAAAATCGTGGCTCCTGGTGTGCTGAGATTTTCAAGAAAAACTGTATTTTTCCAACGCTGGTCGGCCGACCAGCGTTGGAGAAAACTGGCTTTTTTTCAAAAACTGCTCCTAAGTTTTCATATTTAGTTATTCTGCATTTTCTTTGCAATTGATTACACATCTGTGAAGGGGTACAAGCCTGCTAGACTGATTCTTTGACCTTACAATTCCCCAAAGTCTATAAATTGCTCCGTTTCATCTGAAGTGGGGTCAGGGAACCAGACTACAACAACATGATTGGTTTTCTTGGTTTCTCCAGCATCTACAAGCCCAAAACGTGAAACAAGTCAGTTTAACAATACTTGCCATAATATACTAACCCTCTGAATCAATTTATTTCTAAAAATTGCAAAAGCAAATGTTGTACATTCCCTTTAATAAAACTTATTATAATGCACCTAGTCAGTTTCCCTTTGTGGTTATTTAAAAGTCTTTATTGGTGCATAGGGTTTTTATGAGAACTGAATGTTCCAGAGTTAGATCCTAGTGTTGCTGGTACTTCTGTAGTGGTTTACACCAAGTAAATGTGATGTACATGTACGCTTGTGTTGCAGTGTTAATAGATGTTGCATGTATGATATTGATGTGTTAAGGACAATGGAAGCTCCATTTCAGCTACCAAAAAACCCCAAAGACTTTGGAAGTTTAGCCCACCCCTTCAAAAATCTAAATCAACCCCCTCAAAAAAGAAAGATTTTTTTTTTTTTACAGAATTGTAAATTACAAAACCAAACTAAATGAAGAATAGATCTATTTTGTTGACTTGAATATTGCCCTCAAGTTGATTTATATTACCTGAAGATTTAAGTGACGAAACAGAAACTATATTCTGCAATTGCCAACAATTGATTCTTCATTTTACTCAATAGACACTTTTAACAACAGAGCATACATGTCCAAGAAATTGGAACTTCAAAAAAAAACCTATATCTACCGGAAAGGAGAAACTCATGTGTTGAAGACATCACTTTGATTTAGGAATTCAAGAAGTAACGTCTTGAAAAGGACATTTAGAAAACCTTTTAAAAAAAAAAAGGTAAAAGAAATTTAAGAATTGGGGTTTGAAGTTGGTTTCCTGTCTTGATAACTGTTTATCAGACTCGTTTTCCCTTCTCTCTCCCACTGTGTCTCTTCCCAGGAACTGGTGAATCTCCACCCAGACAAGACTTTGCCAAAGAGATCAGTAACGCCATGGCCGGCGTAGACAATTTTGACCCTCTCTTCTCGGCCGACAGCTTCAAGTTAGACCCGCTGGACCTGGACAGCCTGCAGATGCTGACGGACAATGACGTGGTGGCTGACCAGGCCACTGAAGATTCATTCCGACTGGATAGGTTTGATGCGTGATAGGCCCGCTTGATCAGCCCAGACAGTGTTTTTGGAGTTTTTCGTCTTCGGGGAAAGCTGGGAAATATAAAAAAAAGATGGAGGTCAAGGTTGATGAACGATCAGAAAGTTGGATTGATTCACGTTTGCTGCAGTCTTAGATTAAACCTCGTGCAAGACCAGAATCAGTGACATCGGTGGCCAGCCCAGCACGGGTCGTTGATCACACTTGTGAAACAGGTCTTAGCAACCTTGGCAGTGGTCCCACAGGGAACACGCAAGTTCAGCCCAGGTGATTTCAAGCTTTTGAGACATACTTGAAACTTGGTTGACTTCATACCACTTCCAGTTTGGAAGGTGAACTCTTATGTGACAGGAATGCTGCTGAAAGAAACTTCGGTGTTTTGTAAAAACTGGACTGGGCTCTGTGTTTGACTAGTGTCTCTTTCAGCAAGTTCTTGCAAGTGGTAAGGATTTGTTCATGATGAACAGCTAAAGATGAAGACAGTAGACCTGTTACTCTCTGACGGAGAACATCCAGGAAGGTGAATCTTCTACAGAGGGCAACAAATATTGCATCTTTCTAAGAGTTTCACTCGGGAATCGTCAAAGGAAGAAAAGATAAAACTGCCTGTGGAGTTTTGGGAATGAAATGCTGAGGGAGAAACACGACAGTTAGGCTGCGAGATTGAATTAGATAAACATCCTGCATCGATGTCATCAACAAGATTCGGAGAAACTGACACAGACATTTGTCAAGGCCGTTTCACAGAGAACATACATGGGAGTGTTGAAAGGAGAAGCTTCGGTATAGGAAACAGGAGGAAGGTAAACACCTGCTTTTTTTCAAGAAAGGATTCTGCAACGGCGACATTCCTTGGAGTCTTGGTGTCCAGTGGTCTGCTTGGCATCAGGAGGGATTCCTACAACTTTCAACAACCTGATTGTCACTCTGGAGAACAAGTGGAAGTCTAAACAAAAATCATTGCTTTATATTTAAAGAAAAGTGTATCAAAAAGGTTGCAGTTTCGATAATGCATTGCCAGATTTTTTTTGTGATGTGTTCATTCCAGGTTTAACCAACACACTGTTTCTCTTTGTATATGCGTTGTTCCCCAGTTGTTGTGTCCCTTTTTTTGAGTCGCACGCCCTTCATCACATCCAGTAGCTGGTGGTTTGGTAAAGCAATGAAGTCTGGTCTCCCAGAGTCCTCAAAATACTACTTGTGCTGAGAAATGCTTTTTACACTTGATTGTGCTTAGGCACCAGTCTACAAGTGCAGCCCAAACTACTTGTATTGGATGTGGTAATGGCTTAAATGTAGGTAATTGGACCAGGGCCCAATGTCACCAAATGTCAGCAATTTTAAATTGCATTGTAGCTTAACTCTAACCGTGCTCAAATCAACACGATTCTGCATAATTCAAATGAACCATAAGGGTAGGGTTAAGTTAAAATCATTTCTGGTCCCAACCATGCTGAATTTCAACCAATTTTGATGGCATACAAATGGGGAGAAAATGCAGGAAAAATAACCCGTGCATGGTTTTTCTGTGTTTTTTTGTTATTGTTTCGTTGCACAGTTTTGGAAAAGGTTGTTACAACCTCTCAAAATACAGCTGGGTTATGTTCCAAATTTTATAAAACTTTTTTTTTTTTTTTAATATTTCCACAACAAGACCACTTGCCACCTTTGTGAAATATTTGGTCACCGTTTGGTGGCCTTGAGCTCTGGTCCGATTTAGAAGAAAAAAGTACAAGTATTAAGTGGTGCAACTGTGCTGTGGTTGAAGCACCATGCGTCTTTCATTTGTTGTGTTGTTATATGGTTTGTGTAGCAAAACACTTGATAGCAATGCTATCACGAACATGGATTATTTTTCTCGTCCAAGCTTCACGATAGAAGCGCCATTCATAAAAAAAACAGGATACTTTTAAGAACAGCATAAGATACAAAATATTTTCGCAGGCAAATTTCTTTTTTGTCAAAGTCAGATCTGGTTTGGCAGTTTGCGGTGCAACATTTGGTAATTGTATTTGGAGCAACGTTATTACAGTATATTAGCAATGTTATAGTATGCGGTGTACACAAATTGTCTGAGTATTTTTTAAGTAATGCTGCATTGCTGATTAGCCAGCTTGTCTCGAAACGCTAGATGGTAATTTTTTTTTGCCTGAAAAGCGAGCTGTTTTCCCATTGTAAAATCAGTCAGTAATGTTCATCATCGGTGGCACAAACAGCAAAATCTGGCACCCAAATGCTTATTGGCATCAAATTATTATGGTTTGAAAAGATTGCACTGGTTTGACACATTAACCCTAACTCCCTAGGCCTTTTTGCTAGGATGTAGCCTCAATCCTGCAAAATCCTCCAATTGGCCTCATGGAAAAATAGCATATAGCATCAATCCTGCAAATTCCTCCATTATTTCCTTGAATATGATCCGTGGAGGGGTGGCCACTACCTGAATCCTGCAAAATCCTGCAGCAGTGACTGTCAACATGTTGAGGCTTGGCCAGTGACATCCTGGAGCAGTGCAGAGGATTTCAAGCATAATCCAGGCCTATATTTCTGCACAGCTGAGCAAAAACAACACAAGGTCCGGCCCAAGACCTTGACAAAGTGCATCCTCCAAAATCAGTAACGCACTTTTGCCATGTAACCTCAATCCAAATTCCTCCACTGTGGCAAAGAAGATTTGAAGGATTCAGGGCGGTTAGGGTTAAGGCTTAACCAGCCAGTTCCCATCTCATACATCAAAGTAGCTTTGCACCAGAGAGTAATAGCTGGGGAAGGCCAAACAAATATTGCAAACCGATTTCTGCCTGTGTCTAAAATGACAATTACGACGGCAGAATATGGGTTTCCGTGCACAAGTATCCCCTACAACGCTTTCAAAGGGAGAGTTGGGCGAGACCACTGGAAGGACATTGACACCCATTGCTGATGACATCTGATACTTACGTGAAGACACTGTGGGTTTGTGCAGTTCAGAATTAAGTTGTGCGTACATTGCGCCGTATACATGCGAACCAGTACACACATGCAGTATGTTCCTTCTACTGGAGCTCTTGAAAGTGGTCGTAACGCCCCATCTAATCTTGGTTCCAAGACGTTACTATCTGGTGTATGTTACGCATGAACATGCATACACTTTCGCACTTACAAAAATATTCCATCAACAGAGGGTGCAATTTACAATTCTGAGAGAAACATGCCACAGGCATGCAACGTTTCCTCGGATCAGCTGATTTCCTCGTTTTTCACTTCACATTTATGCCATTAAAAATTGAAAACACTGTACAAAATCTTTTTAAAATTTTGAATGTCCTCTTTTTTTTGGGTTACTTCCAAGTTAGGCCCCCCAAAAAAGTCTCCGGTTTCTGGTATGGAGCTTGCCCCAAAAGTGGTGCGGCGACGCGGCTTTTTAAAAAAAATTTTACCTGGTTTTTTTTTTTTTTGGCTTCAAATGTCGGCTGATGACTGCAAATGGTGCCCGACTAAACTTAGTGCAAATATATGGGAGTCCAGAGAGGCCACATAAAGCTTATTCTCGATCATAACCCCATCTAAAAACACGTTAAAATTGTGCAGCAGCAGGATTCCAGTCAAACCAGTGAGTTTGGCGGTTTTGAGACATCATCTTGTATTGAAAAAAAAACTTTTTCATTTTGCCGACGCGCATGGCTACGGCGACGCGCGCGCATACCAGAAACCGGAGACTTTTTTTTTGGCCTTACATGCCTGATACCAGAAAAACCTCCATCACAGAATTGAGTACAATATAGCATCGAAAACAATTAAACCTTGCCCACGTGTAACAAAAAAAATTTTTGAGAAAAAAAAACACGAAGGCCTTGGAACCAAGACTGCGCGCCATTATACTTGAAGCCCATAGTGTGTCTTACTACAAGTACATTCACAGACTACAAGTACATTCACAGAGAAGAAGTTGGAAGAAAAAAGTTGTAAGTGGAACAACAATGTTTAACGTAAACGAGTGATAATTACTCACAGAATGAAACTGTCTTAGCCGTGGGTCTGGGCAGTGATTCAGTTCATCTTCCATTGTGATTTTTCCAGTACAAATCTTCAGTCAGTTTGATATTTTCCTAAAAGTAAATCACTTCCTGTCTAACTCAATGTTTGTTCCACTGAATCAACCACTTTTTTATGTACAGATATAAATACACTAACCTTGGATGTGTTAGGGCGTGAATCCAAAAAATCATGTCCTTTTTTGTATTAATATGCTGCATTTTCCCCTTTTTTGTGGTCAGGTAGGAGTTATGAAATGAATAGCTTGTGTCTGTTGTAAGAGTGTGTCATACCTATTTTCTGGATTGCAATTGCTGTTTCGTGTTGAGACAATCATTTTTGTGCTCGCTGGTAGGGCATGAGATTGTGTAAGCAAAAACCATTTGATGTAGTTAAAGACGTGATCCTTCCCTTTCCGATTTGAAAAAAACCCTTCAGATCTGCTATCTGTATTGAAACTCTGGCTTTTAACTTGAACTCTTTTAACTTGCTGACGAGAACACTAAAAAAAAGGCTAAATACAAACTTGCAACTTCTACCGTTCATGTAATTCATTGTAGGTATCTAGGTTTCTCATTCAGTTACCCTCTAATTTTCCTTTAAAAAAAAAACCCAATTGCTTGAGAAAACAAGGAAAATTATCTGGCAAATTCCAATTATTGACGGTCTGAGATGAATAAGGGAAGACTTCAAGTATGTTGCTGTGTTGTGAAGTTCGGTCAAACACTGACTCACACATTATCTGGAAACGACGTGATGCTGACAGTTCACATCATATCCCCTTGCGTAATCTGGGCTGGAGAGGGGGAATTTTAAAAACCATCCAAGTTTGCTTACTGTTTGTGTCGTAAGGCCGGCTCCACATGAATCATATTTTGAGGGAAACACCTCATCAGAAAACTGTTGCTTCACATCCCCTTGCACAACTACGGTACAAAAAGGGAAATGTTCATATTGTGTCAGTCCATAAGTGGCTTGCTGCAATGCCCCCCTTGACAAAAAAAGATCCAATGTGTTTGTTTTATTTACAGGGTGTTTAGTTTATTTATTTACTGTTAGCAAAATAATATAACTCGGTCCTGATTTTTATTAAGTCATAATTTTGTTTCAGATTTTTGTGCTATCTGCGTCTCCACCACTTATATATATATACTGCAGAAAAGACATGCATAAACATGATACCCAGCAAGTGAATATCTTGAATTGAAATGGAAACTTTGAAAAATATCTTTTGCTTTTATCATTTTGAAGTGAAAAAAAAATACACAAAAAACAAAAAGATGTTTGAACAGCAAACATGCTAAAATTATTGCCTGTTATGGGGAAAAAAATCGGAAGTACTTTTGAGGCAAAAATGTTTGTAAAACTAAAAGAGAAATGAAAAGTATGAAAGCTACATAAGGGAATCATGAAATTAAACAATACAGTTCTTAAAGGCATATAAAATCATTTGCTTCTCCTCCATTTTGTTCGTTTCCAAAAATAATACCACTTGAAGTCCACTGAATAGTGTTCAAAATCTAACCTGTTGAAGTTTCAGCTCAGTGGATATTACACTTTTCGAGAAAACGGTGAAAAACAAAACACGATTTCGCCAATAGCACTCTTTATTCCAAAAATCCGTTAATTTACTGATTGTAGAAACTCGCCTATATCTCTTGGTTTCTTCTGAATGACAGCGAGCCAGACTGAATCATTTCACGGGGTGTTTAGTAGCAGTAACATCTTTAATCCAAGTAAGCTGTTGGATAATAATTTGGTTGGTTACTTAGGGATAAATTCCAGTGATCCTATATGCCTTTGAAAGTCATGATAGTTTGTACAGGTATATTTTACTGAAATAAGGAGGATTCACAAGTAACCAGAATTTGACAAATTCAACAATTTGATCTCTTTTTGGAACCAATGACCTGCTGGTCAGGTGGTCGACATTTTGTGGGGCTCAGACATGATGCAGGCTTTCAAGTATAATTCCTACTATTTCTACTTTTTCCCATTTCGTTTTTTTTTTTTTTTTTTTTTTAGCTTGCTCCTACTTTTCCTACTTTTGTCTGTAACTCCTACTTTTTTCCCTACTTTTTCTTACTTTTTCCCCCCTCAACTCTGAAAAATGGAATCACATTGAATAGTTTTCATACAATGAAGGTCTTGAGTACAGGAGTACTGCAGCTGTACTTCCAAGAGCTTAGTTGAGGATGGAGCACAAGTGTTGTGAGTACAGAACATGCCAAATGAGGCTTATGATGCTGTGGACATGGACGAGTATCAACGAAAACTGCTCCTGAAAGCCCGCAAAAGTCTTGCTTTTATCCTGATTTTGTCCTCCAAAGGTTTACTTTTGTCTTGTGTTTTTGAAAATTTTGATCCTACTTTTCTCCTACTTTCCTTCTTCTTTTTCACCTGGGTTTGCTTGAAAGCCTACATGATGTCTTATCCTGAACCCGTGTCTAGACAGTTCCACTTTGGCTAAGGAAAGAATGAAAATCAAGATAACGAACACGTACAGAGCAGCGACTTTCTTTTGGGGTTCTCAGACAAATTTTTGTATTACTTGCATGGAGTATATTACAAATTGAATTTTCTCCTTAGTTTGCATAGAAAATTATTGTGACCGTTGAATTGCTAGCTTTACACAAAAGACGCTTGTTTATAATCAGCAGTGTTTTGCCACTTAATGAAGATAAGATAACGTAGAACTATCGAATACTTTCTTCTTGTGGCATTTTACATGTTTTGTACAAGAGCGGGAATGGGCAGGTATTTTTTGGCAGAATGCCAACTCATTATGTCATATCATATTTCATGTGAATTAAGAGCCAAAAAAAATGTAAAGAAAACATGAATGGAATGCATGTTGCTATTGTTATTCTCGCATTTGCCTGAAGCTGGAATTCGCTATTAAGCTAGAAAGAAAAAATAATAGTAAAGCACTGAAACCATGGTACAGCAGTATCTGGTTAAGTTCTAGAACTAAGTATTCCTCAACACAGCCAACTTCTTTTAATTAAAAGAATTTCAAAACTGTTCTCAGATGGGCAATTTTTGCAAATGGACCAAAGAGCTAGGCTCGGAACAGCAACATGTCATGTCGCTCTATCACGATATCACTATAAGCACTTACTGTACATGTACATGCATGATAAAGTTTGCCCATATTTGTAGCTTCTACTATGGGATATTTGAATGATATAAAGAGTACAATTATTAGGATAATTTTAACCGGAAAACTTATTCAGACCCCTCTATGCATTTGGAACTCTCTATTGTCAGTTTTACCATTGTACAGTTATAAACCTCACAATTCTGGCACTACTCACCTCGTGTCTAACTATCTGTCTGTCTTCTTGTGGCCTTTTTCTAATTCGTGCTTTCACTCAAAATAATCCAAGTGTTGTATAGATTGTGACGACTTTGAGATTGTGCTCTAACTTTTGTTTTTCTTTTTCCAATTCTTGAGATGTGTAAAGAAATTAAGATAAAGGAAATTGAATTAGACATTGTTCGTGATCTCTCACTTTGTGGTTGGACGACGAAATTCTTGTTTGTGAATTTCAGATCGAGAAATTTGGATGCAGGCTGTGAGCTGCTTACTCGGAAGAGGTTACAGGCCATTTTCCAACTGTCAAGAGAACTTACATTTTGTAGAAAATTGAAATAAAAATGGTTGGTTCAGATGTTTATCGTCTGCACATTCATTTTAGAAGTCAACATTAAGCTTTTTGTCCTCGCAGAGAAAAACATTTGAAAGAAAATAACAGAACATCCAGTCACAGAGGGAGAGATCAACGACTTTACAGATTTATGTGTATAAAAGATTATGTAGAAAAAAAAGATGTCTATTGAATAAAAAAAAGAAAAATTGTATAGGTATTGTACAAATTTTAATGTAATTATTACACCAGATATCCCAAACCATTGTTATGTAAATCTATACATTTGAATTTTTGATGAGATGCAGTATTTGAAGAGACAACAAATTTGTTTTGTAGATTTATAAAAAAAAAAATAATAATAATGCTCAGCTTTTTCTTCGCTCGCTTGCAATGACTCAGACGATGTTTTTGTGTTTCCTGGAATTAAGGGAGGGGAGAAAATAACGTTTTTTTCTAAATACTGACAGCTAACTTTACAGGCTTTTCTGTGTGCAAAGTGTTTGTAAATAGTCTGAAAACAATGAATTTGCATCAGTGTAAATGGGGAATCATTTTTTCCTGCTAGGCAAAATCACTCAATTCATGTTCGATAATCACAACTTGGGACTTATTCCTAGTTGGGATAGGTGCCAAATCACATGGGCCTGCAGTCCCAAGTTGGGACATTCTCAATTGGGAATGAGACACCAGATTACAGGGATCCCTGCTGAGTGTATTGTCTGCTATTTTGATGATTTTGAATTGCTCCAACTTTTCCCCTCTTTGGAGCTTTGTGCTTTTTAATGAAAGTTGCAGCCACGAACTCATACAAAACAATCTAATCGTCATCATTTTCAGCTTAATCAAAAAGTGTACACAAAAATACTGTCTGTTGGCCTGGAAACATAAAGAAAAATGTGCAATTTTGTTTTCCACTGTGATATGAATTTTTGAATGAAATTAACATAGATATAGTGAGTTTTATGGAAATACTTTTCATTGTGGATATGCACCGAGTGGTTGAAGTCATACAGTATGTAATTATTTTTTTATCTGCTGAATTGTTTTAGTACATGTTTTGCTTGATTTCCTGTGATCTAGATAAAGAAGAAGTAGCATTTGTAGATGAAATAGAATTAGTACACTTAGATGAATGAGTTGAAATTAGAATAAAATACTCTTTGATATACAATGTACAATTTTCGCCCCCAGAAATTCAAAATTTGATATGTAGCCTACCTCACAAGAATCAGTTAATCAATTCACATTGACAGTTGGTCTTTATGTTTTGCCATGTGGAAGTTTGTAGCAGCTTGGACAAAAAGTTGAAGCAGTTGACTGTCTTTGCATTAATTGCCATGTTAACAGCCATTCATCCTGTGCGTAGGCATCTTTCTGTCAGCAGGTTTGTTTGATACACACCAGTAAAACTGGTTTTCATTGGTTGCCCAAACTGGCCAGAACCGGCCAGAACCGGCTAGAACTGGTTTCTCTTGAACCAGAACTGGTCCAGTCTAGAAACTCATCAAAGTCCTTTGAAGTATCAACAGACACCTTGATTTTCTCCTGAGGGATCCCTATCTAAACAAAATCAGAATTTACCCGCCAAAAAACAAACAAACAAAGAAATGGTACAAAGATTACTGAAGGGATCAACAGACAAGTAACAGAATGCATTGAAATGAAATTAGGCAATTGTACACATGCCGATCAAGACTGAAAAATTTGGAGGGGTGAAATAGCAGTTTATGAAAACACTACTACTTGGAGGACCCGATTTTGAAACATTTTCAACCCTTTTTTTGGGTGTGAAATTAAGCTGTTAAGCTCTTCTAAACCCCTCCGAACCAGACCTAAACTTGCAGGCCTTGAGTTGAATGACTCTGGAGGAGAGGGTTACCACAAGTTTGATTTCTCAAGTCCCTCTTACTTAAATTGTTTTTAAGCTTTTTTTTTTTTGATGAGACAAAAGTTGCAGCTTTGAATTTCTCGTAATAAAAAAAAACAATGGTCTTAGCTCTGCTGTGTATATAACTTTTGCAGATATGTGGAAAAAAAAGTGTTACGGCCAACAAAATTGTCAAATTTATAATGACAGTATTGTAGATACTAAACGCCAGACGATATGCCTTTACTAGAAATGTGTTATTGTATAGAGAAAAACATATGTATTGTAAGACTTACACAAAAAACTGGTAAAAAAAAAGGAAAACATTCAAAAAAAGACAAAAATAAACACAACAAAAAAGAGTAAATGTTGAAAGAAAGGGCACTTTAGTATATAAAAGTGTAACTGTAATATTGTTTGGAAAACAATTTTTTAAAACTTTATGATGTAAAATCAGTCTAACAGTATTTCACATAATGTTCTGAGGATCGAAGTCACCCGAAAAAAAAAAGAACTATTGCAACACATAGCTCTGTATTCTGGCTAATTACATGGAGACATTTATTCCTTTATTTTTTAAAAACAACAGACGAGTGATGAGTAGCTTAGAACTAGAGGAATCCGGATTGTGTGTATTACTGATTGAAATTTGATATTACTGGACCAGTCAGTGGTCCAAGATATGTGCCAGGTGGATTGTATATGATGTTGTTTCTTATTTTACTATGTTTTGCTTTTTAAACATTACAATAAATGTGTATACATGAACATGGATCTGTGTCTGCTGATGTCAAGTTGTGTTCAGTGATTGCTACTTTGTATATGTGTGGACTGTTGATCTGTGTTGATTTTTTTGTCCTTCCAAATGTTTGGTTGTCTTCTTAACGTTGCATACCCTTGCCAGCCAAGTCATCAGTTCCTGGCAAGGGGGGGGGGGGGGGGGCACAGTACAAGCTAGGGGGTACATCACAAAAAGGTTAAATAGGGAAGTCCAATTCTGTATTTCTCTGTCAGAGAAATACAGAATTGGACTTCCTTATCTGTATTTCTCTGTCGGAGAAATACAGAATTGGACTTCCCTATTTAACCTTTAAACAATTTTTTTTTTGTTAAATGTGCCCTTAAAGGGAATGTACATCATTGGCTTTTGCTGTAATTTTCAGAAATGAACTATTTGAGGGGTTAGTATAATAGATCAAATATTGTTTAACTGACATGTTTGAAGTTTTGTGTTCGAAAATGCTTGAAAAACCAAAGAAAAACAAAATTATTTAAGTAGTCTGGTTCCCTGACTCCACTAAAGATAAAATGGATCAATTTATAGATGTCGGAAAATTGTAAGGTAAGGGAACCAGTCTAGCTGGCCTGCACCCGTTCATGAACATGTAATTAATAGCAAACAAAATTTGGACTGACAAAAAATTGTAAATTTGGAGCAGTCGTTGAAAAATAGTTAGGTTTTTCCAACGGTGGTCGGCCGACCACCGTTGGAAATGTATACAAAAATACCATTTTCTTGAAAATGACTTGACACCAGGTGCCATAATTTTACAGGATGCTTTAGACTGTCATTTACTAACATCCTAGTAAGGTATTTCATAAAAACTTGGTATTTTTATTTTTCGATAATTGCAAATGTTGTATATTCCCTTTAAAAATGGGAGATTTCACAATTCTTGAGCACAATGTAAATATTCAATTCTAGCCCAAGGTAAAAAAAAACTTCTGCCAAAATATTATGGAACATTTATGATGTGTATCCAATATCTGAGCACTTTTTTGGGGAGGGGTTTATTTACGGATTTTTTTTCAAAAAGAATCTCAAGAGACACTTTTTTCACTATTGACTTTCATGAAGTGCGCCACCCTACGGCAAATTATATGGGCGATGTTTTTTTGGCAAGTTTAATGGCAGATGGTACCCAGTAACCCGTATTGTTATCGTGCGCACAACTCGCCGGGTACCACGCACTGGTAGCGGTCCAGTCAATCAAACTACAGGCGCGCATATTGCACATCAACGATATGGTGTGAAAAAAATATGGGTTTGGCTGGATTCCATCCAAAACCACCTGCATAAAGTTGACTTTCGCGATGAAATTCAACATCGAAAATTCCCTTCTGTGAGAAAAGTTTCTCGGTAAATACTTAGGGGAGCTGTGGTAGGAAGTGATGAATCGCTAGGGATGATCGTGTCTGAATGCTTCTGGTGAATAAATACAGCAGAAACTGGAGTGAAGTTTATTACGGAAGTAGCTTTGGAAGTTACCGCGCGTGAGAGCACTGCTGCCGCTGCAGTAGAATAGAACGGGTCTACGTGCGCTACGCCAGTATAATCGAACACCGTGCCGACGGTTTGGGTCCGTGTATCGTGCCTGATTAGCAGCATTTTGATGACTGTTTAGCTTGCCAAAACAACTTGGAAGATGGCTAGCACTACAGGAGATGTTGTGAACGGAACGGAAGACGTTGACGGCCGAGTATCGGCGGAATATGACCGTAAGTAATGACTGTATAAACGCAAGTTAAATTGTCCGTGCACTGCAATGACAAAAAATCTCCTTGCTTATTGAACGTGTGTTGCCTCGGGCATAATGCCATGGGCATCGGCAATTCAACAAGGCACGTCATAAAGAATACCATGGTGGAATATTAAAGACATCCCACGCATCATGCCCATCATATGGAGGAAGGAATTACCACTCCCTCCCAACCCCGCCCCCTTGGCCCCTTCTCTTCGTAATTTGAAATTGCATGAAATAATGTTTAATATTTTGGGAGTTGGTTAGACCATGGAGGAATAAGTGTTCTTATTCCTCCATGGTTAGACCCCCTACATAAGTCAAACATGAGCTGTAACTTATCAGTAGTGTTACTTGTTACATTGGAAAAAATGTTGCAACCTGACGCCACTTCAGCGGTTGTGTACAATTTACAAAGTCTATGGAGAGTCAAGAAAATTTTCTAAGTATTTCCTAACAACATTGGAAATGTTTCTCAGTTCCAGATTTATGTCATCATTTTTGCAATGACTGACCTTCATTGAGATGATGAAGAAAACAGTGGTATCAGGTTGCAAAATTTTTTGCAACCAATGGTTCTTTGCTTCCTTTTTATTAAATCAGTGGACTTTACTTTCCTTTCAAAAGAGTCATGAATCAGAAAGTAAACTGATATCTGGCTTTCAACAACTGTTTTAACTTTTATCGCATTTTTAATATAAATACTAAAGCACGAATCCCAAGTTAGCACAGAAGCCGAGGCTGTCAGTGTAAGCCATTGTATGAATTGAGGACGTTTCTGTTTTTAATCGTCTCAACTAAAGATAGCACTGGGGCTCTCGTTTTCAACAGAAATTCGAAATTCCTCTATAGCTGAGGCGAGTTCAAAACATGGAGGGGTCCTAAAAAGTAACTAATGCCACATTAAAATTAATTAATGTATGGCAGTGTATTGTTTGTGTAGACATGTAGGTTAACCTATAATAGGAACAATCTGTATTTTTTTCAAATAGAAAACTGTTGATGTGCCATAAGAAATAAGAACACGTGTACGTGTCAAAAAAAAAAACCAAAACAGGCGCGGGTCTAAATTCTTGAAAGAATTTTCATAAGATAATGCGGCCATTTGACTGGGAAAGCTGAATTGTTTTGGGAGCTGTACAACCTCAGTAATTATGTCTGGTTATGTGACATGACAGTTACACAGTGTGTAGCCTATGTCTGGTATCCCATGGTTTGTTTTCTTTGTAAATGTTTACCTTCTAATTAAGCTATCTATGATTGACACGTGGTTGATTGATATTAAAAAGACAACCTGCATGTCTAGGGACTGATGTTGTTTTAGCCATTCCTTATGCATCATTGTGTATTGTGTATGACAGTTTATTATGTTTACAATACATGTGTGTGATTCTAGGGGAATTTACTTAAAACTTTAAAACAAGTTGTATTAAAAGGTCGCTTTTTCAATATGTCGTCGTTTACCGAGAACTGGAATTTTTGTATCCCACACTTGCTAAATTTAAAAATACTTCAATTTTTTTAGTTGTCAAATGAAGAGTTTGAGTAAGGATTTACCGATAGAAGAATGTAAATCTTCACAGAAATTATTATTTTTTAATTCAATTTTTGTATGTAAACATAAAAAGTGTGATGTGTTTTTGATGCAAAAATATTACACAGTTTTTTATCTCAACAATTTTTTTCCCATCAGAGATACAGCAACAAGAAGCTCTTACAAAATTAATCTATTTCTCATGTCAAGGTCACGCCTCATTGCCTTCACAGCTGGCTTCAACCGTTGGTCTGTTAAAATTGTGTTTAATCTGTATCATGGACATTGCATGCACCTGGCCGTATTTGCATTTAAAAAATTGGCAAAATGCAGTCCTTCAGCAGACGTGTGCTCAAGCTCCCATGGCTAACGGTTGAAGTGCACAAAGTTAATCATTTATGGTGGTTCTAATTTAGGATTGCATGTAGTTGTACAAAGGCATATAACTGCCTTTATATGAGAAAAAGCAGTTTGTTCGCAGTATGGGAACCTCTGGCCTGCTAAGTCTCCTGACAATTTAATAAATAGGTCATTCCGTGTCAATTCAACACAATTTTTTTCACCCGGCCTTAACAGATTGAAACGAAATTTGGTGGGATGATTGGCCTGAACATGTGTGAGAAACCTCCAGAACTGCAATCTTTTGTTATTTGTTTCGTTAGGTTTTTGAGATACAAGTCAACGAACTTTTGACTAATTAGCATGACCTCCGAACTTTGAATGCTTGTATCTCCAAAAGTATAGCACCTACCAAGACAAGTTTTACGTCATGATTTTGTGGCTCTGTGAATGGCCTCCATTGCATGAAATAAAACCTAAATTGTGGCATGAAGCGCAGACAAATGTGTAATTACATGTAAATAACCTTCAAAGTTCGTAAAATTTCTTCAAATGGTAGTTTATGATGTAAACAAAAATCTTTCAAATTTTTGTGATGGGTGCTCTTAAAATTCTAAAGTTATGATTTTCTGAAAATATTTGGTGTTCAGTGATGTATTCTATATATTCTAGGCCATAATTACCTTTCCAGTTAAAAGTAATAACGCTTTTTAAAAAAAATGAAATGCAGTAGGATGTGTAATAAAGATCAGTAGGGTGGACGTGTAGATCGATCTTTGAAATTATCACAGGGGTTGATGGGGTTGCAATAACATGCACAAAACATATGGTAGCCTTTTTGAATTTCTGAGATGGAAGAATCCATTGTAAAATATTTTAATTTTAGTGAATTGTTGCCAGTGAGCACAAGTAAGTAGACAAACATGGATATCCATTGACAACGTCATTAGGCTAGTGTTTAAGACATACCAATACAATGTGTGATCAATTTAGTAATACATGTACAGTTACATGAACCTTTGTTGCAAGTTTTTACTGGTTGCAGTTTTCTATCACAGTTCACAGACTTTCGTAATTTACACACTTTGTAGACGCACTCCTCTGTTTTGTTTGGAAAGGATTGACAAGTTATGATTATATTTGATTTCTTTTAATTTTTTCTTATTTCAACACTTTAGTTTTCAGTGACAACTGGGTAATTCATCATATCATCTGGAATTGCTTTCAGATTTAGAGATCAGATTTCACAGTCTGTTAAGTCACTTCGTGGAGGAAAGTGCATCCAAATCTGAAGAAGATACTTTTGGAATTTTAATCTGTGTACCAGAATAGACCATGTCTGGCCTTTCAAACTTCAATGCTCCAAGGGCTAGTGGTATGCTACATGTACAACCCCACTGTAAATTTAGACATGTGTAAGCCGTTTAGGTTCAATGTTAATTTTGGGTACAGTTACTTTTTCATTAAAAGGTACAATATACAACATTTGCTTTTGCTGTAATTTTCATAAATGGATGGATTTGGGGTTTGTGTTTTGTAGCAAATATTGTTACAATGACCTGGTTAAAGTTTGGTATTCATACATGTACATGTACCGGAAGATGTTAGAAAACCAAGAAAAAAATACTGTTCTTGTAGTCTGGTTCCCTTACCCTACTTCAGACAAAACGGAGCAATTTATACTTTTATAGACATCTGGGAATTGTTGGGAAAGGGACAAGACTATCTGGTATGCACCCGTTCATGGATGTGTAACCGATTGCAAACATAATGTGGACTAACTAAATTTAATAAATTGGGGGCACTGGGCAGTATTGAATTTTGAATAAAGGTCAGTTTTTTTTTCCAACGACCATCGTTGGAAATTGATACAAAAATTCCAATTTTTCTTGAAAATGACGTACAGCACACCAGGTGCCATGATTTCACAGGATGCTTGAGACTATTATTCGCTTACACATTACAGTCAAGTAAAGTATTTCATAATAATTTAAGTCTGCTTTCTACATATCTCAAGTATTACAATTTTTTATATAATTTAAGAATTTTTGCAAACAAACAGAAATGTGAGGGGAAATTACAAGCATGATGGATGACAAAAGCCAACTGGAAAGTAAAAGTGCAATTAATATTGCGTTTTTGGACTTCCCCCTTATTGCAGGAATGAATGTGTACATGTACTTGTACTTCCAGCACCTGTACTAGATAAAACAGTCTAGTTTATGTTGTGTCAACAGTCCTAGAAAAGTGTTTTGCAAATTGGTTTCCAAACCGTACTTCATGTACCGTAGTTGAACTTATAAAAGTACAGTCTCATTGTCAGTACTACATGTACATCAATTCAAAAATAGGTTATCAGCTCTAGAGTGGTGGGCGATTGTGCTATGCATGTACTGCACACATGTGCTTTATTCTGTCTCCTAAATGTATAAAGTTAATTTGTAACTCATTTGGCTGGAAAACTAATTTGCTTTTATGTGGAAACTGATACCAAGACAATTTTTTTTGCAAATGAAGTTTCTCCCAATTTGTCGGTGTTTTTCACATTAATAGTAAAACATTCATAGTAAAACATTGAGAGTCATGATATTTACTTCCAAAACGAAATCTCACTTCTGTAAAAGATTTGTTTTTCTTCAACCTCAAAATTCCTCACCACTGTTTTGCAATCATTCCGGAGGTGTGTAGTACTGTGAACCATGTTCATGTATACACGTACATGTATGTATAGGTTGTTTCTATTGGAAAAGTCAAGGTGAACGGGGGAAGTCATTCAGATACATACAAGTGCATACACACATACAGACTTTGTATAGTTTCTGGTCACTTCCCTTCAAAATAAAAGGCTAAACAGACGTGGAACTTACAGTTTGAGGTGCATATACATGTACCTGTACATAATGCATCTTTTAACCATCATGTCCTGTTGAATTCCATGGACTGCAATCCATGTACATTGTAGCACCTGCTCTCATCCTTTGGGTCAGGAAGCACAGCTTTTTGTGAATCCCCAGACCCCCACCTTTTTTGAGCCTGGTTAAGTGGATTTTGTCAGGGTACTATTATTATTATCCAGTCTTGCATGCTTTATACCACTCCTCTGTACATTGTACATGTACATGTACCATGATAGGGACAGCTAATTTTTCTCAAAGTTCCGCCTTGGTGTTCCCATTTTGGGTATGGGGTGGGATTTGGGCTGCTTTTTCATATTGTGTTATTTGTGAGTAATATAAAATATTGCAAATAAACAAACATGGTATACATGTATGCATGTTGTTGGATGATTGAGCCACATGTACGTTTTGTCACAGGGTACATTTAGCTTGGCCTTTATATTCATTAAAGATGGCCTTTATAAATATTCATAATAAACAAATTGAAAAAAAAAATATCAAACTGTCTAAATCCAAAGTTTAATCTGTATATATTGAATATTATCATTTTTTAATTTTTTATTTTTTTAAATTTTTTTGGTGTTTATAAACCCCAAAAGGAAACTGACTAAGTACAGCAGTAACAGCACTGCTCATTTTGCTAGCATCGTGGCTTTGGGCTTGATCCCTGGCTACATGGCATACAGGCTTATGACTTCTGACTAGCGCCCTTTGAACAAAGACATCAATTGGCAAAATGGGGAACCACCAACATACAACGCTGGAAAGCTCAGCTGGCTAAGCACCAGAATGGCAATCCGGAGGTCGCAGGTTCAAACCCGCTCCGGTCAATTTCTTTGTCCAAAAAAAAATAGCTGTATATCCCAGGGTGCCTCTGTCGTTTTTTCTCTCTTTACCAAAATCCATGTCTCTAACCATTTTACAATTTAGCCTCTAACATTCTTCCGCATTCCTTTCCTAGATGAAAATGAAGTGATGCCGCATCGTGCATCTGCTGAGGAGATGGACGAACAGCGAATGAAGAACATCGCTTACCAGTATCTGTGCCATCTGGAAGAAACAAAAAAGTAAGTTAAGGAACTACATGTATCTTCATACTTCCTTGATCCCAGCTTTATCCCCAGATCCTTAAAAATCCAATCAAGGTTTTTTACTGGATTTTGCAGGATTGAAGAAGGTAAAGCTCAGTCGCTTTTACTTTACTTGTGACTTTGTGCCCAGTGAAAATAAAAGTGCAAAAAATGGGCCATATTTGTTTGTCCTGCATATCAAAGGTTTTTGGAGGCTTCAGTGGCAAAAATGCTGTAGGGTTTGTACCCTGAGTCGATCCAGACTGACAAGGTTTTGAGGCATTCCCAATGATTCAGGACCCAACAAGCAAGCTTAGATAGGGGTAGTACAAAGAATGGACGTGTACCAATGAGTTACTGTGCAGTACAATGGGCTCGTAATACCCAATACATGCAATATGGACGTGTAATGATTTAATGTGGCTAAAACTAAACCTGTAGTCTACTGTCTAGTGGCTTTGCACACTTCTGATCATAATTGAACACAAGATGTTCCATTTAAATTCAAATTTGACCAAATCAAATGTTCATTGTAATTAATTGTTTGAGTTCCATTTACCATTTGTACAAATATTCTGGTACGAAAAGGAAATGTGTGTGTGTTTTTTTTTGGTTTTTTTTCCGTTAACATTTTCACATAACCTAACTTTCAAACTGTGGATATCTTATAATATGTACTGCCTGGAGTGCCTGGTAAAATTCGTGAGCTACTGGTGCTGTAGCCAAGTGGACTTGTAGCTTAAAACCCTAACTCCTTGGGTGATTTACTAGGAACCTTCCTCACTCTTGCAAAATCCAACACCATACAGTAAACTCTACACCCAAACTGTTGGACTCTGATTATGGTGGTACATGTACATGTATGCCTGACTGCATGTAAAGCATGAACAGTTTTCTAGTGCAGTACTCCAACAGATTCCAACAAATCATGCAGTTGGATTTTGAAGGGTTGAGGTTGATTAGGGTTAAATTGGAGCCCTGCTTTGCTATAAAGATATTCTGTAAAACTATTTCCTTTTGTCAATGACATTGTTTCTAAAAATAACACTTGATGACAACAAGTGGTTTTCGTCTAGATAAAAGTATTCAAGTTATTACTAAACATTGTATGAATGTTGATGTTGTATTTATATATAAACAAACTGCACATCAACAGTTCCAGGCCGGCCAAACTTATTCTTGATCCCCTGCAGCGATCTGAAAAGTCAACCAAAATAAATGACTGTTGACCTCTGTTCCCCAGGACACCCCATGGTAGCCTTGCCAAGTGTGGCACAGTGACTCATCCAATGTACATTGTACTTGGAAGGTCATGTGGCACAAATCAGCCCCAACATATGATGCAACGGTATTTGGAGTGAGATTATTAAAGGGGATTTTAGTTTTTGAGATGGGGGGGGGGGGGGTGTCCTGGTTCGCAGTGTTGTTGGGATTTCAGGAAATTACTTGTCCTTAAAGAGGAAGTTGGAACAGGTTGATGTTATAGGGCTGTGTGAACGACCTTAATAAAAGATAACAGTCATCAGATTTTTTTTTCTCTCAAGAAATTTTCTACTTGTATGTTTTATTCCAACCAAAAAAAACCCTGCTTTTTCTTTTTGACTCTTGAGACGTCTGCAACCCCTTTGCGAGCAGACTGGCCCACGGTCCATACATTATCAATACTGATTGTAGGGCAGGAACCAGCCTATCGTGCGAGAAGAAAGTTACATCGTTGAGGTGCAAGCAACTCAAAATTTGTAAAGTAATACTTCATTTGATAACTTAACATTGGCCAATTTCTTTTGGTCGATTATTCCAAATTGACTAACATACATTTGTTTTGCTAGAAAAATAGCAGTTTAGAAAAGGAATCTATATTTTTTTGAGATGAGACTAAAAAAAAAACACAGGGAATGCAACTTTAATGAATCGTGAAGTCATTACATCTCTGACCCAGCCAATTTTATTATACAAACATGTTCCTACATGGCAGCTGGTGTCTGGCGCTGGCCCTGCTCCCAATCCAACCAGTCTGGGTGTGCCGTGTTTATCAGAACCACACTAGTGCAGGCCGACCTTATATGACCTCCGGTAGGAAAGAAAAAAATGGTTGCACTGTAGTTTCATGAATTCCTTCCTCTATACGTGCAAGTGGTTTACATAGTATGTACATCACAATACATGAATTGCAATGTTAGCTGAAGCCAATTTCCTGTTCCAATGTGATTTTTGATATTGAAAAAGGAAGATGAACAAACAGTGTACATGAATCTTGTTTTTTTATCTAAACAGAAAAAATAAATAGGCACGGTTAAGTTTTGTTTTCATTTGAGCAACGAAAACATTTATCATTATCATAAGTTGCCATTGTATATTACGTACATGTATGGTACGAAATCCAACCCCCAAATTTAAATCTCTGAAGTTGCTGTGTACAGATAATGGTCTGCATGATAATACTTGCACATTGGTGAGTAAATGCAGCAAGGTACATGTGTGTACTGCAGTGTTTCTCCTGCCCATTCAAACGTGAGAAGGCCCACCTCGCTAATTTCAGTGACCACCTCGCTCAATTTTTGCTAATATCACCACCTCGCTGTGAAGATTGCCAATAAAGAAAATACTAACTGAAAAAGTTTCATTTTGTGTGATTAATGAGCGTTTTCCCTGACCTCTCTGTATCGAGAACTCACAAATTGGATGTGTGGAGGGAATCATCGCGCATTTTTGTGAGCACTGCATTCTTTTTAGTTTGCAGATTGCGTAAATTTTGTTTCAAACGTCAATTTTAATTTTTACCACCTCACTCAGTTCATTAGCCAGGGGAAACACTGGTGTACAGTGAGCTCAATACATGCATGTACAATGTACACGTAGCTTTACAATGTAAATTGCATTTTTCGCAAGCATCATAAACTTGAAATTTAGTTGGTTTTTCTATGTAGCCTGGTTTTCAGTTTGAAAATTCTCCACACACAAATGACATTCAATACCTTTCTTTTTCATTGTCTGAGAAGTTACTAAGTACACGTAATATGTAAAGTTGATTGCGGGTACTCGATCCCATAATCTGGAACTGGTTCCTGACATCAGCAGTTGGGTACTTGAGTATCCGGTTCGGATGCACAGCCCTATTTCAACGCCCAATTCCTCATTGTCTTTCATCACTGAAATCTGTTGAGCCAGTCATTCAGTTAGTGCAAGCAAGCATGTCTGAAAAACAAAACAGATTTGGTTTTGTTCTCACAGTGCTCACAGAGTATCACAACCTCAGACAACCTTGGAATGACATGTCAATCCCACAATTTATTCTTGTAATAATAAACAAGTGTCGCTTAATAGCCCAAATCATTTTCACGATCTGATGTCAAGATATTTTTACGGTTGAACTTCCCAAAACCCTTGACATTACATGGACATTTTGTGTTGACATACATGTAATGGTATCAGAGTACAAAAGTTACTGTGGTTCACTTACATGTACATGTACATGTAGATGCACCATTCAAGGTTTGATACTAGTTTGTGTGGGTGTATGGGAATACATGTAGATGATGGGCGTGTCTATTGACCTGTCTCTGACCTTAACCTTGACCCTGACCCTGACCCTGACCCTGACCTCTGCATACATGTATAGTACATGTACATGTATACATGTGTACTCCATGTACACTTATACTTGTGCAATTTGATAATGTACAGACATTTGTTTCAGGTGCTTTGTTCCAAGAGCAAATTGTATTATGGTAACCAAGGAATTTCCATGAACTGTCAGAAAAATGTGCATTGTTTTTCTTAAGGGTTCCTTTAGCTTGTAACTGTATTTGGGTGCTGTCAAGTTGTTTGTAAAATATGCCTCGTGTAGGTTGGCTTTTTGAGATCCAGAAAAAACATCTGTATGTTGTTCTTTTATTTTTGTAAATCAAGATGTGGTGCTCAGCAGTTTTTATACCTTTTAATTATAAAAACATAACTGAATTGATTTTTAAAGGTGTACTGTCTAAGTTTCACCACCAACAAAACAGATTAGTTGTTTTATTTGCTATTTACCTGTGTCTAGCAATACTAAAGTTATTCAATTTGAATGTGACATTGATCGTAAATACATCGACCAATGTGTAGCTATGGAATAACGAGTCTCGCAGAGTAGCCTGCCCCTCATCCAAGCTGATAATGTAGGGATTGGGACCAGTCTAGTCTAAACACATGGTGGATCTGTCTGTGTGCAAAAGCAACCCCCAAAAAACAACATTTTGTCAGAGAGATTGCGGAAGCCCAAAGTACATACATGTAGAAAAAAAGTTAGTGTTTGTTATTTTGTTACAATAAGAAATTCAAGAGCCCTAAGTTGGATTCAAACATGTATCTTATTCGGCGAACAAAATTAAAAGCCATTTTTGAGGTAGACCCATGATCGCACGCATGCCTCACGTGTTCTTAAATACTAGGCATGCACGCATTTTGGTAAACCCTATTGGTTGAGGGATCCCGGAATGCGTGCGTAATACTTTACCTCGATTTGCGCCAGCCTGGTGCTACCTCAGAAAATGGATGTCGCGAAGTCTATTCGTATCTCAATAAATAAAATTCCTTGTCTTCCTTGTTCCCCCCACTTGTCAGGTGGATAGAGGCCTGCATTAACGAGGAACTGCCACCAACCACTGAACTAGAAGAGGGGCTGAGAAATGGCGTGTACCTGGGAAAACTGGCCAACTTCTATGCCCCGAAGAAGGTGCCTCTCAAACGCGTCTATGACAAGGAACAGTCCCGATACAAAGTAAGTTCTGTCGCCAGACCTAGGACCCAACGACCCAACGACCTAAGGTTCTACTTACTGTAGACAAAGAATCCCTGCTAACTACAATGTACATGTTCGGAAAGTAGTAGGAAGTTTGTATCTAAGACTAGCAAGGTAGGCCTACCGGGTATTTTAGCATATGAGCATGCAAACGTTTCAAAGGTAAAATACAATACACATTTGCTTTTGCTGTAATTTTCAGAAATGGATGGATTTGCGGGTTAGTGTTTTTTTTATAGCAAATATTGTTACACTGACCTGTTTAAAGTTTGTGATCATAGATGCTGGAAAAACAAAGAGAAAATGCTGTTCCTGTAGTCTGGTTCCCTGACCCTACTTTAGACGAAAGGGTGCAATTTATGGACGTCGGGGAATTGTCAGGTCAGGGAACCAGACTAGCTGGCTTGCACCCATTCACGAATGTGTAACCGATTGCAAACAGAATGTGGACTAATTAAATTTGGTAAATTGGGGGCAGTATTTGGAAAAAAGTCAATTTTTTCCAATGATGGTCGGCCGACCACCGTTTGAAATTGATACAAAAATTCCACTTTTCTTAAAAATGACAGCACACAAGGTGCCATGATTTCACAGGATGCTTGAGACTATCATTCACTAACAGTCCAGTAAGATATTTCATAATAATTTGGTAGTTTTGTGTTTTGATGTTTGCAATGTTGTATATTTCCTGTAAGGATTCTGTGCTTACAGGGTTAGTAGGAAAAGGTCTGTACCCTCCACCTTTACTATCACAGAGTGGTGACTGTTAAGGAAAAGGGCCTAGGTGAAGTCCTGTTGGTTCCATTAAAATGTGACTGTGTGAATGTACTTTCAGAGTTTTTCACTTTCAATAAATGTTACAGGTGTAGTACCGGTAGTGTTTGAAGATTTGGTTTAATAATCAACTACATTTAGTTTCCCAGGTACGTGTGAAAGTCAACCTAATATCCTTCAGTACAGGATGTTTGTGGGTTGACCCTGTCTTCCTCAAAATAAAATACAACTTGAGAAAAGTTTGCGGATGCACTGCGTGGAGTGACTATTGCTTAAAGAGACTGTGGTTCTTAGAGGAACGTGAAGTGTTAAAGGCACTTAAAAACATCGGTAATTTTCCCGAAGATGCATCCTCTGATTTAATGAGGAAAACCTTTCTCAGAGTGAAGATAGGACTGGTACCACCTACCCTGTGAAACTGTTCTTCCAGGAATCATTTAGATCCAAAGAAAACGATCATAAAAGTTGGTTTTAAAAAGTTTGTCCGTGGGCACACTTTTTTTATGAGTGCTAGCAAAGGTACAGTATCCACTATCCAGTTAATTCGAGACCCCAAAAATTGTACATACTGTACAAACATAGTTTTTGTGTTTTCTCAAAATGTATAGTAGCCATTGAGCTAAAACTATGGTAGGTACATGTACCCTACTCAAGATTTTGAACATTTTTGTTGTTCCTTCAATTCAAGCGAAAAAAAATGCACAAAAAGCAAAAGATCCTACTTGTTTGCATCTTTAATTTGATGCGTTGGTCAGTAATGCTCCGACCATTACAACTAAATGCTCAATTACACAGAAGAGTTTAGGCGTATGAAAGGCAATATACTTAATGCCCATAGGGTACTGTGTAATCGGGTAGGACTCTGTAGGAGGGTGCTCAATAACACTGGATATGAGAACTCTAAATAGAAAGGAATTCCTGCTTGGTTTATATTTCACCCCTGAGTGAGTCCACACAAAAGGCAGTGGTATGAATACTAAGGTGTGGGCTGGCAAAATCCTGGCAGTGTACAGTAATATACAGGCACTGTTGCACTGTTCAAGCAGTGTGCATATATATGTACAATCAATTTTAATTTTAGTTTTTGCACTTCACCGACATTTAAGCACTGTTAACCCAGTTTAAAAAGATGTCTGTGAATGTGAGCTTGGCAGTCAATTCAATTTTTAATTCATACTTAATATGTAGCGGCAGGCACCTCAGTCAAAATTCCTTTCAATTAAAGATAGAGATGTTTACTACTTGTCAAAACTTTGTGTTTGGGTTATTGTGACCATGATAATGAAGTAAACTTCTTCCATGCTAAAAAAGTTTGGCAAACGAGAATTGGGAATGGTTTTATTTATCAGTCTTTTCACAAGACAATCTTGATGCACATTCCTGTGTTTGTAGGCGTACAGTTTCAGCATTTATTGAACCAGTTGGCATGTATGTGCAAACCCACTTTAAAGCAGGACATTGTAACATGTCTAATGGTCTAAATTTTCATAGAGCAATGTTCATTGCGCTATTATGTAATACAACATGCACATCATCAGGGAATTTCCTTAAAAGCTTCCATCAATCTGTAATTCAACTGTAAGCAGATCATGGGAACCAATTGATCAACTCATCAGGCTAGATGAACTGTTTCTACTATTGATTTGCATCAGTCATTTCCTTATTTACTCTGATGACTCACACTGCACAGCGGTACACACAGTGGTCTCAATGAATAGTATAAAATGTTCTAATACACACAAATAGGACTTTCAGTACCTGGTTGGGCTGCTATGTTTATTGTGCAAACATTAGGGCGTATGTTAAAATATCATGTACTGTAATGGTAGAAGATATGTACAGACATCAAATAACATTGAGGAAATGACATACCGGTAATGATGATAAACTTATGTACATGTACAGTAATGGGCCATCTTGCTCACAGCCCATTTCGGTGTGTTACTATGTACGCATTGTCAGTTGAAATCTTTCGCGCTATCCAAGTCATCCTGTCTTATTTCAAGATGCGCTCGCACCCAGCAAAACGCGTGTTCTTAAACAAGATTGCATTTATTACTCTGAAAGTGCTCATTGAAAATAGGTTATCCAGTCGTGCCGGATTATTTTGACAGTGACCGGACCCAGGCGCGGGATTGTTTTTCACGAAACCTGATGCCAGATATGTTCAGGCCGTCATCTGCGGTTAGCACACCCTGATATTTCTGGCCTCGCTCGCTGCGAGTGGGTTGCTGACACATATTTCCGGCCTCGCTCGTTGCGTGTTTATCCGTCATCCGTTCCGAATACCGCAAAACCTTTGCGTGTATACACGTCATCCAACGTGAACTGGTTAAAGCCAATCCAATTTGATCCTGACTGTTACGCCAAACAGTCCGTCTTCAGGTTTTTTTTATTGATTGATTGATTGATTTGTCACAATTTTAGTATTTGTTAATTGTTATTGATCCTGAGCGTTTACAATGTTTGTGATCTCATTTTCTCCTGGTCTGATTGGTTGGTAGTCAGAGGATCAGACATTCATGGTGCAGAGCCACACTATGATAGTCTGATATATCCTGGCATGCAAGTTTTATGCGATCCCGTGCGCCAGCCAATCTGAGTCGACTTAAGAAATTGTGACGTTGTTTAAGTAGAAATTCGGCCTGAGATGTTGATTGGTCAATTCGGGCGATTCACAATTCAGTGCGCCGCCAAGAGTTTGCCACGGAGAGTTCATTTTTCCCAGTGCATTGTGGGAGATGGTCGACAAATTTGCAGCGCGGGACATTTGAAACTTTGTTAGTTTTTTCCAATCAGTAGTTTCGTAAGCGTATGATTGGAGTATAATGTTCGCCTTTTTTTTTCTTTTAATCAATATGGTGTTTTTTTTAATGATCTGGCAGAACGCTTTGCCCCAATCTATAACAAAATTAGCTCAAGTTGTCTACTGACACTCATTCAAATGGACCGCGTTTTGTGGACCGTAAACTTGAAAAATGGACTCTCCATGGCAAACTCTTGGTGGCGCACTGCATTGTGAATCGCCCGAATTGGCTGGCATGTTTTTGTAATACAATGGGTTAATACCGAAGATGTGATAGAAGGCACCCGCTGAATTGTCAGAATCTGTAGGTCAAGTCGCAGTCTTGTTCTGCATATTTAATTGCTGGAGCTGCGCGAATACATCATAGACGCTTGTTTGCAAGCGGCTGTTTTATAGACCGATTGCAGGTTGGAAGACCCAAAAAGATTCTCAATAAACATATCGTGGAAGTTAAGGTTAGAACAAAATGTGTCCTCTCTTCTTTTGGGAGGGGGGGTGAGGCAATAGAGGAAAGAAGAGTTACATACATGGAATAGATTGAACATTCAGACTTCCAAGGAAGTATCAAGTTACTCTGTAATCATATGGAAGTTTGACTCAGCACTTTTTGTGGGAATGACATCATGAATAAACACTTCAGTCTGATGTTAGCTTTAGCAGTCATACCCAAGTTGCAGAATGTCATCTCTGGCATTTGTACTTCAAAAAAAGCCTGTCAAGTGTCTCCATCATCTTTACAGTTGCTTTGCTTGTGAATGTCTTTTGGAGGAAATGGGATTTGGAAATGGGAAGGCCACTAAGGGTGCACCCAAGTATACAAATAAATTCCCATGGACAACAGTGATAAATGCCCATACTTCAAAATTCTTTCAAAAATACTCAGAATTCTTACAGGCGTTCAGGCTGCACAGAAAAATGATGATCAACATGTCATCTTTCATTTTCTTTTCACTTTTTGGTGGGTTGACCGATGACTTCGCGAGAAATTCTCTCCCAAAGAAGACGACCCCTAAAACTATTCATGTGTCCCAAAGTGGAAAAAGTAGCTATCTTGAAGAAAAAAAAAGGATCCCTCTAAAACATGGCTAAATAGCGCCACGTTCGGGCCCCATTGCATCCAAAATGCTCAGAATTGGAAGCCCCAGGTCCGGGCTAAAGGTGTATTGCCTTATCGTCAATATCTTCAATTTACCAATTCCATGGCTCTTAGAACTCTCCTAATATAAAATAATTTGAGTTTATAACTTTTATACATGAGCTCGGCGGGCGGATTTTCTGCCTACATGTATATATCGGTACATGTATTTACTTGGGTGTACCCCTAAGGAAGTTTGAATGGTCAAAATAGGTTTTTTGTTGGAACACCACTCAAATGAAAGATCTTGTTGTCCCCTTTAATATGACACCACATTTGTTGTTGTGATGCTTATAGTTTGGAATTGTTTTTAAATTTTGCGTGGATTTGCCCAAAAGTACACTGTTAGTAAGGCAACAGTGGACATTGTTTACATCTGATTTCTTCATGTGAGTATTAAATAACATGCACAAAATACCAGGGGATATCCCTGCTCTTGGACAAAAGCTGAACAACAAACCTCAAAGAAAATATATTCTTCCCCCCAAAAAATAGAAGACTAGAAATAGTAGAATGAACCATGTGGTTTTGTATTGCTTAATTTTGTTTCACTTTTCAATTTCACTTTCATTTCAATTAGCCTACATTTGTATTATTGTTTGCACCATATTTTTAGCAAGTTTGTATCGGGGTTAATTTGACTTTACAGAAAGCCATTGGTCTAAAAAAAAAACCAAAACTACCAAATTATTATGAAATACCTTACTTAGCTGTAAATTGCCTCATTTCGTCTGAAGTAGGGTCAGGGAACCAGACTACATGAACAGCATCTACCGGGATATTTAACACAAAACTTTAAAACAGGTCAGTTTAACAATATTTGGAATACTTGCCCCCAAATCCATCCATTTAAAAAAAAAATTACAGAAAAATACAAATGGTGTATAATATTAACTTTAAAAATGAAAAGAAAAGAAAGTAAAGCCATGGATGCACCCTGACATTTTTTCTTTGAAAGATTTGCAACCTACCCTACATGTACTGTACATGTACTGTATGCAAGTAAACTACAAAGTATTATTATATGATAAAACACAATGTGTTCACAGCATCTGGCTTATTTTGTCCTAATGTACAGTAGGCCTACATTTACATGTACTGGTACATACAGTAGGAGTCAAAACGAAAGTAACCGAGTTTGAAACAAAAATACAATATTGAAAACATATGAGGCTTGCTCCATTTAACCTATGAATAAATTACATGTTGTTGACTATTAACTGTGAAAATTTCACGTAATTTACATACTCTATTTACAAGATATATACCACATAACTCGGCTGTCCACCACTGATCAGTTACCGATATGCATTGATGAATATAAATACAATGGCGAAAACTTCCAAAGGAAAACGGACAATCTCACCATTCTCATTTCAGAAAAAAAACCTTAAATTGTAATCTAAAATACAACACACAAAATCTGACAGTAAAAAAAGGTTTCAGTCTGGACTCAAATGAACATCGCGTTTGCATTTGAATGCCTGTATGTAATATTGATAACTTCAAAGCATTTACAAAAACACATGTAGCATTCCATGGACAGCTGAAAAAAATGGTCTCATATAGTAAAACATGAATAACTGCTCATAGCATGGATCAATTTCAGTAATTTATTCTTTTCAGATGAGTAGAAAAACATGCTTCATTTGTGTATCAAATTTAATTGCATTTTAAGGTGACAAATTGTTAATCCTGGTCACTTTTTTGACTCACAATGTTTACCCTTAACAAGCCATTTTTATTTATTACAAAGGTCATCCAACTGGAAGAAAAAGTGTACAAGGTCACTCCACTAGAGCGTAACATGCCAAACTCAATGAAAAAAATCAATTGTCCATGCTTCAGCGATTAATGCGTATTTCTATTGTTCTTCCACAGGCTAGCGGTCTACATTTTCGCCACACAGACAACACAGTGCAGTGGATCAGATCAATGGAAGTTATCGGACTGCCCTCGGTATGACTTTATGCGCATATTAATGAATTAATAATGAGCTATTGTGGTTCTAATTTAAATCTAATTAAGTATGCTGTTTGCATATATATGTGTACACATAACTATCATAGGGTTGTGACTAAGGCCATCAAATAATAATGCTGTGTTTCCGGTAACCTGTTCGATCCTAAAAATGTTGGGTTGTGACTAAGGCCATCAAATGATAATGCTGTGTTTCCGGTAACCTGACCGACCCTGAAATTTTAGGTAAAGAAACAATGGGCTTTTATTTATTTATTTTATTTTTTTTTATTTTTAAATTATAGTTTTTATGTATTTGTTTTCATGTATATTTTTTTCGGAAGGGGAAAAATATCTCAAATACAAGTCTGGACTACTTGTAAGCATGCAATATCGTTCTTACAGTTGTGTCCAGTTGTCTTTCAGTATGTACATACGCGTAAGATCTGTAAGTACTATAAGTGCGACAGTTCCAGATCACTTTTTATACAGTCAGCTGTACATGTTGGGAGTTTCCGTGTCTGAGTGACATCATTTTATAGTAAAATCCCTCCTCTTCAGGTTAAAACCAACTATGTTCACACAGACTCAACTTAAAGGGAAACATATCAAGGCTTCTGTACAGGACTGAACCCGACAGTTGCAGATCACTTTCGACAGTTCCGGATCACGCGTGCTGCACTACTTGGTACATGTACTATATTCATCATTCACGGCGCACTCAGCGCGTGCGTCGTGGGTCACGCCTTCATCATGTAAACTACACACAAAACTGCATCGTGTGCATGGGTGATCCGCAACTGTCTCACACCGGGATAAAAATCTTTTCCCCGACTATTGCAAAATGACCAACCTTCAAATTGGTGGGAAGAAACTTGAAAAAGTTTGCTTACACTTGAATTAATTTTTATTTAATCAAGTGATCCGGAACTGTCGATGATCCGGAACTGTCACACACTACATATTCACAGACAAAACTAAACAAAAGCTAAAGAAAAAAAAAATCCCTATGTACCTACTGACCTTACCAGTTTTTGGCAATATTACGAGAAAGACAACCTTGGTGTTTTTTTTTTGGCAATAGAACCTTTTTTTTTTTGGCCTAGCAACCAATACCACCTGGTTGCATTTAAAAGCTGTACATTAGTTAATCATTACGATATATATAAGTACAATCATGTGACAATGTACTATGCAAGACCACTCACAGAGTATATTTGGTGAACTACTTTCTAGAACACAGACCTAACTGTGAATGAATATAATTGAAATGCAAGGAATATAGAGGATACATGGGCACATGTAAAAACAATGCCTGTGTTTGTAATTTCATGAAATCAAGCATCAGTTTGAATAGTTGATCACGACACACTTCATTCCTACCAGGATATTTACCTTGTAAGTGTATTCAACAGGATCAAAGGCATCCATTAAAATATAATGGAGTATGACAGAATGCAAAAAAATGAAAAACGTGTCAATAAAAAGCACATTTGATGAACTTTCAGTTCATTGGAGGAGAAAGAACAAGATTTGCTGAAAAAATACGAGGAGAAAAATAAAAATTGGCTGATAATTATATCGGCTGATAAAAGAAATGTTAATTGTGCCAGTGTAGTCTAGTTACCAGACCAGATACATGCACATGAGATTACCATTTCGGCCATTTAACACAGCTCTTCCAAACCAAGTTTTCTTTGTATCAGTGATTTGAGGTCTTTTTAACCTCCCAAAATCTTAATAATTACAATTAAAAAGTTCAATTCAAAATGAGAATTATTTCTTGTCTTTGCCAATTCTTCAGATATTTTACCCGGAAACCACAGACGTCTACGACAAGAAGAACATGCCCAAAACTGTCTACTGCCTCCACGCTCTCAGGTAAGTTATTCTTGGTTCTACTTAGGATTATTTTAAAATGACTTTCATCATCCTTACTCGACCTAATGAAATTTTAATTCTTGTGAGTATTAATACTAGTACCGTTTGTATACTCATGGACACACGAGGTGGCACTTAATTCATATTGAGAACTATTTTATTTATTTTATGTGCACATTTAAGACATTTATACAAGTTTTCAATTTATCGTTAAACCCCTTTGGATTTTCTTTGTAACCTCATGAAATCCTACAGAATGCAACAGACAAGTATGGAGCCTGCTAAATCTATCAGCTGGAAAAAAAATCACTGCTCAAAAATAATGAAAAGTTAATGGAAATAGCGCACACTTTGAAGATGTTGGATTCGTCACAGTTGGCGTGAACTCATAAATTTGACCAAATTATGCTTCACGTCTTCTATAGTTAAAGAGTTATGGTTTTAAACATTTTTTGGGTCAGTAACTTTAGATCGTTTTCATCATTATCAAACGAATACATGATAGACCTTGTGCGTTCAGGCGGAAGCAGAGGGCAATGGTTTTGTATCGCTGGGATAGGCATGAGTAAACCTTTCGTGCATTCATTGTATCAAAATTAAGATTATGAAAGAACACCCGCGGAGATACCTGCAGTGCATAAGGTCTATTGTCCAACAGTTCTGAACTTTCAAAATGATATATCTTAATTATTGATGATCTTTTTCTATTTCCCTGTACAGTTTGTACCTGTTCAAGTTGGGCATCGCACCCCAGATCGAGAGCTTGTATGGCAAAGTGGATTTCACTGGTAAATTAATGTGGTGACATTTGTATGGAATAGCACTTGTGCACGTTTAATTTGATTTAATACTTGATTGTGTCCACATTATAAAATCTTATACCATTGGCATTAAAATAAACAGTAAGATAACACAAAAACAATTCCCTAAAAAAATATTGTTAAAGTGATCATTTCAAAAATACTGAAACTAATTTAATTGATAATTAAAAAAATTGTAAAACTATGTGAAGTCCTAAAATTTCTTCAAATTAAGTTGACTTACCTAAACTCGTACTTACAAATAATAGTATTTCATCATCAATAAAAAAAGATAAACAAAAACCATTACATTATAAATCACAGAAACGCCTCTGTTTTAAAGTGATAATTTCAAAACTTATAAAACTTATATTTACGTGCCATGAAGCTTCTCTCCGTGTTGTGATTTCTTCACATTCCATAATTCTATTGACACACACTGCACTAGGGCAGTAATTATGTAACTCGACACAGTTCAATGACAGATCAAACGCAGACAGCGTTGTCTAACGACTCTTAAAACAGAACTTACGACCTCAGCCTTTCAGTGACTGATGGCCGGTCTATAATGATATTGATTGTTTTTTGACACCCCCCTGTATAATCCATTTCTTCACTGCACCTGTGACCGGTATGTCTGCTAGCACCTTAGCCAGCCATGACGTACTCAGATTTTGGGAAAAACTAATATTAACACAGGCTGTTCAAAGATACAAACCGTCTGTGCTATTTTTTGAAGTTTCACGCCTAATAATATGCTTTTGAATGAGCCATCAACAAAAAAAATCCATCCCACGTTGAGTTATGGAATAATTTACCTATCACGGTTTGCGAGTTAGCCACGTCTCTTAGCCATCCCTATGGCATTTTGTACGTTAAAGTTTAGTTTGTCTCAGATTTTGCGCGTTCCACGTCCATTTGTAAATAATGTAATTGAACAATATTTCACAATATGCGTTGACGCGATTCTAACGCGACGGGTTAATTTCTTTACAATTTTAAAATTATTTGCGGCCCAAAATAATGCAATTTTTGGCAGGATAGACTAGTTTCCTCCTTCCCATCATAATGTTTGAACAATGTGGGTCCAGGAACTAGTCTGCTTGCTAAGCGGAAATGCTTGTGCAAAAAAGCAACCAAAAAAATGAAAGCTTTTTTTTTGTCAGAAGGTTGTAGAGGCCCAAAATATAATGGAAAAATAATTTCATTAAAATAAACGTACACATTTTTTTCTTTTGGAGGAAGAAAATGCATTTGTTGAAGAGCACGACAGTACATCTTTAACACTTTGAAAAGTAATTATCAAGAAATTGGTGTTAATGTATGGGAGTCAGGCCTGTGAAATTGATACCTGGCCAATTATGTTGAGTCACACTTATGAAAGTGATACGTTCAGTTCACTTAGCTATGTGATGACTTTGCAGACATGGAGACTGCCATCATTTGAACGGACATTTATAGGATGTTGACATTCTTTGTTTGTGTGAATGGTTCAATTACATTTGGAAAATTGTCCAGGGCAGATCCAGAGAGGTTACTGCCGGTTTGGGGGGGGGGGGAGGCAGTGGACTCGCCACTGATTGTATATCAAGCTCACAGTGCCTAACATGAGCAATGGCAGAAAATGCACAAACAGGTCTAGACAACAGGAATACTAACAACGCCAAAAAAAAAAGAAAACATTCAAAAATGGGTTTTCCATATTTTTTTCTTGACAGAGGAAGAGATCAGTGCCATGCAGCAGGAGCTGGATAAATACGGAATCAACATGCCGGCATTTGGCAAGATTGGAGGGATCTTAGCCAACGAGGTATTGATGAGCAAATACTGACACATAAATGTGTATAGCTCTAGTTTTTATGAACCAGAGTGCTCCGGTATCATTAAAGGCCCCATGAAAATATTTTCACTGGAACATAATTTGTTCAAATATCCATTCTTCTGAAATGTGTGAAAACTGTAAGCCATCTCTTTTTTGGTTAAAAGGTTTGTAACGTACACATTTTCAACATTTAAAAATGTTCCATGCTTTTTCTGACAACTGCGGGCACTGTTGCTGTGATGTCACTTGAAATCACTGTTTTGCTCATGAATATGAAAATTCACATCAGCATGAAAACCAAAAAGGTCCAGAACACCTTAAAAGGGTAATGCCAAGATTAAAATTAGAGTTAAGTCGGACACCAATGTGCATTTCCAGGATATTGCATTCAAAATATCAATTACATTTGCCCTTAAACCCTTGTCAATCTGGTAATTTATTCCTGAGTCTGTTGCAACTCCTTGGGAAGCACACACAGCTACATGTACCGGTATTCTAAGCACCCTGAGGCACTCCACATGTGATCAACCAAGCATACAATTACGCACAAACGCTGTCATCGTCAAGTTGATTAATAAGCCTAGATGGAGAGAATGAAGGACGGTAAATGAGGTTCAAAGCTCCAACTGTGAAACAAATCTCTGTGACTGTGTCATTAACGACAGCACTGCTTAGATCTTATTAGCGTTTTAATCTTGACAATTTCACCTTGACAAAGTTATGCATGTGGGCACTGAGCACTAGTTATTGTATTTATCAGCTAATTTCAAATTTTTGTTTTCTTGTTATTTTGACTTGCAGCTTACTGTGGACGATGCGGCAAGTAAGTTGAATTTTGAAAATTGACAACCATAAAGAAACTCAATGTCATTCATTAAGTATTATTTCTAGCGAAAATTGCTCCTGGGTACTATTTCACATCTGGAAATTAAAGATATATATCTTGAGAAACACCATTCAGATTTGTGAATTTTTTGGGGAAAGCAGATTTGTGAATTTTTGGGGGAAAGTCCCAAGGATTCCCAAGGTTTGTTGCCAAACTTTGCAAGCCAGAGTTGATTCCAAGAAAGCCAGTTTGATGTGAGCCAGCCAAGGTTCTTCATATCCTTTGATTTCCTCCCTCAGTTATCGAGGGTTAGATCATCCCATTTGAGTTATTGATTCTCCTGTGGTTCACTGTCTGTCCTCGTTAACGTCGGGGACAGTGAGGCAATGTGGTAACCCCGTAGCCCGGCTGAATATCGGGATAATTCAGGCTTTGCTAGCATGAAGATCCCACCAAGTCCGTTCTGATTCAAGCGATTGTGCCTTCTCTTCTAATTAAAGTGTGCATGCATTGAAGCATATAGTCTTCACCTTTTGGGCACAGAATTTCAATTCAAGGGAAAAAGAACCCAAGAATTAATTCAGGGCAAAAGTACAGCAAATGGTGAATTTAGTGAGAGGTTTGAAAGTAAGACAGTATATTTGACTCACAGATTTTTTTTTAGTGATTTAGGAAAGTGCCAAGTCCCCTTTTTCCTGACACGTTCAAGAGTTTTCCTGAGTTCAAGCGACTCTACGTGTCAGTCCAGTTGAATAATATAACCTGGGCCCAATTTCATGACGATGCTAAGCACACAATTTTCTGCCAACAGAGTGTCCATCCATTTCATGGATATCGTCCATCTTTTTAAGCAAAAAGGCTAAAGTCACTAACCTTAAGAGAAAAAAGTTGCTTAAGTTAGTGCCGTTACAATTGTAAACTCCACGCATGAGCAACCAAGTGCTCATCTGTGAAATAGTTTTCAAAAAAATGTAAACAGAATTTTCAGCTTTAAGCCATTCAAAACTGATAAGTTTAACTGATCAAGTGTAAAATAGGGAAGGATTTTTTTTATGATTCTTAGGATAATGATTAACCTAATCGTATTTTTATTTTTTTTAATATTTTTTTTCTCGAACACAGTGCATGCTGCCGTGATTGCCATCAACGAAGCCGTGGATAAGCAGGTGTCGGCTGACACCATGAAAGCCCTGCATAACCCCAACGCTATGCTGGGGACACTCATCAATGAAAACCAGGATCTGTATCAGGAGATCTTGTACAATGCTAAGCAGAGCAAGAACCAGAGTGCCATGAATAAGGTATGGAAGCAGGTTTCATACAGACCATCACACAATGATACCAAGGATTCCAAACCTATGTTAATTTGATGCTAAATTTTAAGGTATATTACTAAATTGAAATGTAAGTTCATGTGGGGTAATTTTGTTTCCGCGTCCACAGAGCATGCGTGAAGGTGAAGATATGACAGAGAGAGACATGTACGACATGTTGCTGACACAGGCTGAGATACAGGGCAATGTCAACGCTGCTAATGGTAGGTCCAGTCAGTTTATTAACTGATTTTTTTTTTCTATGTAGTTTTCGATGGAAGAGTTGTGATTGTGTCGATCACTAGTCTGTCTTAAAGCTATAGTCCATCATTTGCAGCTATCCTAAAAAGTAACTGACGTAATTATTGTTGAAAAACATACTTGGTTGAAAGATAGTAAGGGGACTGAACTCCCTGTGAAATTATTCTTTCTGGCAAGCTGTCATTTTGAAGAAATCAACAAAACAAGGCCTTTCCAACGGTGCTTCTTAAGGCGCACCGTAGGAAATTTAAATTAGTAGGTCGTCATGTTATTTGGCGAAGGGTGCGCAAGCATTGGCACAACGCACACGTACGTACGGTTGCTATAATTCGTCTGAGTAGTGCGCGACATCGCATAGCTGCAATCGGCTCAGTGAGAACGTGTCTCAGACGCTGAATTCAGGCCCAATTCAAAACATGATTCAGCAACTTTTGATTTGAAATTGAGATCCTAGAATGCTGTTTTTCTCGGAATATACAGCTGAAGCTGAGCTGAAACTTCATCAGGTTAGTTGTTCAGTACCCTTCTTTAGATTTTGAGCACTTTTGTTGCTTCAAACGAACAAAATGAACAAATTACAAATGATGGACTACAGTGCGTGAAATTACAGTCGGACATCGGACATTTTCCGACCACTTTCATGGTTTGTCCGATCAAATGCAGATGTGCTCGGACAAAATGTCCGAGCGATTTATGTATTCTTTGTGGAGTTGTCTTTTTCAGAAGTAAACGCTTGCACTCAAAAGTATTTTGTTGTTTATTTCCGATGATCCGGTCTGCAATACTTACCGTACGCTGAGCGGCTGCTAACTACATGTACGTGTTGTCTTATATTCACGCAATAGATGCAACGCGTTTACACCCCAATACATGTAATGAGAATTTAGCAAGATCAAAGTACGTTGTGTTGCGCGGTATGCTTTAAGTGCGTGATTGTTACTAAATTCTCACAACGTGGCTTACTACAGAAACGAGCGCGTGAATGCCCGGCGCTTGTCATTGCAACTACATAGTGTGTATTATGGATACGTACGTACGTAAACATACATACTGTACATGTACACACGTGTATGTATGAACTTTATGAAAGTTCGTCTCGCAAGGTTTCACAGAGTAATTTACTTGGGAAAAAGGACGCATTTCAAGTTTTCAATCATGAAGAGAGCACTATGTAAGTATGTTTTAACTAGTCCTCGACTGTTGATAACCTATTTGTTTGCTCATGTGGCCTTCAAATTTGGAACGCTAAATGGCAGATCAAAACTTGACAATGGCAGAACACTTTTGATTGTGCTCGGACATTTTGTCGGACAACTTTTTTTGTCTAATTTCACGCACTGATGGACTATATCTTTAAGTGAAATCAGAAGTCACGTCGCAAGGAAGCAGTTCAGTCCATCACAAGTCCATCTTGAGTAATCCAGTCTCAAATCGAGTCACAAGATATTCAAATGAACTTTGAAGAAGGCATCCATTTGTCATCGTTCATCCCCTGTTACTTGTGATGGAATTGACTACATCAATGTAATCAGATGAGCAGTGACCAGGAATGCCTTTGTTACACCTCAGTAAAGCAGCTGGTCACTTGAGACTGGATGACATGTGCTTGACGTGCGATGGACTTGCGATGGACTTGCGATAGACTTGTGACAGACTTTGTGGATTGTTTGTGATTGCCTTGTTTTTCTTTGAATAATAAATATCACAATATCACAAACTTAATCTTTGCCTTGTCTTTTCATGTGCTTTTTTTACCACTCATTGATCATAGTGCAAAACCAGATCGTGGTGATCAACTCAGTGCTGGATACCGGCGATCCCAACGCCTTGGTCCGGGCCTTGGAGAGTCCAGCGATCGGCCTGAAGGATGTCAAGAACGAGAATGGACGCTGGTATCTGAACACTCTATCCCAGGCACGCAAGAAGAAGGCTGAGGTAACGTGTACAGAGTGACCGTGGAGAAAGTTACAGATACACCATGTAAAAAAGGGTGCATGGCCTACTAGTTAGTGCTCGGACTCATGATTGAAGGCTCAGGGGTTAGAATCCATCTGCTGGCATTGTGTTATGTCCCTGGACAAGGTACTTAACCCCCACTTGCCTCTCTCCACTCAGGAGTATACACCCGTAAATGCGTACCAGCATTAGCTGGGGACTAACCTGCGATGGACTGGAATGCCATCCAGGGGGACCTGCTGCATAGTGGACCAAAACAATAATCCAGCCTTGAAGTAAAACCATACAGAACATAGCTAGTGACTCTGTACTGAAACAGTTAATTGCCTACAAATAAGAGTTAAGACAGAACACATCATGCCCTTTTGCACATGGTTGAATATGCAAATGCTGTAGGGTGTGCTCAACCAAATTTGTGGTGTTCCCCCTCCCCGTTAATCAGCAAGGTTTTTTATTTGAATCAGTGATCATTCTTTTTGTCTTGCAGATGGCGGGGGAGGAGGATGTATCCTTAGACAAAGACGAACTCCAACTTGGCGTGAATCTAGCCAACGTTCAAGCCGAGGAACGCAAACAAAGTATGTCACCATCACTTGTTGAAATGGTTTTCCATGGCGTGCACATATCAGGGCACCAATGGATGCATTTTCATGAAAGGAACTATGTACGAGATGTGTTTCAGATAGTTGCATCTTGTGGCTCTAGTAAATTATAATATTTGAAAGTTGAACGAAGAAATTGACTGGAGCAGCGTGGGTTTGGACCTGTGACCTCTGGATTGCCGTTCCGGTGCTCTATCAACTGAGCTTTCAAGCCCTACATTGGCAGTCCCCCGGCTTCTGACTAGCACCCTTTGAACGAAGAAATTGACAAACTGGTCAACCTCCAACATTCTGCTGGATAGCTAAGTTGGTAGAGCATCGGAACGGGAATCAGGAGGTGGTAATCCGGAGGTCGCAGGTTCAAACCCCGCTCCAGTCAATTTCTGTGTTCAACTTTGAAAACATTATTAATATGCACCTAATCAGTTTCTCTTTGTGATTCATTTTAAAAATATCTCCAGTAAATTGATGAGTATCACAGAACAAGTGCAGATTTTTTCTTAAATTGCAAGTGTGGTCTTGTGAAGAACTTGGATATCTCATTCAAATTGAAGCTACGTGTTTTGTCCTTTTTTAGTGCAGTGCTGCAAGCCATTCCTCATCTCGATGCCATTTTCAGGGTTTGTACCTCAGCAGTTGCTTGTGAAGAACTCAGACTTACACTGACATTAAAATTGCAAACATTTTATCAATCGTCCTCTTTGTGCCTGACTGACCGACTGACCGTCACCAGTGACTTCTGTTTGTAGTCTTTTAAAGAGAATCAGGCAGTGCTATTGTATAGGATTACCTTGGCCCATTGGTACACCAATTCATGAAAAGACTTCCAGTGTATAGCCATTCAGAATCAATTGAAAAAGTTTTGTGCACTCTGCTTTACTGGGCCTGCTTTGTCTTGTTTTATACTTCAGTGCTGAAAGCCGTCCGTGACATCAACGCAGCCATTGATGGAGGCAGTGCTAAGGAGACAATGCAAGCCCTGAGCAGACCAGAAGCCAAGCTGCCAGCGGTCGACGCCCAGTGGGCGGGGCTATACCAAGAGGAGTTGTCTGGACTCAAAGCTTCTAATGAAGCGGTGAGAAGAAGTTTTGGATCTGCCAAAACAGATATACTATCCTTGGTCTCTAACAAAAAGAATTTTTCTGGAGGTTTTTTTTTTGGTAATTTAATTTTTTATTTTTTATTCTGGGTTTCTTTGCTCACAATCAGATCTGCCTTGCGAGTAGACTGGTTCCCATCTCTAGGTTATTGTTTCTGAAAGTAGGGGAGGGGGAACCACTCTACCCTGGGAGAGCTGAGTTAAAGTCAGGCTGAAATCATTAGAAATTTGTAAAATATCATAAATAAATGTAGGCCGATTTTTTCCCCCATTCAGTGTCTCATTTAAAAGTGAATAACTTTTATGTTGTTTGAAATATTGAAATTAAAAACAAATCTATTTTTTGAGGGAAACTCGAAAATACCATGGATAGTCAATCTTTTAAGCGCTCAACATTGATTTCATGTTTACAAACTCATTCAAGAAATATATGGTCAGAAATTGAAATGACGTAAACTTTCAGAATGAAAATTATTTCACTATAACTTATATTATGGGAAAACCGTTTATCTTCTTGTGAGCAGCTTTAAAGACTTCCATAGGCATTCCAAATTACCTCGTTAAATGTTATGTTTGTTTTTCATAGGATCTGACACATGACCAACTTTCAGAAGCTCTGCAAGGTACGTTGCCATTAAACATTTTAGCGTCTTAAAGCATTTCCTGTACCAGTGTTGAAAATCAAAGTTTTTAAATTCAGTTCAGTTCAGTTCATTTATTTCCACAGTATTCATAAATAATTCAGAGTATTACAATATAATGTGCATGTTAAACAGAGTCCTGAAAACTGTAGAAGGACTTGTAAGAAAGAATAGCTTGTTGGCTAGGGCTGTCCCAAATATACTGAATATTCGAATATTCGAACATTAAATGGATATTCGAATAGCTTTTTGCCGGTTTGAATATTCGAAAAGAAAAAACTACGCACGTGCGCACATGACTGTGGAGTCATTGTAATCGTAAAGTTGCATTTTTATTGTCAGATGATACTTTTTTGTCGATGCTTACTATCGTGTCGACACGTACGTGTATTTATTGGTTCCATTCTTTTAGCTGGGTAAAGTCCCTGGACAGTTATACATTACTTACTGCAATTGCAAAATACTCCAGCATTCCGAAATATCCATCGCCACATGCAAATTTTAACCGGCGTGCTTTGTATGCAACTTTCCACCAGCGAGGAAGGCAGCTTCAGTTGGCGTGTGTAAAACTTGATCGGCACGTTTCGAATATTTGGTCAAGGGCAGTTTTGAATAATCGTATACCAAATTATTCAAAAAAGGACAGCCCTATCGTAGGCATAGGCCCCTTATGCATACATTTGCTTTGACTTATAAAAGGAGGGTAATGTTAGACACCAAGTGATGTTAATAAGCCCAAAGCAAATGGTGCATTCTGTGAAAAGGTACATTACCTCAACCTCATCTGCCAATGTTTTCATAGTTCTGGGTGTGGTGGCAAGCATCAACCATGCAGTAGAGGCTGGAGACGCAGACAAGACGGTCCAGCTGATGCTGCAGCCTCAGTCCTGCCTAGAAGACGTGGATGAAGATGAAGCAGTCAGACAGAGATATCAGGACAAACTAGCCTCCAGGAAACGGTCCAATGCTGGGGTCAGTTTCATCATTAAGATCAACTTTGATTTTAGTTCCTAACACACAATAGCAGTGTTCTTGTTCTTTACTTGACTTCAACCTTTTTGATGTAAATACCTTTTGAAATGCATGACTGCCAATGTGTGTTTTTCATTTCAAGTAATAATGATATAGAGATTTAGTAGGTTCAAAATTGGCGTCTGTGATACCTGTCCTCATTTCACGTGTGCATTCTTCTCATATGTGATTTGGGAATGTGGTACAGAAATTAAGTGTTGGAGTTGCTTGATATAGACCCGTTACATATCAACTGTCATTGATGAAATCACACAATTTCTGCCCAAATAATTGTTCCATCAGTCTCATCTTCTACTTTGTGAATACAAAACCTCTCAGATTGCAGAAATTTTTTGTTGGACACATTGAATTTGTTTCTTTTTGCAATTCGTGCATATTTGCCTGCACGTGTGCACTGTTGTAGGCTTGAATGAACTCAACATTACATATGCTTGCAAGTAGTGTACACTGGTATAATCATATGTAACATATTTTTGTCTGGTTCTGAAAAGCATCTGTTTGTGGAAATATTTCTTACAGACGGGAGCAGACTATATCCTACAAGAGCACATACAAGACTGTGTGGAGAAAGTCAATGCAGAAATCCAGGAGGAACACGAACGTAAGTAACCAGAGACATCTTGGCATCTTTTCCTGGTGTTGCTTAGCACACAATATTTATTGGCATACAGTGGAACGCCGCTATAACGAACATCGTGGGATCCACAGAAAGTGTTAATAACAGGGGTGTGAAATCTCCGCTATTTAGCGGATTTCCGCTTTTTTGTTCAGCGTGCCACATTTTGTTTTTCGCTATTTTTCTTCCGATGTTCCAGATTTCCCCCCCGCTTTTTCCCCCGCCGCGCGTAAGCATTGATTTTATTTCTGTTTATTTTATTTTCCGCCACCGCCGAACGCACGCGATCCGCTCTCTACAACATACACGTAGCTCTGGGGTGCGTGCAATCGCAAGCGAGTATTCAATGTACATTGTACACATACGGTTACGTACATGTACATGTACCTACGTGTGTACAGTACTATACGATGCCATGTGCATGCATTTTTCAGCTCGAAGCCGCGTGTGTACAATGTATTGTACACAACATGTAAACAGCATCCGGGGAACCAACAGTCATTGCGCTGTGATTGGCTGCAGATAAATATGAATATTCACACATGCGCCATGAAGCGCGTTTGGACTCTTTGCGGCCGTTCCTGTGTCTATGCATGTAGTGACACGCGATGATCTCCACAATAACTCGCTGTAAAAATCGTCTTGTTGAAAATATAAAGCCTTGAAATAAGACTAGTAAATTGTCGCCGTGCTGCGCCAGTAGAGGGCATCATGCGGGGCAAAGTTCATGTGTGCATTTCATTGCATGCACGTCACACGCATCCTGCTGCATGTATTCCGCTGAATGCTGATACGTACGTACGTTAGGGTGTCGTTTCAAATGTTTCGAACGTATTTTGACATTATTAATTCCGCAAGATGTCAGTGCAACACAAATGTGTTAATAACTGTTATTATCCAAAGAGGTTCGGAGTTTGATACGGACATTGACAAGACCGATCCTCAGGTTACGAATCCGTGGTTAATGGGCAGAAATTAGGCGACTCGCTCAGAAGCCGGGACACGCGATGACGATGTGTATCATCTGCAGTAAGGTCACTAAGGAGTTAAAATATGGAAAACGTGGTCGAATTTCCCAGTTTTCATATACAAGTTGGCCATTTAGGCAGTTTCAAGCCAATATGAAGGAAAAGTTAACTTAAAAACATGCATAAATTGCAAAACATTTTCGACTAATAGTTGGCCCAGGCATGCCAGGAGGCTTTAAAATGCACCACAGAGCATCTACATTTCAAAATTGTTGACCCCGGACCCCACGCCGTAAGGGCTTCGCGCTATGCGCTCGCAGGTTCGGTTATTTACAGGTTCAGCTATTTTCAGCTATTTTTTTTTTCCTCCACTCACACCCCTGTAATAATAACGATCGTTCGGTATAGCGATTTTGAACCGCCGGTACCCTCTTTTGATCAGTGAACTGGCATTTCTCACATCCTGCGGCTGCACGAGGAGTCGTCAGGAAACTTTAGCAACGGGTGGTTTTCCCTTTTATTCCTTGGGGAAATAATCCCAATCTATCGCTCTTCAACATTCAAACACGATGTTACTATGGGTCATTTGATGTTCGGGAATTAAAAATGGCCCAAACAGTTTTTAATACATGTACAACTGGTAAATGTTTTGTTAATCTGTTAACTTTTTCAACAACTATGTTCGGTACATTTTGTACATTAAAACCGGGAGCCAAGGATGATGTTCGGTATAGCCGTGTTCGGTACAGTGGCGTTCCACTGTACTTACATATGGATATATATATTTATAAGATAAGATGATGATGGAGAGCCGTGGCCTTGTGGTCTGGAGCTTAGAATTCTTGGTCTGCGGGTAATTCCGCAGGTTGTGGGTTCAAGTCCAGCCTTGGGTTGTGGTGCGTGTGCCCTTGGGCAGCTGTAAAAGCTGCCATGCAATATGAATGGTTCATATTATTAAGCACACCATCAATACACCTGTAGACAATTAGATAATTGATTGGTGGCCCCCTCTTGCTTAATGCATACCTTAGGCATCATGGCCGTGGCTAAGATCAACGAGGCCTTGGATACCGGTGATCCTAACGAGACACTCCAAGCCTTGCAGACCCCCGCTGCTAAGCTACGGGAGGTGGACCCGGAGCTGTATATACTCTACCTGATCACATTACGAGGAGAGAAGGACCACAAAGCTGAGGTAAACTGAACGCTAGTGATTCTTGTCGAGAAGAATGAGAAAATGTAACAAGCAGGAAAATCTGTTTGTGGTTATTGTGCTTTATTGCTTTTGGAAAGTAAACATTGTTTTATTGTGAGAGTGCGGCCTAGTGGATAGGGATTGTGATATTTTATCAAAAGGTCAGGGGTTCGATGCTAGCTTCTGGCTATATGGTGTGTCCATGGGCAAGCCACTTTACCCCTACTTGCTTCTCGTCACCCAAGAGAATAAATGTGTGCTGGCATTACCCGGGGAGGAACCTACAGTACAAAAATTGAAATTCATGTGAATGAAACTTTTTTTTCTTCCCTTTTTTTCAGTTGATGGAGGATGATGCGGCCGTACTTTGGCTGGATGAAATCCAAGATGGCGTCGACAAATCCAACAACAAGAACGTCATTGCAAACAAACGTGAGCTCATTTTCTCTCTAATCTTTGCCAAAAAAATTACAGCGATGCAGAAATATAAAACAACTGTGCTTTATTTTGAATCTAGTTAACAGACACACACCCAGTAGTATTATGATAAGTTAAGTATTATTCTAAAATAGTAATATTCTATTTTTAAAAATGGTGTTCTGGTTTAGTACTTGCTAAAAACCCAGTTTTTTAAAAAGAACTTACCACTTTGTATTCATATTATAACCATAGTAATCATACAATTGGCAAATGTTTGTCCTTATTTTGACCAGTTGCCGTGAGTGTTGCTAACGTCAACGTGATGATCGAAGACAAGAAATCGTCCCCTCTTTTGGATGCCTTGCGTAACCCCGACCTGAATCTACACTCTGTGGTTCCTGAGTGTGAAGAAACCTACATGGAGAAACTCACCCAAGCTAAGGACGAAAAGACAAAGAGTAAGACAATCAAAGTGCTTTAAATCTAGAATAAAAAATGGCAAATGAAGTCGGATTCAATTATTTATTCAAAAGGTGTTGTAGTTTTTGTTCCCATCAGGTAACATTGTTCTCACATGCCTGATGTCATGAGTGCATGTAGCATGAAGTTCAGGCTTTTGTACAGAGTGAGTAAAAAAAATGAAACCCAAATGTCGGGACCATTGTTTTAGAAAAGTTCTGCATGTAGCACTTTCAAAATCTAGGATATAAAAGCCCAATTCATAGGCTTTCTTTAAGTACAAGAATCATTCAAATCACTCATGTACTTTTCAAGTTACGGAGTTTTAAACTCAACCACCGTTTTAAAATTCTGTCCATGGATCACACAAAAGGTGTGCGTTCTTTCAGCAAAACGAAAACAATTCACACACATCCGTATGTGATTTGTTTTCGTTTTGCTGAAAGAACACTCAACTTTTTTGGTGATCCGTGGACAGAACCTTAAAATGACGGTTGTGTTTAAAATTCTGCAACTTGAAAAGTACATGAGTGATTTGAATGATTCTTGTACTAAAAGAAAACTCATGAATTGGACTTATATCCTAGATTTTGAAAGTGCTACGTTGAGAACTTCACTAAAACAATGGTTCCGACATTTGGGTGTTTTTTTTTTACTCACCCTGTATTGTCACCATTCCATTCTGTGGTCCACAACAGAATTTCATGCTAGCCAACAGAATAACCCTTAGAAAATTATACCTCAGTAGTATTCAGAAGTTGCCGAATGACCATTGACATTGATATACCTATCTGCTCTAATCAACACACTTGATTAAAATTGAAATTCTATTATACAAAATAAAACCTGATTTCCATGCTCCTGCATCAGGTTGGAACTGACCAGCCAACACTTGATATTGAACAGTTTATGTATTTGAGGCAATTTCCCACAGTTTTTTTTCTGATGACTTCATACTCTCCTTTTTGTGTCCATTTCTCTGTAGCTGGGGCTCCGGGTAGCGTGGTCTGTCACAAGCTGAGAGACGGAAGCAGCTTTTATTTCAACTTCCTGACCATGGAGTCTAGCTGGATGGAACCAGAGGACTTCAACGACTCCAATCTACAGCTCAACAAAGAAGAAATCCAGGCAAGTCAACACAGAAATCAACTGAAACTAAATAGCCATATCTAAAAGTTTTCCATTGGTCAAAATCAGTGATCAGTGGTTAAGACGTCCTTCCCAAATCCTCTTTGCAAAATGGAGGATTTTGCAGGATTGAGGCCATATGGCAAAAAGGTGTGGCTGATTTTGAAGGTTGTACTGTGTCAAGGTCTTGGGCCGATCCTTATGTCGTTTATGCTCAGCCATGCACAATTTAGGCCTACATTATACTTTTAATCTTCCGCACTGCTCCTGGACGTCACTGGCTCTGCCTCAACACATTGACAGTGATTGCTGGAGGATTTTGCAGGATTGAGGCAGTGGTCACCCCTCCAAGGACCACATTCAAGAAACAACGGAGGATTTTGCAGGATTGAGGCTTTATGCAAGTTTTACATGGAGGCAATTGGAGGGTTTTGCAGCATTGAGGTTGCATCCTAGCAAAAATGCCTGGGGAGTTAGGGTTAACCAGCAAATGATGGCCTCACCAACCACTACAGAATGGTGTGCCGAACGGTTCACGCTGCACCACTCACAAACTACCTGGCCTATTATTTCAGTGCTTGGTTGCACTTGAACTTTTAATAAGTTGCACAACAAGCCTTGACTCTGGGGGATTAGTGGCGGTTGAGCCTTTGAAGTTGGGGATTGCACACACGCCTTTGTTATGGGAATCCAGGGTGAAAATGTCCTCCTTTGTTCCACAGCTGGACTAGTTGACTTGAGGCTCATCACTTTAAGCCCAGCCCACACCTTTCTGATTTTACCGGTTCATTGGGCCATCGTACAGAGGTGTGCGCTGAAAATTCGGACCGATCTGACCTTACACTGGGTGACAGGATGAAATCAAACATGTTTGAGTTTTTTCCGCATCCGATTTCACCGGATCCGACGTCACCAGAAAGGTGTGCGGGCAGCACTGCGATTTTCACCGGACGCGATATTTAGGTTAACCAATCAGATTCATGAAGGAAGTCACATGATTTAAAATTGACGGCTGCCAATTTGTCGTCATGTTACTGGTCATCATGTGACTGGTCATCATGTGACCGATTATAGAACCTAATCGGGCTTGTGTGCGGGTAACATTGCAGCCTAACCGCAACGGTGACAAAAACCGTACCGGTGATGGGGTGATCTGGTGAACCTGTAAAATCGAAAAGGTGTGTGTCGGGCTGTAGAGGGCCTGAAATGGCAGAAAGAAAGTCCCATACTATTTGACTAATCGTTCGGGTCAATTATTTGGCGGTTAGCGAACCATTTGTATTGTGACGTCGGCCCTAAGTCACAAGGGACAAGTCAGTTGGGGAGTCATTCAGTCAGTGAGTCAGTCAGTGAAATAGGTCCAAAGAGTACACTGACCAGCCCTCAGGTACTAGCCAAAAAAAAAAAGGTTGAGAAAGAACTGAGTTTATAATTGTTGTAACCCTCTCCCCTTGCTTTTTGTTTTAAATTGCAGAAAGTAGTGACGGGCGTAACAGCTGAGTATGATCGGGCTCTTCTGTTCCAAGCCAACGAAGACAAAGTCGTCACGCTTCAGTCTCATGTCCGAGGGACCATCGCCAGAAAGGCTTACAAGGAGAGATTGGACTTCATCAGGAGACAGCTACCTGCCATCGTTCTTATACAGGTAAGTCGGATATCACATGGAGGAGATGGGTACCAGACTGGTTTCCATGGTTTCTTAGGAGGGGATGGATGGGTTTCCTAAAGTAAGGCCCTGAACGGTACAGAAACCTGTTAAAGTATTTTCTATAAAAAATAACAATAAAATGGATTGATGTAGCGTACGAACAGCGCAGTACATTGTTCTTAATAACCCTGCTCGTTGGGCCAGTGAAAACATTCTTAAGACCATCTCAGCTCCATTGGGATTATACAGCTCGATGCTGCCATATCGGCTAAATCAAACACACAACCATCTCTGCCCTCACAGGTACCCAGTTACTCCTGGGTGGAGAGAAGCAAATATTGATAGAGTGTCTTGCCCAAGGACACGTGTACCGCAACCCAGGCTGGACTCGAACCCCCAACCTGCAGAATTACCCACAAGAACATGAGTTCAGTGCACAAGATCACAGAGGCACAGCATTCTTCAGACTTCAGCAAAGGACACAAACAGCACTCTTAGGAATTTAATGGACGACCCAAACCACACCAACACTATCTTTTATTATGTATGTGCTCTTCATTCTTTCTTCCAGAGTTGGCTGAGAGGATTCCGTCAGAGACGAGCCTACAGAGAAAGACTGGAGTTCCTCAACAAACAGGAAGAAACTTCAGTCAAGGTATATATTTCGCGAGAAAACAACACGATCAAAAATAATTTAGAGGGTTTGCAGTAACATTTGAATTTATTTTGAATGGTTTGTGATACATATAGGTCAGTTTAAACTGAATATCATTGACGTTACCGAAAGCTTGCTGCAAATTTGTGGAGTTGAATTTGCAGCAATTTGTTTCAATTTGTTTCATTTTGAACTGGCCTTTCATGTTACTTATTTCCTTCATATTTACAGTTGCAATCTTACGCTCGGATGCACAAGGAAAAGAAGAAATACCAAGGAAGGCTGAATTTCTTCAGAGATAATGTAAGTAGGAGCAGAATTTGACCAAAAATGTAAATAAAATGAAAAAAAAATGTAAAAAGGGAAATTGTTTATATAAATCCTCAAGACAACCGCTACCAACATCTTAAAGGGAAAATACAACATTTGCAAACATCAAAAAATAAAACTACCAAATCATTTTGAAATGACTTGCTGGACTGTTAGTGAATGACAGTGTAAAGCATCCTGTAAAATCATGGCACCTGGTATACTGTCATTTTCAAGAAAAGTTGTAATTTTGTGTCAATTTCCAAAAAACTGACTTTTTTTTCAAATACTGGCCCCAATTGACCATCGCACTTGTTTGCAATCGATTACACACCTATGAACGGGTACAAGCCAGCTAGACTGGTTCCCTGACCTTACAATTCCCCAATGTATGTAAACTGCTCTGTTTCTTCTTATATGGAGTCAGGGAACCAGACTACATGAAAATGATTGTTTTTCTTCGTTTTTATAGCATTTTCGAACCCAAAACCTCAAAAAGTCAGTGTAACTATATTTGCTATATATTTCCAACCCCCCCAATTCCATCCATTTCTGAAAATTACAGCAAAAGCAAATGATGTATATTCCCTTTAACTGGTGTCTATAACGTGTGAACATATTTAAAAATTCGATACTGTTCAGAAGGAAATTGAATAATACATTTTAAGAAAATCAAATTGGACGAGCCTCACATGTCAACCCCATTACTGCCATTTTGTCAAACTGACATTTATTGGGAAGATTGAGGATATTTATTCTTTTTTAAATGTTCTTGATCAGGTGAACTCTGTGATCAAAATGCAGACGTTCTGGCGATCCAACAAAGCAAGGAACGATTACTTCACTCTCAGTAAGTGATCTAGAAGACAAAAAACTATTAAGATGTGTAGCATCACTGCACAATAATTTATTACATAATTGATGCAGTTCTTGCATAATTGATGTAATTCTGTGCCTTTGACAAAGCTCTTTCCAGGATCAAAACGAAGGCCCTGTAACTTTTTGGAGTTGTATATCAGATATTTCAGGTCAAAGAGGTTAATTCCTACCTTCAGTTTTCATGAGTACCTACTCTTCTTTTTTATTTCTCTTGAAGCCCTGTACCTGGAGTGGCTTTTAGCCTAGTTCAGGACGAATATGCATGAGAAAAGAAAAAAAGAAAATCCAGTCGTTTTGCAGTTTACAGCAGCTTTATTCCTTTCCATTTTCTTGCATAATTAGTTCATTTTCTGCACGTTGTAATTTCATATTATTAATTTTTTTTATCTGGATCGTTTACGTTTTCGTATGTACTGCCTACGTTTAAAACAGAAACTAAGTGGATTTTGTAGGTTCTGGGATGGTTAAGTATTGATTAGGTTTTGACATTTGTTCCTGTCATTTTTCTAATTCTTGCCGCCTTACCATTGCAGTCAAATCTGAGAACCCTCCCGTCAGCGTGGTGTCCAAGTTTGTTCATCTCCTGGAGAGCAACGAAGTAGATTTGAACGAGGAACTCGGTAAAGCAACTTGAAAATTATGTCGACTTTCCATGTTTTCCTAATGACTCAGAACTTAAAAAAACTTAGAGGCATATAGGATCATTTGCTTTTCATGCATTTTGTTCGTTTCCAGTAATAACACCACTCAAAATCAAAAGAAGAATTTTGAAAACCTAACCTGTTGAAGTTTCAGCTCAGTGGATATTACACTTTTCGAGAAAATAGTGAAAATTATGCACAAACTTTTGATTCCCAAGTATGATGTCGTCTATAGCACACTTTATTTCCAAACATCAGTCCATTGACTGATTATTGGAAATCACCTACATTTCTTGATTTCGTCTCAATGACAGCAAGCCAGACAGAATAATTTCACAGGATGTTTAGTACCAGTATGATTTTTAATCCAAGTAAGCTTTTTGATAAAAATTTGGTAGGTTACTCTTGGGATAAATGCAAATGATCCCATATGCCTATAATCCATATGTCCCTGTACTGCCCCAAACCGCCCCGCCTGTTACTCCCTGTACTGCCCCAGCACTGTATGGCTTTCTGGATTCTACAGGAAATAAATACAATGTAATGTTATCTAATACAAGTTCTAACTGTTTACCAATTTGGTTGACTTTTGGAAACAGAACTTCAAGAGCTGCGAGAGCGAGTGGTCAAGAAGATCCGTTCCAACCAGCAACTGGAGAATGACCTGAACATGATGGACATTAAGATTGGACTGCTGGTCAAGAACAGGATCACGTTGCAGGTAAAAAATCTGAGCTTTTAAGGATACTGTTATTTATTTGTTTAGTTCTTGTAATGAAACAATTCCTCAAAAGCACCTAAGGCACTCTAGCTAGCAACCCTGAAGAAACCTGTAGAGAGATGACAAAGAAGAAACTAGAGGTTTGCGATTGAATTTCTAACAAATGGGGGGTGACGGGGCTCTGAACTATTTCATTTGGCATTGTCTAACTCAGTTGTAAAAATGTTTAAGCAAAAAAAAGAAAGTGGCATCAGAGTTGTATTGCAGTGCAAAAAAAAAGCACTGCAAATGTATCACTAACAATAAAATCTGAGAGGTAATAATCTTGAAAGATCAATAAGAAAGGGAAGTTAAATTAGAATACTCATAAATAACATTTTAAAAAAGGCATTTGTGGAGGATCACAATTTAGTCATGGAAAATCAGTGTTATCAGGAAGTCGCAGAAATATCATGCGTGGTCCTAAGGAAATCTATGTACGCCGGGCACAAGTACCCCTACATCAGATTGAATGTAAATCAACCGAATAAATAAAAATAAATAATTACTGTTGTCTGTTTCAGGATGTCGTGTCCCACGGTAAGAAGCTCCGTCGTCAGACCGAGACCAGCCGCACCTCGGGCCTGAAGGCACTGAGCCGAGAGAAACGAGAGATGCTGGAAGCCTACCAACATCTCTTCTACCTGCTCCAAACCAACCCCAACTACCTGGCTAAGCTCATCTTTGCTATGCCTCAGAGCCGAACCACCAAGTTTATGGAGTCCGTCATCCTGACGCTCTACAACTATGCAGCTAACCAACGGGAGGAGTTCCTCATGCTCAAACTCTTCAAGACGGCGCTGGAGGAAGAAATCACGTAAGTTCTCTTTCTCTAAGTTTTAAGACTTCATAATTTAGCTTTTTGTATTTTTAGCTTGCCAGGTTTGCGAACGGTGTTGATGAAAAACTGAACAAGGTTTTGTGGTTCGATACAATAGTTTGTAGTAAAAAACAAAATTTCCTGGTGGATTAAAAAATGTGTATTTTAGTTCTTAAATTTAGATGGAAGGTTTATTTTAAAAAGAATTTTCCCTATTTTGTCAATCTTGACAAACAAGAACATTATCCCGTTTTCATCTCCGATAGATTCTTTATGTCTACACTGAAGGATGTTAATTTAAACAAATTAAAAGGAATTTTTGAAATCTTTTACGGCTTTTAGTCAAAAATTGCAGTGGATTCTTTTACGACCATTAAATGTCCATTGACTCATCAAATATATTTAAAGGCTCAGACAATTCTTGCTGATAACAAAGAATCTTTACATGTAATTTCTTTTTTCTTATTATTCTTGAGTTACTTTTATGGTTGCATTCTTTGCATGGCATTTTCCTTTTCCAAATTTTATTTTCTTCTCATTTCTCATTTGCCTGCTTCATTTCAATTATTGTATCTGATACTCAAAAGTAAATCTTTATATTTACAAAAATTAATTGGGTAAAAAACATTTTCATGATCACTTACTGTAGTGTCAGTTGAAGGAAATGAACAAAGGGACAATATAACATGAAAGTATCCAATATACAGTATGTCCCACAAGAAGTGTCTGTCTGACTATTTTTGAAATAACCACAAAACCATGAAGTCAGATACTCCTTATCCTTGGCCTAATCCCATGTGGGTTTCATTTAATTTCAGTCACGCATCACTACACAATTGTCAATTGATCACAACAAGATTTTTGGACACTGTGACCAAGTTCCTTGCCTTAATGAATTTCAGTGCTATGTTATGTATCGATGTAAAATCCTGCATGTTGTGAAAAGGGCTGCAGTTGGCATTGGAATCATTTGCCTGGCTATCAGTCATCATGGCAAGACCTCAGTTGAATGCTCAAGGGCAAATGATTCCAATCCCAAACCACACCAGCCTTTTTTTCACAACGTGCAGATTTTACACAGCTTACATAACACAGCACTGAAATTGATTAAGGCAAGGAACTTGGTCACAGTGTCCAAAAATGTTGTTGTGATCAATTGACAGTTGTGTAGTGATAGGTGACTGACATTAAAAGGAAAGTACAACATTTGCAAACAGAAAAGAAAAAATAAATACCAACTTATTTTGAAATACCTTGCTGGACTGTTAGTGATTGACAGTCTAAAGCATCCGGTAAAATCATGGCACCTGGTGTACTGTCAAGAAAAGTGGTATTTTCGTATCGATTTCCAACGCTGGTCGGCCGACCGGCATTGGAAAAAAAAAGGGCTTTTTTTTTCAAATACTGGCCCCAATTGACCATATTTAGGTAGTCCGCATTTGTTTGCAATCGATTACGCACCTACGAACGGGTACAAGCCGGCTAGACTGGTTCCCTGGCCTTACAATTCCCCAACTTTTGTAAATTGCTCCGTTTCATCTTAAATGGAGTCAGGGAACCGGACTACAGGAAAACGATTGTTTTTCTTGGTTTTTATGGAATCTAAGAACCCAGAACATCAAAAAAGTCAGTGTAACAATATTTGCTATACAATTACCAACCCCCAAATCCATCCATTTCTGAAAATTACAGCAAAAGCAAATGATGTATATTCCCTTTAAATGCAAGGCATAGGGGTTTAGGCCAACGATAAGGAGAATCTGCACAATCAAAAATGTTCAAAATTGACTTCATGGTTTCGTAGTTATTTCGAAAACAGTCAGACAGACATTTTTTGGAGGACATACTGTTAAAGTTGGCTAAATGCATTAGTGCCCTGTTATTAGTCTGCTTGCGTGTACATACCTCTATCATTTAGCTTTTGTTGATATTTCGTTGCCAACGTTCACCCTTTTGTTTTGTATCGGACGTCGCCACAATCTTTCCTGCAACTCTCATCTGCCTTTCGGTCATACATCTTTTTGCTTCTCTCTGGATGCCACCCTCCACCCCAGGATGATGTAAGTAAGAGGGGTTCAACCTCGTCCCCAAGACATCCATGTGTACTGTGCAGTGTTCGTATCTCGTTGTGGCGCACACTTATTGTACAACTTCATAGTTAACATGACTGTGGCTGTTTCGTATCTAGTTGAGAGTTCACTTTGTAGACATGTAACAGTGGTAGTCATTTAGCTGAAAAACTAACCTCTTGCACATTATAGACATGTTTTTTCAAACGTAGCTTTTACTTCAACCAGTTTTTTGTGAGCAGTACAGTGAAATGCCGCTGTAACGAACACCGCCATAATGAACATTTAACCACAACAAACATATCCCCTTTGGCTCCTGAAATATTCAATTCTATTATAATGCACAATCACTATAAATAACGACCACTATAAGGAACATATTTTATGGGACCCCATCGTGTTTGTTATAGTGGCATTCTACTGTACTGAAATGTCTGTTCTATCTGAATTGAATTCTTTGTTCTACTAAGGGCCTGTTTGTTTAGCACCGATCGGGATCCGGGGTCCATTTGTTTGTTTTGCTGGGATCCGGACCTGGATCCTTCCCAAGAGGTGGATCAGCACGAGATTCAAAACTGCAACTAACAAAACAACGTTAACCCCTTAAGGACGGGGTGTAATGGGGACCTTCCTCCACACATAGAGCAAGTGGCCCGCGTGACTGCACAGCCTTTGTGTGGTAGCGGGACTGCACAAAAGCAGCAGCTGTGGAACCTGTGCCACGGCATACCACAGCTGGCAACTGCATTCCAATGAGGATTAGCGGCCGCGGCCATGACAGCTTCCCGTGCATGGGGTTAAGAAGTCTCCTTGTTTACTTTGGGCTAGTCACATGACTTGAGATCCTGATCAGGTGCAGTTTTGTATGTTATAGCTCTGTGCTGGTTGCAAGGATCCAGGTTTGGATTTGTACTGAAACAAATGCACCCTTGGTTGATCCATCTTAAATTCATTCTAAGTTTAAAAGAGTGTGTTTGAAAATCATTGCTAGTGAAACGTTTTGAAGAATATTTATCCAGGCTGTGATATCACTGTTGTATGTTTGAGATTTAACTGATTAGTGTTTGTGGGAACAAGTTATAAAATGCATACAATTTTTTTTTAATTTTAGTTTTTTTGCTAAAATGTTATTCTCTGCAAACAAGTTTCAAAACATTATGTTCCTATAGGTTTATCAATTGTAATTTGCTTTTTAAATTGTGTACATTCCCAGCACTGAACTGATTGAGGATATCAGTATCGCATTTCAAAGCTGCTCATATCGCATATACGACATCAAACCGCCCAAAAACTTGTGAGTTTCTGAAAGGAAGAAAAGAGAAAATGGAAATCATTTTTGATTTTGGAATTTGTTTTGCCTCTTGGTTGTTCAGTTGGACTGATATAGTTGTGCATCATGGCATTGTGCCAAATAATTCACTTTGGAGCGAAGATATGATAAACTGTGCCTTTGAACAGTAATAACGCTGTACTAAATAATGCATTGTGTGGCCACACTGTTTCTCAATTTGATCCTGGGTGGAGATTGGCAAGTTCCGTTATGTGTAAACAATCTTGCTCAAGAACATAAACTTAGTGGCCCCGAGGCATGGATCCATTGTACAGTTTGCCTCAAGCTAAAAAAAAAAAGAGTTAAAAAATTTCAGTGTTCTGGAGAATTTTTTTTTCTAGTATTGTATCTTTATTATGAAAATAATAAAAAAGTATGATGTAGTGTTTTTTAAATTGTCTTCCCATATCAACTAAAAAAATATTGACAGACAACTTTGGTGTGTGATGTACAAATCTGAAAATGATTACCTTCAGTACAAAAACAACCAGTTAGATAACATTATTAGGTGCTTTCGGATAAAACAATCACTTTCAATGCATGTGACAGTTATAAAATTCAAAAGATTAAAGCGTTTAGATTGGCTTTGGTACATGTACGTGTACGATATCAATATATCTGGCTTCTTTTCAAATTTCAGATTATTATTCTCCGGCAGTACTGAAATCATTTAGTACGATTGTTTTATCAATTGCTGTTGATAGTAATTTAGTAAAGCCATTTTCATAAGCTAATTTCTTGTTAACTTGTTGCCAAAAATATTTTTTCTAAACTTGTTCCTTTGTGGTCCACATTTGCTAACCCATTTGTACATGACTGGGAATGGTTTGAATCCACTTAACATACTGCATGCATGGTGCTTGTTTCCGCTGCTGGTTGAAACTGTTTATTTTTCTTAATCTTCCTTGGTGATATATCACAACTTTGTATATTCATGAATTCATCTCATTTGCATGTTGGCATTGTTCTTGTAGCTGTTGTAGTGGTTTTTGGAAGGAAAACATGTAGTCTAGGCCAGATTTAAACAAAAAAAATATTGAGTATCAAAAATGTAACTTACAATAATTACCTAATTGACATACCCTGAATTCAAAAAGTGAGGATACCAAGCAGGATTTTTACTTTTAGTCTGATTTTTCTTCTTTTTGATTGAATAAAGGTCATTGCACAAATGTTTTTATTAGTATCGTTTTATTTTGACAATAATGCTCCTTTAATCTCAGAAATCAGCTTGGTGTCCATCAGCAAATTGGTAAAATAGCTAGGTTTAATACCAACTTGTACTAAAAGTATGCCTCTTTTTATCTTAAAATAGCCCTTATTTTTTTGTAAATCTGGCTTAGACTTATGTGGTGTTTGGCATATGGTAACCAAATTTTAAAGTTATTCAAAAGTTACGGCGTTTTCCATTGATTGATTCAAGTTACTAGTATTTCAAGGTCTTTTTAAAGGTAATACACAACATTTATATAATGTATATAGCTAGAATATACATCTTGGACTGTTACTATCAGCATGGTTTGATTCTTCTATGCATGTTATGCAAAGTTATTGTACATGTTTTAACAATGTGGTGAAAGTTATTGTTTAACTGTTGACAATGTTAACAAGGGTTTTATTGTCTTTGTTCAAAAGAAATTAGGATTTTATACAAAACAGTGCAGAACAACTTAAAGCTATAGTCCATCATTTGTAATTTGTGCATTTTGTTCGTTTGAAGCAACAAAAGGGTTCAAAATCTAATGAAGGATACTGAACAACTAACCTGATGAAGTTTCAGCTAAGCTTCAGCTGTACATATCGAGAAAAACAGCATTCTAAGATCTCAATTTTAAATCAAAAGTTACTGAATCATGTTTTGAATTGTTTTGAATTGCAGCCATACGCGACGTAGCACACTGATCCGACAAATTATAACAACCGCGCGCGCGTGTGCGTCGTTATTGTATCTGTTTTACAATAACGACGCAATGCGCTGAATAACAAAACGAACTACTAATTTAAATTTTCCTACGGTGCTTCTTAAGAATCACCGTTGGAAATGCCTTCTTTCGTTGATTACTTCAAAATGACAGCTTCCCAGAAGGAATAATTTCACAGGGAGTTTAGTTCCCTTACTATTTTTCAACCAAGTTTGTTTTTCAACAATAATTACGCCAGTTACTTTTCGGATGGCTGCAAATGATGGACTATAGCTTTAATTCATGTCCAAGATATTCATAGTAGTGATTGTTATGTTTCATATCAAAAGTTATTTCACTTTTCTATTAACAGCCTTTTTCCCGAAAACGTATCGTAAGGCCAATTATACTTGTAGAGTGATGGAAAAACTGTTTTAATTTATAATTGTTTGAACTCCCTCACCTAATTCCTGAAAAAAAAATACTGTAAAAACAAAACCTTTTTCAGATTGTGTCCGAAAGTAGTTTTCTTGTCGGTTTGTGCAAAAGCTAGGAACGTGAACAACCATAGATTGACAATCGGGTATCGTTTTGAGTTTTTTAAAACCCTTTTTTTTTGTCACTGATGTGTGTTGTTTGTTTGTTTGTGTTTTGACAGCTCCAAGGTAGACAAGATGATGGAGATAGTAACAGGCAGTCCCATGGTCATCAAGATGGTCGTCACATTCAACAGGTGAGATCTCTTGGCTGTGGCTGGCAATAAGTTCCATAGGCGCATGTGTGATTGCAGTACGTAGCCATGTCATTCAGATGCGGCTTAGGCTTTGGATAAATTCTCTATAGACCTTTTTTAGATATCGGCCAGAGCGGACCATGCTATGTGAAGGTATATGTTGCGTTGCATCATGGGAAGGTTTGCGTTTCACAAATTTCCAAGTTGTAGCAGTACATATCCCACAATGCTGTGCAGCATATCATATACCTAAACAGGATTGCATTGGACTGTTGCATATTTTCTCTCCTTAAATTGCCTTGTGCATGGGGCATATTGTCATCCAGAATCAGACTGTTCATTATTTTATTTTACTTGGAGGTAGTTTTTGCAGGATCACTTGAGGGTGCATCCTAGCAAAAAGGCCTAGGGGGCTAGGATAACATTCTTTATCCTGAAATATGCCAGATATTTATACATCGCCCCTCCTGAGAAGTCCCCGTATAAATGTGAATTTTTACAAGCGCTGACTGTTTTTCATTAACAAGTCTTTGGAATGACTAATACCTAGCATTGTTTCTCATCTGTTTCTGGATTGCTGCTTGCATACAGAACAAGGTACATGTTATGAGCAATGACGATAGTCTTACTCTCTGCATGGTTTCTGCAAGTTATCTTTCTTTTTTAATTCTGGTGTCGTAAGAACTTTGGACTTGATTAAAAAGGTATTTATGTCTTTTTAGACATTGTTCGACTGAATCTCATTGTTTCTCTCACAATTTGAATCCCTAACTGTACCTCATGAGAACATCTGAATCAAACTGCATTGCATGCTTTTCACGATGGAACTGCATGTGTCTATGCATGGATAACCATGTAGAAATTGCATTTAGATCATCATTTCTTCTCAATGATGTCGTTCTCGTTTGGGATTTCAAGTCATTTTGAATTCTGTTTCCTTTTGTCTTTTCATTTTTCCCTATCTTGTGTTCATTGTTTTGTTTTAATAATTAGAGATTTCCACAATTGGGCAAAATCTTGGTTGTAATCCTAGATTATATCAGACTACGATTCAGATACTCCAAGTTAAAAGCTTGAAACACACTTGCATTTTTCATCATTAACAAGAGAATCACAGGCCTCACAGCCAAACTTCTAAAACCTGTAAATACCTATACGTCAACTTGGTAGCCTATATGTTTTTATGAAGTAACTTATAAAGACCATAAAAACCTTTATTTTATTCTGCCATAAATTTTAACAATTTGTAAACAAAAATTGAAAAATCTGATTTGATCCACAGTTTAGTTGTCATAATGCTAAATAACAACAATGTCAATACACCTCTCAAATTGTTTTTACAAGTGTTTCAGAATTGGGCAGTTTGCTTGACGTCCTGCGAGTAGGTAAATTTATCTAATAAGAAGAACATGAGGTGAGCAATTCGCTGTATTTCTGCTACCTCATGCTTAAAAACTGCACCATAAAACCTATATTTTGGCTTGTGAAAAAGTGTAGTTTGATTTTCAAATCCTATTTAAATAAAACCTATATTGGTGAAGAGGGGGACTGTTAGGCCTGGAAGCAAAGTACACAGTCCAAACCAAATATCCAACTTCCCAGGGAAATGCTCAGTATTTTCGCCAATAAACAAATTATTGTTTAATGCTTGTAATTCTCCAGAGGTGCCAAAGGTCAGAGTTCACTGCGTGACATCCTACAGCCGCTGGTCAAGGGTGTGATGGACGACAAGAAGCTGAGCATCAACACCAGTCCCACGGAGGTCTACAAAGCCTGGATCAACACGATGGAAACACAGACTGGAGAAGCCAGGTGAGAACAGGGTCAGTGGGTGGGGTGGGGAATATTTGAGGTACTGACCCTCCACTAACAATTAAACGGGAGGCAAACATGCGAGCATAAAATTCTCCGTACAATACTGTTTGTTGCTCTTTAATCGGCACTCTGTTGATAAGTTATGGCTGTTTAAATTTCTCATTGATCGACATGTTAAAAAGTAAAATACTGAGAAAGATTTTGTGGTCGTGAAAATAAGATATGCCAATTGTTTTCCCTTAAAAACACTTTTATTTCACGATTTTTCGGTTATTTCTTTACAATATGTGTAGTACACATATCAAAGATAATGAAGATTAATAAATCTGAATTCTGAAAATCGAAAAAAAAAAATTGCCCCCATTTGGTGTTTTGCATTTTTCTCCACTACGGCCTGTGACCAGTTCCGTCTCATTTTGCCAGAACGCCTCACAAATGAGCTTTCCATTGAATATTCCGCTACAGAATATGAGGCCACCGTCCAAACCCCCTCCTGTTCCACCCTCAAAGCGTCCGTCATTTCTTTCTTTCTGTTTCACTGTTACGTGTTTATTTGTGCGTAGGGTCCATAAGTGTATGTTCAGGGTATATGGGAGCTGGAGAAGTGTAGCCAAATCTTCTTTGATTTACCCTGTACCATTTTTTTATTTGACAGCAAACTCCCCTACGACGTTCCGACGGAGCAAGCCTTACAACACAAGGAGGTCATAGAACGCATCGAGCAATCGGTGAAAACTCTGGGTGCAGTGGCGGAACGATTCCTGTCCTCCATCTTCGCAGCTCTTGACAAATTCCCGTAAGTTCTCTTTGTCAGGTTGTCATCGTTTGGCCCATCAGTGTACTACATTGTATTACACTGTGTTTACTCACTGAACAACAATCAATAACACCATAGGGTGCTTTGGTGGTTTCAGGCGCTACAGTGAATAAAGGGGAATGTGTTTTTGAACATTGTGCTTGACTTGTGGACGATTAATTTTTCACGAAGAGTATTTCTTGCTATAAGCTCAAATAAAAGTCAGGTAATAATAATAATAATAATAATAATAATGCATTCTTATATAGCGCATTACATCAAAAGAAAATCTCAATGCGCTTTACAAAATTAATTGCATAAAAAGTCATAATAGTACATTAAAAACTCATTAAAAATTTACGGTGGATCAGAAACATTGATTAAAACACACAGTAAGACTCATTAGAAATACATTTAAAATCACAATCACTTGGAATATTACTAAAAAACCTGACGGAAATAATATGTGTTTTAGTGCTGACTTAAAAGATAAAAAAGAAGGTGCATTTTGAATAAAATAAGGTAGTCTATTCCATACACTGGGTGCTGATACTGAGAAGGCACGCCTGCCATAATGATCTTGATTAAAACGGGGCTGAACTAAACGTGTTTCAGTGGAGGAGCAAGTGGCTATTGAACTTTCTCAAACTGTCAACAAATCCAACAGGTAGCACTTAAATGACTAACTAGAGAATAGAATGCCCATGAGCTTTCGTAGCTACAACCACTTCATCAGATGCTATAAGCTAAAATTGATGGTCTGAAGGCAAACTGGGGAAAAAAATGTTTGGCAAGTTTGATTGAATTTCATTTTTGAGTCCACATAATGAATTTTTCTCTCATTGATGTCCATAATTAGTACTCAGGCACAGGCCGCAGATTCCCTCATGCATGTTATTGAAAAGCAATTTTGGTAAAAATTTGATTTCAGAACATTGGAGGGCTTGATGTAAAGATCGTGAAAATTTCATTCAGTGTCTTTTTGTGTCTTCTTCAGGTATGGAATCCGCTACATTGCCAAAGTCTTGAAGCAGTCACTACACAGTAAATTCCCCAATGCTACTGACGAGGAAGTTTTGAAGGTGAAAATATAACATACATCATGCAGTCCATGGTATATTTATTGTTGTTGATGATTGATTGATTTTTATTTTAAATATATTTCAACAACATCCAACAGCGCAGGTGCCAAAACAGGATGGAAGACTTATTTCCAATATGGTCCCTTGGTGAAAGATTTGGAAGGAAATTACAGTTTTACCGGTGGGAGGAAAACCCCAGAATGATATTCTGGGGAAAACCCACGGAATCAGACAGGGACTGAAAACCCAATCCACATATTGGCCCAGGCGGGATTCGAACCCGGGTCACAGCGGTGGAAGGCGAGGAAAGTACCACTACGCCAGCCAGATCCCATTTATTATTATTGATAGTTGATTAATTAAATCAACCACCCATCCACAATCACTGAATCAATAATAAATATCTCTGCAAATCTCTCTCTAGATCGTGGGCAATCTGATCTACTATCGCTACATGAATCCTGCCATCGTTGCGCCCGACGCCTTTGACATCATCGACATTGGAGTGGAGAAGGGAATGAGTAACGAGCAGAGGCGAAACCTGGGCTCCGTCACTAAAGTCCTGCAGGCCGTGGCCTCGGGCAAAGAAGTAAGAAATCTTCCTATAGGGCACACTGTTAATTCTATCATGGAGGCCCCCTTCAATGGCAAAAGCATTGTGCTAGCAATTGTTCAGATAATCCGTCACAGGGCGGTTGCTTTGTACAGTAGCGGGCACAATGGTTTCTCCATTGAAGGGGGCCTTTCGTCAGGATACACAAACTTTGAGTTTCCAACAGTTCCTTTCAGAACCTCACAAACTCAAAAAATTGACCATTTGTATCACTGCAAACTTATTCTTATTTCTTTGACTGTACAGCGTGTCCCAAAAAAAATGTCCCTCTGATAGACTGCTTAATTAATTCCAAAATCAAGTATTATTCTCAATTTAGTGTTCAGATTTAGAAAGCCCATTTAATTTTGTGACTTTTGTGAAAATTTCATTGGTCTCGCTTCATTGGTTTTGAATACACAGTCTATTATGTATCAACAGTGCTTTTCAGCCCATTCCAAGTTTGCAGGTGGAAGGACGTGCAGGAGGACAATAAAGGTTTACAAGCTGGACATTGAAGAACAAACCATAAGTGGAACACACCCTGTGAAAGCACACACGACCAGTGGAACTGAACTTTGATTAGTTTTCATTTAAACAAGTAAATGAACTTGACTTTAGTTACTCCATGGAGGAATGGTTACTCAATAACAAAAACAACAACACAGTTGTTGAATTAAAAGTGAAGCATGGAATAAGGTATGGTATGTCTGTAGTGTGCATTTCTTTTTATCAAACTTGGAATGGGCCGGAAAGCACTGCTGTTACATACAAGCCTATGTATTCAAAACCAATGAAGCGAGACATTTACAATTTTCACAGGAACTACAAAATAAAGTGGGCTTTCTAAATATGTAAACTTAATTGAGTATAAAACTTTGTTTTAGTAATTATTCTGTGGTCTATGAGAGGGACATTTTTTGTGGGACACGCTGTATTGACTCTATTATTTCCTTGTTTCCTCTCATCTGGATTATGTTTGCTTCGTTGCAGTTCAGTGGTGAGAGTGCCCACCTGTCTTCCTTGAATGCTTTCGTCCACGAGGCCTTCGGACGATTCAAGTAAGAAAACCATGGATAAATAGATAAGCACTAAAGCTGTCATGTTTGACGTACAGTACAATAGGCTTTGGAGGAGTGTGGCCTAGTGGTTAGGATTTGTGACTCAAGATCAGAGGGTCAGGACTTCGAATTCAGCTGCTGGCTATATGTCGTGTCCTTGGGCAAGCCACTTTACCCCCACTTGCCTCTCTCCACCCAGGAGTACAAATGGGTACCGGCATTAGCTGGGGAGTAACCTGCGATGGACTAGCATCCAGAAATGACAGACTTTACTTTTTTTACTTTAAAAATAGGCCATGTTACTGAGCAAATGAGTTTTGCTGTAACATCGTCATTCTCTGGGTTCAAACAATAAAAAACATCACATTTATTAAAGATATTTCGTACTGCCACTTCAATCTAAAAATTACAAATTGTTAAAAGGTAATATCTTAAATTATAACATCTTGTAAACTAATATCTTTATAGTGTCCTCAGTGGCTCCAAAAATTGCCTATGCATTGACTTGGTGACCAAGAATATCTTAGGAGTTTGTCGAGAGAGTGATTTGAACATCAGTTTAACTTACTTTATTTAATCACACGGGACAAATTTCATGTCCATACGTTAATGTTTTGCTGGCTGTACTTTATCATACTTCATTATTATTTTAAATTTGAGAAAGATCCTGCCGTGGTCAAAATGTCGGGTCATCTTTTTGTTTTGACAGGGATTTCCTGCTGAAGGTGTGCGATGTACCCGAGCCCGAGGAGCGATTTAATATCGATGAGTACTCGGACTTTGTCAACCCCAGCAAGCCCATTGTGTACATGTCAGTCAAAGAGATTATCGATACGCATGCTGTAAGTACAATCGAGAAATTGCCCAACGTGATCAAATAAGCTATGAAAAGAGTTTAATACACAGTTTTGTTTACACATCATTTTGTTGCACTTATGTTCCCACTCGCCTAAGGCCCCCCAAAAAAGTCTCCGGTTTCTGGTATGCGCGCGCGTCGCCGGAGCCATGCACGTCGGCAAAATGAAAAAGTTTTTTTTTCAATGAAAGATGATGTCTCAAAACCGCCAAACTCACTGGTTTGACTGGAATCCTGCTGCTGCACAATTTTAACGTGTTTTTAGATGGGGCTACGATCGAGAATAAGCTTTATGTGGCCTCTCTGATCTTCCATAATATTTGCACTAAGTTTAGTCGAGCACCATCTGCAGTCATCAGCCGACATTTGAAGCAAAAAAAACCAGGTAAAAATAAAAAAAAGCTGTGTCGCCGCACCACTTTTTGGGCAAGCTCCATACCAGAAACCGGAGACTTTTTTTTTTGGCCTAAAGCACTCAACTATAATAAAATTGCTCTAGTATGTCTATCATAGCATGTTGTGATGACCATTGACAAACCACATTGATTATGTAAAACTGTAGACATAAATAAGTGGATCAGTGGAAGATATTAGTGTAAATTGGGTCGCTCAGGGACACAAGTTATTACGATTCCCATGGTGACATTTGCAAGCCACATATCAACACACCCGAAGCTTACTTTCTTACTTGCTAAAAGTAACTTTCCTCATCCTTTTTTTGTCAGTTGTTACTGGAGCACATTGAGCCGCTAGCGCCAGAACCCAACGATCCCTTACATGACCTGTTGGAAGATTTAGGGGAAGTGCCCTCACCTGAAGACATCTTGGGTAAGTGAAGAATCCAAACACTCTTTATTTTTCTTGCCAAAACCCTATCCTGTATCTCTCAAATATGTCAAGGCATAAAGACGTATAAAAGGTACTAATGACTGCATTTTTAGTCCTCAATCCCGCAAAATCTTTCAAAACCCGTGGCTAAATTACTATAAGCACAGACAAATGCTTAGCCCGGAAAATATTTGCTAAGCAAGTACAGGTTACCCGCCAAAATACCATGCAGTACAAGTTGCATTTGACTGGTACCCTGCAGATTTCTGCTGAGCACACATATCTGCTCAGTACTATTTCCTGCTTAACACTTTAATGAAATTAGGTCCTGATGGATTTGGATGGATCTAGGAGCATTAGGGCCCGTCTCAATTCATATCTGGGACGAGTTCCGCACAGGTTCCGGACATTGCATCGGGTATAAGTTGCTGGATTCTCAACAACTTCCCCACAATCTTCCCGCAATGAAGTTATCAGTATTGGTGGGTCAAGCAGTTGCAAATGAAAATTTCCCCAGAACATGTCCAGGACAAAATGCGGAGCTACTTCCGGGCAAAGTGAATGATTCTACCCACATTTTGTCCGGAACTAGTGCCAGATATAAATTGAGATGGCCCTTAGGCTTGAATGCAGGTAGTTCATGTAGTAAATTACCTTTTTGTTTGGAGAGGGGAAAATACAATTTTCGTCCGTTGAAACTGTTTTTGTCCGTTGATTGTGTTTGTGTTGTTAAGTCACTGTATTGTTGGTCCTCGATGCTTCACTAGGTGTGTATGTGAGCCCAAAGCTGAGCAGCAAGTACCATCAAGCATTCAGTCAGTTTAATAGAGGTAGCGTGGCTGCATGGTATGGAGTGATTGCAGTATGCATGGTGCATGAGGGGGTGTCAGGGGTCAAATGTCAAAGGACAGAGGTCAAGAGGTCCTACTTGCATTTGCATCAATGAAATGAGCCTGAATAGATATCACCAATTTGTGGGGTCTAAGCCTTTTTATAGCAATTACTATTTTTCCCATGTCCACATAAGTTTCCAAATTGTTTTTAGTTTTTTTTTTTCATTGTTTGGATGGAGTTGATACCGTTTTCACATCATTTTGCATTTCGAATGAAGTGAAAATAAAGCGTTACGATTATATTGCATCTTGGCGTTGTATGTTACTGATAAAAATTGAAATCATTTTCAAGTTGATTAAAGAAATTGACTGGAGCGGGGTTTGAACCTACTACCTCCGGATTGTCGTTCCGGTGCTCTACCAACTGAGCTGTCCAGCCCTATGTTGGCAGTTCCCCATTTTGTCAATGTCTTTGTTCAAGAGACGCTAGTCAGAAGCCATATACCTGTCGGGCCATGTAGCTAGGGATCGCGCCAAAGGTCACGATGCTAGCAACATTAGCAATGCTGTGAACATGGGAAATAGCAAACGGGGATCACTCAGAGAGGATACTCCAAATTAAAAATGGAGGAAATTTTGTCCATGGTTTGTATGATTTTTTTCTTTTATCTTTTCAAAAGCATTAACGTTTTGAAAAACGTTTCATTTATGCACCTTGGAGTTGAACACCTTTTATCCTACTTCTATCACTACCGCTAAAACCTCATTGATTTATCGGCCTATTTACACCAACTTGCAGGCGAGGTACCAGGTGAACAAGGCGACCCTCAGTTTGAAGCACTCCTTGCCAGCATGGCCAAGACGGAGATGTCACTGACGTTGACCAACAAGTTTGAGCTTCAAGAAGATGATGATAGTGACAAGAAAAGACTCTTCATCAAGTGAGCAAACATTTGAACACAGTGTAGAGTTATGTTAGAAATGCAGTTGTGTCTGGATTAAATGTATAGAAAATATTTATAAAGATTATAAGAGACTTCACCAGTGTATTCACCTTTTCTAGCTGTAGACTTCTTAGTTTTTGACACATTTGTACTCGCCCACTTTCTTTCAGGACCAAGAGATTGCTTGTCGACGTGATTCGATGTCAGTCCGGTGATGACGTCACCCAGATCCTGAAAGCACCAGCTACAGATGAACAGGTGAAAAAGAAAACGTCTTTAAAAAAGATAAATAGGCATTTTGAACTAAAAATGAAAACATATTGGTCTCGTCTCCTGATACTTACCAGGTGTGTAAACACGATGAAATGAGCACCATGCTCAACTTGGTCTCCATGTCATTTTAAAACCTGTGAAGATGCCTTAATGTATTATCTTGAATGTTATGGGGCAGGTACGGGACCTTTGTCTTTTTTTGATTAGGAACTTAAATGGGAATGCTTGTTGGGCTGGCAATCTTCTTTTTTTCCCCCTTACCAGGAGGAGCAACATTCTGCCTTGCTTCAGCAGAGAATCAAACAAGATGCGAAGGCGGAAAGCAGCCAGAAACTGACCAGATATACATCTGCCATGGATGACAGCAAGTACGTAGCTTTCCTTACCTTGACACTGTTGGTACACCCTACCCATGTTCCTCAACACAGCCCACCTCAGCCCCTAATAAAACCCCATGTACTTAGTGCAAGAACGCAAGATGCATTTACCGTATGTGCGTTCTGTTCACATGGCCACGGCGGGAACTATGTCAAGACGTACTTCTTTCCTTGTATTATTTGATTTATTTATTTGTACTTTCAGGTTACCGTTAAGTTCCAAGAAAGAGAAGATCCTGCGTAACCTGGACATTCTTGAGAAGGCTGGCATGGTGGACAGTGAGAATCATTACCAGATCATGGTCAACGCCATAGCACAGGTAAAAAGGAAGACAGATTCTATTTCGCCATCAACCAAAACTGAACAATTGAGGAGTCCTATTTCTTTGATCCTTGACACCAGCATAGCTGTTTTTGTGCAATTTGTGTTCATCGTTATTTTTGCCCACTGCATTACCACATTGCTTATTAGTTACTTAACCCATTTGTTCCTGCACTGAGTGGTGTAGTAAAGTCTAACACAGGTCCGGTCAAAAGTAAATCACAAATTCTTTCACAAGTCCAGTTACAAGTAACAGGGGATGAACAATAACAAAGGAATGTTTTTGTCATCGGTAATTTGAGGACCTTACGACTTGACTTGAGACTGGAGGACTTGTGATTGACTTGTGAAGTAAGATTTGAAGGTTTGCAAAGAATTGAATTGTGGTTGACTCGACCACTGCCAGTACTGCCCCACCTGCCCCTCTTGTTACTCCCTGTACTGCCGTAAACCGTCCCAGCGCTGCATGGTTTTATGGATTAATGCAGTCGTCCTCCAAGAGTGATTATGAATAGCAAACCACCTACTCAACAAATAAAAAGTTGTTCGAAGTCATTTGGAATGATACTTGAATGGCAGATTACCAAATACCAAGGTAACAGGGACAGGCAAAATGTCACAGTTTGAACCCTAAATTCATAACATGACTCAAGTGGAAAATTTCAAATGCCCAAACAATATTTTCAATGGGATTTGTATAAACATTGGACTGATGGTTTTACACTTCAGGATATTCGTAACCAGCGACGTTACCGACAGCGTAGGAAGCAAGATATTCTCAAGATGAAGGGCACAATGAATGCCTTAGAGACTAAGGCCACGTTCTACGAGGAACAGACCGACTATTACAATCAGTACATCAGAACATGTCTGGACAACTTACAGGCAAAGTAAGTCAACCTTTCACGTGAATCAACTTCAGAGAAGTTAGGAGACTCAGATATTTTTGGCTGAAATTTGAGCTACAAAGGCGAACTGTACACACGTGTGGTGCCAATATGTTGTTTACAATTTGAAAAAGCCTGAAATTAGGGCAATTGCAGGACTTACATCCCTGACATGTGAGGCAATTCTAATGATTTAAATTTCATAAATTTGAATTTCTATATACCAGTATATATTTTATATTTCTAGGAGGATGTTTAGTCAACAAAGCAATAACTAAGGCAGTTGTAATACTTTTTACAGCTGTCTGTTTTCCTAGCTCATGTCTCAACAATTCAATATTGCACATAAGATCTATTTTGTACTTTATTTCAAGAAACAAAATACATAATTTTCTTCTTTTTTTCCCCAAAATGTTGATCCTGCCAACAGGAGGTCTTCCAAGGCAGAGACCAAGAAGAAATCTTCAGGAGTGACATACAACGCAGCCAGACTCCACGAGAAAGGCGTCATTCTGGAGATTGAAGGACTCGAAGAGTCACAGTAAGTGGACTGTCTTGGATTGTCCCATCTCCCTTCTTCTTCTTCTTCCTTACAAGTGCAGACTTCATGGCTGAAGATAATCGCACTGCCAGAAACACCGGGGCGAACCCCTTCTCTTAGCGATAAGTGTTTCTGGGTTCTTTGACATGCGCTATACCTGTATACAACACACGGGACCTACGGCTTAACGTCCCATCCAAAGGACGAAGCAATAATGGCTAAGTGCCTTGCTTAAGGACACAAGTGTCAAGACCGGGACTCGAACCCACACTCTGCTGATTAGAAACACCAGAGCTTGAGTCCGGTTCTCTTAACCGCTCGGCCATGACACTCCATCCCTTCATCATAATCTCTCTCTCAGTACCCCTCTCATCCCTAATTCAGTCCCCTTCCTCTCTTTCATTTGTCTCCAGTAGACGCCCCCCACCAAGCTCAATATCCATGCCTCTGGGTATATAATAACCAACTTTGATTTTCTTGAAAGAAGTTATAGGATTCTGTGCCCCCTCCCACCTAGAACTTGGGCATGAAGGGACAAAATAGAATGAAATTTGGCACACATGTAGAGCAATTCAATCTGAGCATATTCACAGAACTTGATTTTCATAAGACAAAGTGCTCTTTAAATTATTGAATTTGCAAGTAAGTACACTATTGCCACAGCAAGCTGGGCTATCCATGTTTTGTGTATGGGGAATTGCGATTTCCGTGGTGCGCAGCCTGACATAATGTCGCGCAGCACAGTGACCCTAAGGTCAATTTTCACAAACTTAGTATCAAATCATGCACCAGACTTGAAGCTAGAAAGTCATGAAAGCTCACGGCGCGAAACGCACGTGTGGCAAAAATATTGCTAAATTAGTGCAAGGGAAGGAATCCCCCTCCCCCACGAGCCTTTTAGGGTTAAACTCGCTGCCATGAATTTGTTGTTCAACTCTCTTCTGTCCCCTCTCACCTTGTTTCATTCTGGCTTTAATTATTCCAATCCTTCAGGTTCAAGAATGTGATGTTTGAGATCAGACCGCTATCCCTGCCCGGTGGGTTTGACATCTCCGCCAAGTTTCTGGGGGTCAAGATGGACACGGTGCAAGTCATATTCCAGGTAAAAACAGTCATTGAGGTTTAAATCTGGATGGTTTCATATCAGTATAGACCTGATGTGTTTGCAGGTGTTTCAGACAGTGTTCTCTGTCTTTTTTAATTTAGTAACAATGAAAGCATAACAGGTTTACTCAAGCCTATCCCAGCGATACAAAACCATTGCCCTCTGGCGCTGCCCTAACGCACAAGGTCTATATCTTCGTTCAGAGGAATAGAGGCAGGAGCTTGGTATTAAATGAGAAAATTAAATCACTTACTTTTCCTTTGTGTCTTATAATTATGTTACCGTTGCCAAAGATGAAAGAAGTGGAAGATATCAGTTTTGCATCCCTTCTTTTTTTTATAGCGAGTAAAAGTTTTCATTCTCTGCACGAAAGCAAGCATGTGTGCATATTTGTGCAAAGTTTTCGCTCAAGAAAATTTGCAAAAATGGATCGCATTGAATATCTTGCTACATCAGATTTACTTCGCATCCCAGTGAAGTAATAATCACGTATATATGAATCATCAATTCTTTTGCAATTCTTACAGGTTTTTAACTAGTATACTTTTCCCGCCAATTTATCTCTCGCTAGGATCTCCTTCAGCTGCAGTACGAGGGCGCCGCAGTCATGAACATGTTCGGCAGAGCCAAGATTAACGTCAACCTTCTCATTTTCCTACTGAACAAAAAGTTTTACGGCAAGTAGGGCAAATGTGTGGATACTTGGTAGTCTTCTTTTTAAATATCAAGAGTTTCCTGCTGATTTTCATCGTGTTTGGAAATTAAGATCATATTAGACTTTTTATTAAAATTGTAAGTAGTGATTGATTACTTTTGTGTTTTTTGGACCGACTTGAATATTTGGATCAAATTGAAACATATTCAACTGGATTTGTTGTTTAGTTTAAACAACTTTTGAAAATGAAGAATTTTTCTACCAGTGAGGACTGCTTTGTCAATTCTGATTTTCTTATATGAACTTTTCCTGCCTTGGAACGTATCTGTATATATTTCTATGATTGTCATTTTTCACTCCTAAATTAATTCATTCCTATATTTCCAATTTTTTGCCTTAAGATGCCGCATGCAAAACTATGAGAGCATAGTTGAAAGTTCATAGTCATAATGAAACGCCATCAGACTAATATTTTGCACTGCAACTTTACTAACTTAAAAAAAAGTTAACAGAAAAACTTACTGCAGGGTTAGAGGTAAAACTGTAACTGTTTTAAAAACAAAAACGTAGCTTCGTCTTTGATTGCATTTTCGTCATTTTGCAAATTTGCGTAAGTTGTTCCACATACGTGTACCATTTTTGGTTGAACTATATAACCGTAATTACTGCTACCCCTTAACAGATAAAAACATTATGAAATACCATGACAGTGAAAAGATGCTTTTACATAAGTAGACGTTTGTGCAACAATTTTGTTGATTGTATATAGAATACGGTAGACTATCTAGGATAACACTGGTCTATGTTTTGATTGGTATTGTTGTGTCGTGTTGCATGGTTGGCGAAGTCAGAGGTGACTTTGTAGAATTTACAAGTAGTTCATGTTAGCCAGTTTCCCACTGTGTACATTTTTGAAATCATGACATGAACTACACTAAACTTTCAGTTATTGGTGTTTTGGCACCCGATGCCTTGGTCATAAAAAGGTTGTAAAAAAAAGCCTTGTACACTTGAATACTAAATTTACCAAAAAAATAATCTAGAAATCAACATTTCAACATTACCAGCAAGCAATAATTTATTGATAGACATATTTCAAAAACTCTGAACATTTCTGCCCACTTTAAAAAAAACCCAAATAGAATTGTGCCTTATTAAAAAATTTCTAACCAATACTATTCGTTCCAATCTATCCCTATGCCAATAAATAGAATTTTACGTAATCATATTCGTCATTCACTCCAGTTTCTACTGTGCCTTACATCTTTTATGTGTTACCGTATCTATTTATACAGGCTAATAATATACCCAATTTATTTGATAGTATTGTGACTTCATTATAAAAAGTTTTTTTAAAGAATGGCGCTTTTTTTGGTAAATGGATAGCCCGGCTTTAAAAAAAAATGCATGGTGTTAGTTTTATAAGAGGTGTAAGCTACGCGTCCTGTAAAAAGCAAAAGATAGTTGCTAGGTTATTTGTGTGTGCCATGTGAATATATAGTTCATCAGCTTTGGTTTTAAATCGAAAGCTAATTATGTTGGTACTTTATTAATTAGTGTTAATTGGGGTCTAAACTCAAACATGAAAAACTTGAGCTTGGGTTGAGAAAATTGTTGCAAGTAGATTGTGTACAACCTGTTCTGTGATTTTCCCCCGTATTTTGCATTACTTGGTACATAAAGGAGTTGGGTTTATAGTTTCAAGTTTACAATTGGAATAAAAGGGGGCAAATCATTAATGAAATTGTTTTTGTGTGAGTGCTGGCACAGGCTGGGGTTGGACAAGTATAAGGCAAAATGGGCATAGCTCCGTTTTATCATGTTTGTCGCCACACAATAAGATTTAGTAAATAAAGTATCATTTGAGTACGGCATTATGTTTTGAAGCAGTACAGGCTAAACATTGTAACATTTCTTGCAAACAGTAGAACATCGTTTTTGAGAAACTAATTATTTCGGAGAGAAATTAAAATGTTGAAAATTCAGAGCATTTGTTTGCATGTACATGTACACAATATTAATAATCAGCACTGGCCTTCACCTAGATGAGTTTATTATATTCATTCACCTATACATCTATTTAAGCAAAATATACAAACAGTTTGTAGTATTTTACTCTTTTGAAGCGCAAATGTTTTGCTTTTATAGTTTAAGGTATGGTGCTAATTAGGGATATCCGACAATATGAAGAAAAAAAAGTGCAAAATAAAATTTTGCAAAACTGGAAAATTCTTAATCAGTTGTGTCCTTGGCGTTTGTGTGTATTTATTGGAATTGTGTTGACCACTTGGGTTTTTAGGGGGTTATTTTATACAATGTTTACGGCGAATTCCTGGAGTTTAGAGCTATCATGGGTAGTCATTAAATTTTAATATTTTACAAGGAAACGTGGAAAATTGATATTTCGAGGAAAGGGATGTGATTGAAAAGTCATGGAATCCTGCACAATCCATACGTGATGATGCATAGGATCTGGCTGTGGCAGTCTTCCAGTGTACATTATGCATGTTAGCGAGTCAAAAAAAAGGAAACCAAAATGGTGCCCCCTATTTTTTAAAGATTTTGTATTGCATGTAGCGCATTCATGATCTAGGATATGAAAGCCCAATTAATAAGCTTTCCTTTAGTGAAAGAATCATTATAATCGCTCATGTACTTTTCCAGTTATGGAATTTTGAAACACAAACACCGTTTTTAACCTTGTCCACAGATCACATTTAAGGTACGTGGTATTTCAGTAAAAATGAAACAATGTCGTATCCTGAAAATGATATCAGAATAATCGCATAAAGTCTCCGGGGTAGCCAAGTAGAAGGCATGGCAAGACTATAAACTCTTGATATTGTAAAGCATGTTATTGTAACATTGGAAGCAGCAGGTTTTTCAATAAATGTTATGATAAGTGCCAGTTATCATGGTCATGAGATTGTTCTGATGTGTTTTTGGATATGTGAATATAGTTTTCGTTTGGCTGTAATATCACTTACCTTTATTGTGATCCGTGGACAAGGTAAAAAAGAAAGAAACGGTGTTTGTGTTCAAAATTCCATGACTGGAAAGGTACATGAGTGACTTGAATGATTCTTTCACTCTAACAGAAAGCTTATTAATTGTGCTTTCATATCCTAGATCTGGAAAGCGCTACCGTGACATGTAGAAATTCTTTAAAAAAAAAAAAATAGGGGGCAACATTTGGATTTCCTGAGTTTTTTTACTCACCCTGTATCTCTATATAGGCAATCAGCCTAGGGGGTTGGGTTGGTATCAAATGAGGGGAATAATGCTCATTGTGATTTTTGGCAAGATTTCCACCCCTGTAGTTGGAAAAGATGTCATTATAGCATTGCAGCGGTGGCAGCTTTTTAGGTGCTAAATGATGTAAAAATGACGGCCAAAACATGCTTCTTACCACATAATTAATCCGGTAACAAGCATAGTGGCGGCCATTTTGGAAAAAAGTACAATAAAAGTGATAACACCCAAAATCCCACCACTGCTCACCCTGCAAATCCATCACACATTTTCCAGATGTGCAACCCAGTGCCAAAAATCGCTATGAGCATTGCTCATTTTGATACCGGTGGCCCAATTTTTGGACCGAAGCTGATAGCCTTAGTAATACTTGTTGCATGTTCATGTACTGTTTGTGATTTTTTTTTGTGGTGCTCATCGTTCTTGTGTAAAAAGGAGTGGTGTCCCTTGCTTCAGTCATGGAGGAAGGAAGTTACGGAACACAGTGTGATGTCTAAAAACTCATGGGATTTCATGTTAAGTCGATTTCCGTGGGAACCCTGCTTGAGGTTTGATCTGGGGAAGAAGTTGGGTAAAGAATTATTGGAAATTATTGTGAAAGTGGTTTTTGTGATCACGATTAAAATTCGCCGGAGCTTCCCGGTTGACAGCAATCGCATCTCCGTAGTGTAAAAAACCCACTTTGGTACCGCAAATGAAAAAAAGGCTTGTCGACAGAAAGAAAACTTTGCAATCGCTGATTACTTCCTATTGCGACACAAAAACGGTATACGTTTACTGCTTTCAACACTGATCAACAAATTACAACTTCCTGTCGGCATTTTTCCTTTCGATTCACTTGGAATAAGCTGACATAACTACACAAAACGTTTGTTCATTCAGGTGTGCAGAGATGTTTTTTCCTTCTTCTATAGTCCAGTAACTTCAGGCTGTGCAAAAAAAAGAAGGAAACCCACTTTTGACAGCAATTTTCATCTACTTGTTAAGCATATTCCAAAAATTCAATTTAATGGTATTAAAATATTGATCTTTTTACATAAGTGACGAAAAATGATTGAAAATGCATATTTTGTCTCTGAGATACGTATGGTAGCTTTGAAAAAAATCATGTGCCAAACCTGTTTGGCCACGGACGGCTTTATTCAATCCGCTTGACTGAGCTCCTCAGCTTAGTTGATTTGAAGAAAAAAAAGAAAAAAAAAACACTACACTAGACTTGCACGTTGACATCATTGATTTTGGTGACTTTGTATTCAAGTTGGCATGATATTCTTGCGATTTTTAAAAAGATTCTTTTCAGCACGTATGGTTGAAGAACTATACTTCATTACATAATAAAAAAAAGTTCAAATATTAAGTGAGTAGGTAAAAATTTCTGTCAAAAGTGGGTTTCCTTCTTTTTGCACCACCCTGTAGATTGAACATTTTTGTATGTTTTGATAATTTCATACATATTTCAAACACAAAGGTGTACTTTATGGCGGATATCTCATGTCCGCAATGTTTCATTGTTTCAAATTTCAAGTGAGAAACGTGGCTTATTTTCACCCCCGCGTCGCCCCGGGGCCACCCCCGAGATTTGGTCTAGTGAGAAAATGCCTTAATGGGGAAAGCTACCGAAATGTTCTGATGAAAGCCTACCTTAATAAGTTTTGGCCTAGCTAAGTTTATTTTGTTTCTTCTGTTTCATTTTAATGTGTGGAGTCAGTATTCCCGCGATGACTAAACGATCGTCGGGGAATACACCGCAATAGGTCCCGTTGTAAAACGATGTCTGGATGGTTTCGACATTTTTTTGTGATTGTGAACCGAATGTTTTTAGAAGTGTCGTCCAGTCGTAGGCCTACGTCAATTCCAGTCCTGTTTAAAATTCATATCAATTGCGTAGCCTACATGCGTCGAGCGCTTTGTGTACAGCGTGTTGTGAAAATCTTCTTTTTTTTCAATACCATAATATGAAAGAGTTTCAAAACGTCTATATTTGTTCAAGCATGGTTTCTGGTCGTGCAATGGGGGATATGACACACATGACATCCTTTCGGGACTATCCCGCGGCCTGTTCTGGACGTAATGACGTCACATCTCCCGCCAAATGTGCGTCATTCAATGCGAAAACACACCGGATCTCGCCTCAAGTACACGTTTGAATTGGTCGCCGGTGAGATTGCAAACGAGTAGTTGGTGAAAATAGCTGTGACAGCAGTAGTCTGGTTGTATGTCCTTGTTTAGTAGCGTGTGACATCGCATATAGAGTGAGTTGGGAATTAGACATCAGCAGACCGATCATGAAACATGGCGGGTTGGGTCTCGGGCGGTCAATATGTTCTTTCAAGTAGTGCCCATTCCTGCCCCGATAAAACCGCCTTACTGCTCAAACTCACCGACTCATCACTCAAGACCATCGAACGATATCAGAAATCCAAGGTAAGGTTTGTTGCCCGCTATGAACACAAAGTTATTGATGTTTTAATCTCATTGTCGAACCGTATGTTTTCCCCATTGTGTTTGCATTGTCGACATGGTCGACATGGTCGAGCCGACTTCAGATCCACGGACGTGATGCAAACGTTCCTGTTTTGATAAGCATTTATTTGCTTGATCATCATTTTTGAGTTTTCGATTTGTTGCACAATAAGAAACATATTTTTGAAAAGATAATTCCTAAGTTTATGAACTGGTAATTTTTATGGAGTTTTAAATCACAGTTTTAACTTGATTTTTTTTCCCAGGTAAATCTGGCCATATGGACAATGCATTTGGCATGGTTAAGATTTTTAATTTGTTTGATACATAGCAGATACGTCTCAACAGATGTTTTATAACTTCTTTGTTTGCAAAAATGTAAATGTTTTTGTACCAACTACCATTTGTTTAATATCGGTCGCTCATTCAAGATTACTTGTCTGAAAAATAAGCGGAGCAACACCAATGCAATGGGTTTCATTTCAATCTCCTTTGGCCAGTGTGGAGAGGCATTACTTTAACTCTTACTGTACAGATGTCTTTGGGGAGTCACAAACTGTTTTTTTTTTTGGGGGGGGGGGCTTCATATGGTGCTGTGCCAATTTTTGTTACTTTATTAAGAAGTTTCTTGAAGAGTTGACGGCAGTTGCAGGCTGGGTAATCGTGTAGTTTAGGACACCTCTTAAAGTTGTGTTTTACCAGTTCCGTTTAAATCAACACCCTGCCCTCTTTCCAGACTGGGACCTGGAGTGCTCTGAAACGTGCAAAACTAAATCAGGCCAACTTTACTCACTCTTTAGCCAGCAAATTTCTCCAAAAATACCATTGGGCAAAGAAATGGTTCTCAGTATTTCACCAACCAAGATTGCAGACTCAACTCAATTTTTTCAATGGTTCCCATTTATGGCACAAGCAAAAGAGATTGGTCTGAGGAAAGAGTTCCTCATAATCCAGCAAAAACATAATTAACTTTCCAAAGTCAAATAAAATGCACCACCCTCTCTCAGTCGCTAGGTTTCATGCTGCAGCTGATTAAGTGTCTTGTGGAAATACCTGCTTTCTGGCACTCGAATACAGCCTGATATTGGCTCTTTTCACACTTCCGCCATGGGCATGCACAGCCTCGATCTGGCAACTTTACACAATAGATATAGCCGGTTCAGTGATTCCCGTGTCGGGGTTCAGATCACTGAACCGGCTATTTTTATTGTGTAAAGTTGCCAGATCGAGGCTGTGCATGCCCAATGGCGGAGCGTGAAAAGAGCGAATTCTAGAAGCTTCACCAGTTTGCAAGCTATCAGTCACTTCTCTCACGAAATCCGTGATGGAGCTTTGCTCACTAGCTTGCGCAATCATTTCGCCATTGAAGGGGGCTGTGATCAAATGGTTGTCCACGTTTTATCGGATTAAGTAGTTAATCCTGCATATAGTGGTAACAAATGTGTCTGGATGAGCCCTGATCCCCTGGGTTTTTTTTAATCCAGTTATTATGTCAAATCTAATACTATTCAATAACCTTATGGGGGTCATTCCATGCCAACTCAACAAATGGTGCACACCATCACCTCTTGGATTTTTTTCTTTTTTGGTGTACTGAAAGATACTTAGGAGAAATGCAAATTCTGAAAATTTGGGGTCTCTACGACTTTTCGTTCTTGCGCAACAGCATTTTGAAATTTGAGGTGGGCGGGGCCAAAAGTGCGTCGCGTCACGAAATTCAATGTTTAAAGGGCCATATATTTAAAACTATACCCCCCAGACATTTCAAACTTAGTAATCTGGGCTATTTTTTGCTGTAGATTTCAAATATTTAAACAGAAAGAAAGTAGCTTGTTTCATTTTTAAGTTAGAGGGGCCCCAAAATGGCCCAAAACTCATCTCGACCAATGTTCGGGGGGGTGTAAGTCAAAAACTGAAAATATTTTTTTCACCAAATTTTTTGCCTGTAATAGCCCCCAATTGAAACTACTTTCATGTAAAATCTTACACTTATATTAACTTCATTGAATGAGATATAGCCCTTGCAAAAAGCAAATTGTTTATTTTTAAGATAACTTGACCCCCCCAAAAACCAACGTCAGACATTCCGCACCAAATTTTGCTTCACATATGTTTGAGGTTGGTCCTTAGTGAAGTCCTCTGAAAAGTTTCATGTTGGTGTCTAAATGTCTTCAGTGGATAGCTGGGCATTATAATGAGTCTATCTTACGATGCTGGTTCCTTAACATACAAGTACACATGTATAGAATAACAGCAGTCGGTACATAAAGAATAAGTTGGGTATGAAACTTAGCTTACATTTGTACATGTAGACTTTTGATCAGTTGATATAATTGTTTACAGTTTCACAGGTGAAATTATGCATTCCTTGTGATGTAGTTTTGATGAAGTTGAATGAGTTGCATGATGGTTGGCTCACTAAGTTTGTATTGCCTTCCACCGCTATGTAGAAGTTCTGGTGTTGGTATGCAACACAACACATCAACAAATGGAATGTTACGTTTATCCTCTCTTTGTGGCCAATAGAGAGTATTTGTTGATTCCGTCCTGTACATGAAGCAGACATACACATCCTCATGAAGTTGTGATACATCTTCTACAATAGCAATGTGCCAAACATCATCATAGACCACACAAACATATTTTCCTGGGTTGAGGTCAGCTGCTACAATTGGTGCATGATGAGTTTCCTGCATGAACTAGATTTCCCCTTATCCATAATGAAAACTAAAATCAATCAGGTTAAAACCATAGACCCTCTACTCAAACTGAATCACTTCTCTTTGGTTCAGGTTAGTGCTATACTATGCTGTGCAAGTGAGAACTGGTTAATTACTACATACATTACATGCATGCTGTGTGATGAGCACATGGAAAGAATAAGACTCTCAAGTCATTTAACCTAATTTGCATATAATGCACACGTAGGTCTACAAGCAACTGTTTATTGAGCAGGAAATGGGTAGTCTTGACCCAAGTATTTCAACAGTTGGGGGATTTTGTTGTGCTGGTTCCGTAAAATACAAGTACATGTACATGTACTTGCATGTTACGGAACCTGCAGCATCATAAGATATAGACTCTTTATAAAGCCCAGCTATCCACTGAAGACATTTAGACACCAACATGAAACTTTTCAGAGGACTTCACTAAGGACCAACCTCAAACATATGTGAAGCAAAATTTGGTGCGGAATGTCTGACGTTGGTTTTTGGGGGGGTCAAGTTATCGTAAAAATAAACAATTTGCTTTTTGCAAGGGCTATATCTCATTCAATGAAGTTAATATAAGTGTAAGATTTTACATGAAAGTAGTTTCAATTGGGGGCTATTACAGGCAAAAAATTTGGTGAGAAAAATATTTTCCATTTTTGACTTACACCCCCCCGAACATTAGTCCAGATGAGTTTTGGGCCATTTTGGGGCCCCTCTAACTTAAAAATGAAACAAGCTACTTTCTTTCTGTTTAAATATTTGAAATCTACAGCAAAAAATAGCCCAGATTACCAAGTTTGAAATGTCTGGGGGGTATAGTTTTAAATATATGGCCCTTTAAACATTGAATTTCATGACGCGACGCACTTTTGGCCCCGCCCACCTCAAATTTCAAAATGCTGTTGCGCAAGAACGAAAAGTCGTAGAGACCCCAAATTTTCAGAATTTGCATTTCTCCCAAGTATCTTTCAGTACACCAAAAAAGAAAAAAATCCAAGAGGTGATGGTGTGCACCATTTGTTGAGTTGGCATGGAATGACCCATGGCAGATTCTTTGCATTCACTTCAACAAAATCGAATTTCAATCAAACCCCATGATGACGTGTAACCCAAACCCTCCTCAACCTACGGGCAGTTTTGGAGGATTTTGTAGGATTGAGGATGAATGGTGTTTGAAGAAGAGGAGGATTTTGGAGGATTAAGGCTGAATGCATTTTGAGAGGCAGGGCTGTTGGAGGATTTTGAAGGATTGAGGCAGCGGGTATCCTTCATTTGAACATAAGTGCACAATTTTGGAAGATTTTGGAGGATTGAGGGCATGTGGACATTCAGTACTGGTTGATTTTGGAGGGTTGAGGATGAATGGTGTTTGAAGAAGAGGAGGATTTTGGAGGATTGAGACGCTGGGTATCCTTCATTTGAACATAAGTGCACAATTTTGGAGGATTTTGGAGGATTCAGGATGGTTCCTAGCAAAAAGGGCCTAGGGGGTTAGGATTAATAATGGCCAGAGTTGAGATTTTGTAATCCCCAGTTCAAAATGTTGCTCATCCTTGGTGTTGATTTTTTAAAAATTTATGCAAGTTTGGGTTCAAATGAAATGTTTGGTTTAATGTTTCCTTGTGTAAGAATAGAGTGACATGCCAAATGCGCATGAAGCAAAACAACACATGAAAATTAACTCTTGCAAAAGACTTCAAATGCATGTCCACATAATTTGTTTTTACTAACTAGTGCTAATTTACTTTGCACCAAACTGGTTAAGACATTTGTACACGTACCAGCATATGTGTGAGCAGATGCCTGACGTTTCTATATGAGCTTATTGCTTAAGACTCAAACTTGTTAATAAAATTTTCCAATTAAAAACCAACTTGATTGCGTTGGCGTTTGTATAAATCCCAAGTTGACTAACTGCATTTTATGTATTTTCTCTTTTTATTATGTTGAGGACGATGCCATAAAAGCTAAAATTGTAAAACAAAAATATTCAACGCAGTGGGAAGTGTACTTTCAACAGTGAAAACCCAACCACGTTTCCTTTGTAAATTGTGTCCTCTACATGTTTGTTTCTTGTACCGCTGTCATTTGCCTCTGAAGCAGGCACTGTTAAAGGGAATATGCAAACATCAAAAAACAAAACTATGAAATGATTATGAAATAATATCAAATTATTATGAAATAATAATAATAGTAAATTATAGTCTAAAGCATCCTGTAAAATCTCATGGCACCTGGTGTGCTGTC